ACTCCTGCCCTTTTTCTTCCTTGACTAGATAACGAAGGCCTCCACATCCAAGAAAACGTGAATTATGGTGGACAACCAGGAGACACCTGAGTGATTTGAACTTCACAAATGACAGTCTTGCTATCGTATGCGCAACGGCAGATGCAGACGAAGACAACCAGTCTAACAACAACTATCTGCGAAATAAGCATCGACGTTCACAGAAGCAAAATTGAGATTCCAAAGTACAACACAGTGAGCTACAATTAAACCTAATTTGATGTTAATGCTATGGAAGTGGTGGAAGCCTTTACTTACCAGGACAGCAACAGTGATGAGCATGAGTCGGACGCAGATTTTGAAGTATGAATTGCTAGAACAAGAGCAACATTCCTATAATGGAAGAATATCTGAAATTCTCAAAACCAAAGTCAGAATCAACACCAATGTTAAAACAGTTTCATCGCACGGATCTGAAACGAGGGGTAGCAGAGTTAATCAAGTAAGTGTACCACTCAATATTCACATAATTCATAACTGTGATGTATAATAAGTAAGGATAAATTTCGCAAATTATGAAAGTAGCCCTTCAAAACTTGAATCACAACGATTACTTTTAACAATGAAAATATGAATTTCTTCCCATAATTTCCTGATTTAATGTTGTATTCGGCAAAATGAAGTCAAATAATGAATAATTATCGCTTACTAAATTCTAATTTGGTTTAACAAAGGCCTATATGTTTCAGACAAAATAATGTAGTAACTTTTGATTCATTTTCAAAGTATGAATGTGACTCCTCAACAAAATTGGTATCCGAATCAAACTCACGAATCTCTTAAAATTAGTCTCCTCCTTTATCTTGAACAAACATTGTAGTAGACGGAAATTTTGTAACGAAAAATACACTCTGTTATAATAGAAGTATTGTATTACTGTTTAGACTACTGAATTGATCACTTAAGTTGATGACTACTTACAATGTCTTTAATTTGTTTATTTCAAGAGAACAAGAATGGAAACAGGTACAAAACAGATGAGTTTCGGCTTTTTTATCCGAATTGTATGATTGCATTTAAGGTTCACAGAGACTATGTGAAAGCAAATATTATAGATTAATGGTTGTTAGCATGTGGCTTGTTAAGGGGTGTATGAAAGAGTAAACAGAAGGGTCCCGCGTAAAGACTTCATCAAACAGTCAACCAAATAAGTGGACGCAAATACCACATAACGATATTAATGGGAACGAGAGCATCACCCAGAATAACAGTAGACGAGAATGTCATATTTTAAAGCAGTAACCTTGATCTTAGTGACTCCAAGAATAAGAAAGTTGAATTTATAATTAATAAAAAAGAAGGCATTAATGTATTGAATCATGAGTAGATTGATGACCGAATTGCCACAATTATGGTAAAATATAAAGGAATAGACCTTGTATTTAGCCTGTTCCTACATCTGATTCACGACTTTCCTTAAAAGGTTGGTGATTGTGTATGAAGAACTGCTATATTTTCTCTCTGATTATTTCTTGGATAAATTTGCCTTCTATGCTTATCTTTAAGCCTTTCATCACATCAAATGAAATAAACAATAATAATATCTTACCAGACTTCTCACTTTTGTAAAGTTAACTACTCGATACTGCACATGAAGTAAAAAATTAACGAAACTTTCTACTAATAAAATAAGTATCAACTGAAACAATATAATTATGTTTTTTATATGAAAAGTGATGATAAGGCTGACTGTAATTCGTACCAGTGAAAATCTAATAAGAAATATTCATTGATTGAGGTTGATTCATGTAACAGTATGAACTGAACCAGTTTTCATGAACATGAACTCATGTTATATTATTATCTCTAAACAAATGACTTATCATATTTTTATCTTGTAAGATGTCATTTCACTTTATACAAGAAAATATACGTTCTCGTGTAACTATAACATATAGAGAAAGTTAAACTTCTCTCTATACAAGCTGAGATTGAATAATGATTTAAAATCATATCAAAATTAAAACAAAAGGGAAACATATCTATTTCAGCTGTCAATGTTTTTTTATTATTGATAATCGATTTCTAATAATCTCAAGGGTAAATTAGTTGAAATTTTCTTCAAAATGCATAAAATCTATTCGGAATTCATGATTAGAAATACTTTAAGGAACAATAAAAATGATATATCCAATTAAATAAGACAAATACAAACTGTCACAAAATTAAGTCTGAATTGATATTTGAAAAATAAAAATATTAAATAAAAGAGACAGCAGTGAAATGAATATCTGTATATAAGAATAATGAAACCTTTTTTATACATAGAAAGAAATAATTACAACGGAAAAATCGGAAATAGTCAACCAAATGCTGAATTCATTCACAGGATCCTCACAAAAGATATTGATTGGTTTTTTTATTAAACGATTAAATCTAAATTTAAGGTGATACTCCTAATACATTCTACTCCGTTTCACAAATATCTCGAAATATCTAATCTTAGCTATAACTTTTAAGTTATGTAAGATCAACTTATTACATTCGAAATCTACAAGCTACTAACAATTTTTTCAGTAGTAAAGTAATATATATTTATGTGGTAAAAAAAGTAGTTTTATTGATACTAAACGCATCGTGTCAATATAATAACATGGTTTAAATAATATAGTGTTCTGCCTTTAAATGGATTATGAATTTCATTTGAACGACTTTTTAATACCTTAATTTCCATATGTATTTTATTTGCAAGTTGTACAATCACGGTTCTGTCCTCCTATAAGCTGATAGCTAAAAGAGAGAAAATTATAAGCAGTATTATTATTATTATTATTATTATTACTAATTTATTAGTAGTGAATCAAACATTTCAATCTCATGGACGAGAAAAATAAAATGCGCATATTTATCTTGATATAAAGAATGACATATGAGGTGAAGAAAGTTGTTTTCTCTTTAAACATTCTATTACATTACATTTTGGATAATGAAACTTTATTTAGATAATTTATAAAATACAGATATCAGTATAGGGGTTGTGGAGATTGTTAAGTTTTGATTGAGATCATAAACCGATTGATGTTAGACAATAGGACGAAAAAGCCGTCCAGTGCTTCCAGGTTTTAAATAGTGGTCTAACACCAATTGGTTCATGGTCTCAATCAAAACTTAACAATCTCCACAACCTCTACACTGATAATTACAACGTGCTCATTAGTGACTAGCTTCGTGAGAAAATTCCCGAAGTTCTGGTGAGAAGCCGTGACCAGTGGAGCCAATCCGTTTCGGGCAGAAACAGGTGTCTACCTTAGTACAATGGAAGATGGTTGAACAATTTCATGTATTGGTTGAGGTTGGACATTAACACCATTGGATGCCGGCTCAGTGGTCCAGTGGGTTAAGCGTTCACACTCGAGACTGAAGGCCCTGGGTTTGAATATCGCGGGGTGCGGGATTATGGATGCGCACTGCTGAGGAGTCCCATAATAGGACGAAATGGCTGTCCAGTACTTCCAGGTTTTCAATGGTGGTCTAACATCAATCAAAATACAGACATATTTCAATATGATGAAATAAACAAAGAAAGACTGTCAACTTTTGTCCTATGATTGTAGAAAATACATCTACCACATTGTTTGTTGCATAAAATCCAAATAATCACTACACACTGATCACTTGTGCATTTTTAATTCCTCCACTTACTATTCACAAATGATTGTGTTGATCCACTTAATAAATGTAGAAAAACTTAGGGACTGCTGACACCACATGCTGATTTCTTACTCTGAGAATTTTGAGTCAATTTATGTCTATTGTGTAGTCAAGTATCCTTGTGAAATGTAATCTTACATTTCATTCGATCATTGGATAATGAATAAACCTGTGTTGTTAAATGCTCAACCAATTTCTTTATATGAATTGTTACATTGTAGTCAGTAAGATAAGCGATTTAAGAAAGCAACATGTTTTTAGATAAATGAGTTTAGCATCACTCAGAAACATCAAATTCCTTGAGACTGCGGTTATATCATATTGACCATTATCCACAACAGAAACATTTTGATAGGATTAAGGACTAACACTATTGACTAGACAAGGTGATACTGTTCCGTAAACAGTGACCTTAAAGTACATCACTGTTAAGATCATTTGATTTCTAGGGAAATACTACAGTTAGAAATTATTAACGTATTAACACTTTGAAGGTATCCACAACTAGTGATTAGAAGAAATGATATTTTAGTGAACGGAACACGGGTTGGGACAATCGAATGTGTTTAACACAAAATTACAGGACTTGTTAATAAAATCTAACAATCAGAAAGTAAATGCCTAATTTGCAAAATGTCCACCAATTGTTTCAAAATGACTCAGACTTCATTGTTCTTGCATTTTCATACAAATTGCATTTTGTTTCCATTCTTTACTGTTCGATCCTCTTGTCTCTCTACTTCCAGACCTTCTGTTTACGACTAACATCATGTACTACTTATGTCAATATAAGTAGTACACACCACAATATTACTAGCGACGATGATAGAAAATCTAATTGAAACATATTTGTCATTCTTAACACTTCTTCCGGTGTAAAAATCTAATTAATACAGATAAAAGTTTTGAGGCATAGTACACGTACGTGTAACATACTCTATTACACTAGCCACAACCTTATATTATTTCTACATAAGCTCGCAAATTTTGTATAAACATGAGGTAAAAGTTATAATATAGCAGTCTAGTCAGTAATAATCTACTATTTAATGCAGCGAATACTAAATTCAAATCTTATTATAATTAGGGATATCAGAGTATTATGATGTTACGGACTACTACAGTTTGAATAAAATTTGTTCAAAAAAACGTTATCCAGTTATATATACAAAGGAATTTCTATACAAGATACTTGGGTTACAAACAGATTCGTTTTCATGACCCTTGTATAAGAGGTCAATTGGGGTGATATTTCGGCGCATGTGCATAAATTCATTATGACTTACGTTAAGTTAATTTTTTCTTTGAAATTAATCCCCAGTGCTCGCTAAGTTATTATGAGCAGGGTTCGCTCTAATTTTCGGCTTGCCTTCAATACGTTTTGCAAAAATTTTTAATTCACTCAAATTGTCAGTCAACATTTCATCAGTTCTTTGTCTTGGTGTACGATTTGTCGATGATTTTTTATCGATTGTTTTTATAGGACGAATAGGAGTGTTATCAATCGGACATGTTGATGACCTAACATGATAAAGAATAAAAACAAACCAACAATTTAAAAGTTGAATTCATCAGTCAATTAAAGCTAGACCACCATAGAAAACCTGGAAGCACTGGAAAGCCGTTTCGTCGATGTATGGGACTCCTCAGCAGTGAGCAGTGTTGTCTCGCGCGCGAGCCCTTAACCTCTATCGTGGTCTAGAAGTATCATGAATCGATGAATGTTAGACCACGGTGTCAGGTAGAGACGGATATCTACCTCAGACAATAGAAGATGGTCGCGCAGGTCCGTAGGTTGGTTGAAGTTAAACATCAACACCGTTGGATGTCGATTTAGGGGTCTAGAGGTTAAGTGTTCGCTCACGAAAGCGATGGGTCCTGGATTCAAATCTCGCGAGTGGGATCGTGGGTACGCAAAGCTGAGCCCCATACTAAGAAAAAACGTCTGTCTAGCGATTTCAGGTTTTCCATTGTGGTCTAGCTTTAATTGACTCACGAATTCAACTATTAGATTACTATAATATTCACAAAAAGCCTTTTTGATTACAAACCAATAACTTTTAAAGCTTTCAAGTGATCAGAAAAATATAGGGTATTCAGATTTAATTATTGTCATCAAACTAGATAAGCCTTTATCTTACTTGTGCTTTGTAGGGAAATAGTATCGAATAGAAAAATCATACGTGAGCATTTACCTACCCGCCTACTTGTTGTATCCTGACGAGAATTATGAATGGTAACTTTTGAGAACTATTTATGGACCAATACGATACATATATTTTTAATGTATAATTGTTAAGTAGCTAAACTACGTATATTAATGTTCCCCCTATCATAAGCTTTATTTTGACCTACAGACTATTATTATGCGATTTACCATTCTTGAGTCATGCCCGATCTATTAATTACAGTCTCCCACATTCACAACCACTTTTGGCTAGATCTTGTACAAATGTCACTGTTGTAACGGGTGGACTGCAGGTTAGATGCGCAGCGTTTTATCGATCGATTCAGTGACACGTAAAACACGTACGAACGGCCTGGAGTTTCGATTGGTCCCGCTTCCCTGTCTAGCCCAGCCAGTTGAGTCCAGAACGCAAGTCACAGCCTCTTAGTTATGAATCACTATATTTCAAACATACTCTGTTTATATACCAACCAAACAGACCACATCGTACCATAAAAATAGAAAACAACATCTGTACAATATTTAACGAGCGAAATTAATAATGGCCAATAGGGAATGCCCATTTAGAGTCCAAGGACATCATTAGACTTAACATGATAATGATTGGTATATTCCTCAGTATACCTAAAAGTTACTTTCTATTTATGGTACGATGTGGTCTGTTTGATTTGTATATAAAACCAGTATGTGTTGAAATGCATGATTAACATCGCGGAGGTTGAGATTGTTGTTCTGGACTCAACGGGCAGGGCTAGGTAGGAAGAAGGACCGATAAAGACTCTAGACTCCTCGTACGTGTTTATGCGTCATTGGTCCGGTTGATAAATCACTGTTCTCTAATTGGCGGTATCATTACTATATATATTAATAGGGTACAAGGCTACAAGTTATAACACTATTAAAAAGATAACTTATGTCAATTAGTAGCTTGATTCTTGAACAATATATCAATTCTGGCTATGCAGTGTCATCCAAAGTTTTAAAATTATCTACCAGATCAAACAATTGAATTCAAATGAAAGATGTATCAGAAACTTATGCACAAGAGAGCCTTATTCTGTTCGTGAGTTCATTCGTAAGAGACATGTTTGATATTTCATTCTATCTTGCGGATTGAACGCTATATTCGTCTCCTAAGCTATTCTGTAACCCCCAAGCTAGAACTATACAGCGACCTGAACACGAGAGAGAAAACTCAAAGTATGCGATAAGTAGTTTAGTACAAGGTTCACTTTGATACAGAAAATACGGGGTTTTTATAATATTTTAAATGTCCTTGGGTTGCTATAATATTCTGGAATGCTACTAAACATAGTAGCATTACAGCAACCAGCCAATCAGAACCTCTACATGTGACGTTTCGCTTCCTTGATATTTTTTGGCAATAACTTCAAGTGAACGCTGATTGGACGAAACGCTTCTTAGTGTTTTCGGATGCTTGCTTGTCTTTTGCAAGCAATTTTCTGGATCACTCCAACACTATCATAACAATAAGCCTTCTTATCTCCATATCCATACTACATTACTACTTGACTTTCTTCTTGAAATTCGTTATTTTATTTATTTATTTATTTGAACACATAAATACTGGTACAAGGGGGCACCAAACATATATGCGCCACACAAAACAATGAGAATGGGAAGAGGAAAAAGAAGGTAAGGTGCGTATAAGGAAAAAAACAATAACGACAGCAGATTAGTGCAAGGTAATAATAATAATAATAATAATAATAATAATAATAATAATGGGGGAAACGGAAAGGTACAACCGAAAGAATTCTTCCAGTTGAGGAAGATACAACCACTTTTTATGAAGAAAGTAAAGGAAGATTACAACAGGATTGCCACTGGCTTCCATTCTGAGCCATATCTGATAACGTCTCTAGCCACTGTGTTGCACCATCTCTCGGACCCCAGCCAGGGAGTCGTGAAGGACCAACACAAGCCAGCCCTTCACAGCTTTCTTTCATACCACGACACCATGTCATACACTGACCACCTCTCCGCTCTTTCCAACCAGTCGGCAAATAATGCACGACGTGGAATTCTCTGGGACGACATTCGGAGAACATGTCCAAGCCACCGAAGTCGATTTTTCAAGATGGTGACACCGATTGCATTATCGTCTCTGCGCCCGAACACACGATACCGAACCTCTGCATTACTAACGTTGTGTTGCCACTGGATGTCAGCAATCCTTTGGAGACAGCGATGATCGAACACAGAGAGTCGTCTAACATCCTCAACTTGGAGAGGCCAAGTTTCACAAGCATATAGCAGAACTGCTCTCACCGACGCGTTGTAGATCCGACCTTTTACAGCCAGACTAACATCACGAAGGCGCCAAAGATGGTGCAGATTGGCATAAGTCGTTCTGGCTTTCACTATCCGTGCATTGATTTCATCACTCACACCCCCACCAGCACTTATGCAGCTACCCAGATACACGAACTTCTCGACTACGTCTATCTGCTCACCGTCCAGGGTGAGTACAGGATTAGAATCCTGCCAGTCTTGTAGGAGTACTTTGCACTTCGAAGGTGCAAAGCACATACCATACCTACGGACACTGATTGCCAACTGATTAAGTGCGGATTGCATGCCTTGGGCATTATCGCACAGTAAGACAATATCATCCACATACTCAAGGTCGAGAAGTCTTTCTCTAGGCAACAGATCCATACCGCCAATACTTACATCCATCAGATCTGTTTTCAGAATGTCATCAATGGCGAAGTTGAAGAGGAATGGTGAGATTGGGCAACCCTGCCTAACCCCACTGCTCGAATAGAACAATGGAGAGAGGTGGTTGTATGCCCTCACTCTGCCTGAGGTGTTTGTACATACGGTCTTTAAGATGTTAATAAACTTCTCAGGCACAACCTTCTTCCAAAGACAATGTAAGAGAACATTTACACTCTTCAATTACAAACTGTCTCCATTTTACTACTTCTTATCACTCTTGAAAGCATCATAAAACGTTTTTCTGATACCTGAAATTTCCCAACACTTTGCCAATAACCTAACGCCAGTCTGTTTTATAGCAGGTTACTGTGTGTAAAATAACTATGAATAATAGATTAATATCATGAATGGATCAATGTTAGAACACCATTGAAAACGTGGAAGCACGGCACGACCGTTTCGTCCTAGCATAGGACTCCTCACCAGTGCGCATCCGCGATCCCGCAAGTGGGAATCCAGCCCAAGACCTTCGGTTTCGCGCGCGAACAATTAACCTGAGCCGACAGTGTTAATGTCTCACTTCAACCAATCCATTATAAGTATGATTATCCAGAATTATTAAATGTTCTCATCGAAAATAAAAGTTTCTTTTTTGATACACACACGTATATTATCTGCATATCTTCTTTTCAACAGTTAAATTATGATTCGTATAAATTAAATTTTATACCATTAATTGACGAACTCACTTATGAAGCAGCCATGGATCAATACAATATGAATGAAAAATATGTTGACAGCCAGGTGACAGTTGCCTAACTTTATCATTTACTTTAAAAAACATTAAACAAAGAAGGCATTGACGACCTGGTGATAACAATCCCATCGAGAATGATGTCCCTGAACGCTCTGGAAATAAATTAGAACTTGTCGACGACTTTCCTTTCACAAATTTAATTCTATTATCATTATTAGTTTCTTTATCCGACGATTTTGATGAGATGAAATCAGAATGATTTCTAGGAATTCTAATTGTCCACTGACGAATTTGAGCTAGTTCAGCTAATTGAAGAGGTTTCCATTCTTCGTTAATTGACAAATGGTTGAATTTTTCTGTTGAGCTTAAGAAATTAAAAAATACACAATCAAAATCATTTTAAGTGTTAATTCAGGATTCTATAGCTTCTGAAACGATGATGAAAAAAATCTAAAGTAGTTCCACTTAGAAACCAAATGATATTATCTTTCAGTAAAAACGATATTTCGAAACATGGTATTGAAGCAATAGTTTATAAGTTTTAAGGAAGAGGCATGACAAAAATCTTTTATCATCAATCTATTAAGCTCCAAAATGCCCTGGTACGGCCGAGGGTCGGGAGAGTCAGCTCTCTCCCGAAACGCTCTCAAGTGGCCACATGCATACAACCACTGCCAGGGAATTCCTCCTCACTGCCTTCTCTCGGTGTGTGTGTTGTTTACGAAATTGAGAGGAAGAAAAGCGAATTTCCGGTACTTTAACCGGGTTGGTGGGTATAGAGGACCCACCTAGGGGGGTTGGAAAACCCTGACTCCAAATCAATGATGTACACGGGCTCCATGATCCTGAGGGAACAAATGGATTATGAACTAATTGTTGGCCACCGGCTGCCATTGGACTGGATTTTCTAACGTTGCTCCACTGCCTTGTGGACTAGACTTTTAGGTCGAAGGCTACGCGTGTGTCCCCCTAAGAAAACCACCAATTTGGTTTGGACACCCGGGCAGTATCACAGCCCACACACAAATCAAGTGACTTATGTAGCGCATATGTATCCGGTGCCCATTTTTTACCAACATTTATGTGTTTAAATAATAAATAATGTATTATTATTGTAATATATTTATTTCATATTGTTTCAAGGTATTATTTAATGTATCTATTGACTTAAAGTGAAATAATATCATTTTATCTAAAAGAATAGATGAAATATAGTTAAGAAAATGTTTACTTCACCATATAGGTAAATGATATGTATTTATGATAGGGACTAGAAATTTTTACATACAGAAGTTAAATTGATACGTTGCAGGAAATTAGCAATCAAAACCAATTATAGGCAACTTTTAGACAATGAAGTTTCTAGGTAGTTCAGAAGACGCGATGAGATTAAATTTATTCTGAGATACCTAGTTCAGATTTACATCATTTGGGTTTGGTTGAATAATTGAATTTTGATGGCTCAAATCTGTGAACATTATTCGTGAACCGAAAATGTAGAAGAATACTTGAAGAACTCTAAAGAAATGAACTCCATACCACACCACTTTTGAAAATATGATGAATACTGTAAAATGTAAAACATAAACAAAAACATTCATCATTCATTCTGAACTGATTCTATTCCAACCAACGAAAGCGATCAGCCAGTGAAAACCATTGTGTTAATCCACACTATCGTAAGTGACTAAACGAATGCTGTTGAATTTATCAAAAAGCTCGGTTACAGATTACTAAACATGTCTATGATTGAGAAAAAATAAACTCAGTCAACCAGGATGAAAAAGACTCGGTATTTTCTGAAACTTCTTATGTAAAATTACATTGACAACGAAGATTAATATATTATTGAAAGCTCTATCATAAATAACTTTACAAAAAGTATACCAAATTTATTTAACATTTTTTCTAAGCCATAAATATTTACTACCATATTTTTAATAGTGGTATTCATTGAAAAGAAACCAACTTCCTCGATTATCCAGTAAGTAAGTGCGTCATTTTCAAGCGTATTGTTCCTTCAGTAAACTAATACAAAGGAATTTTTTACAATACCATTATTAAACATACCTTGACTGAAGGTTTTCATTGTTTTCTTGAACTTTGCTAACTAACTGTCCAGAGAGATTTGTAATAGCACCTCGATTAGGTGGTACTTCAAGCCATTTTCCGTGTGATGTCTTAAGGACAAAATTGGAAACTTGTCTTATTTAATTAGTTGGATATAAAATATTTATTGAAAATATGAAAATTATGAATCGAAACCTGAGCAAGATTATAAAAATTCAACTATATCAGTAATCCTCGGTCGTTTCAATCTGTAAAGTGTTTTTGTTAAGAGAACAAGTTTTCAGCCGCCAACCCCATGCCACATTATATGTTACCAAAAAAGGAGACGGCAATTCACACCACCAATTATTTTTAGTTTAAACAACTGGAGTAGTAACTAAACTATTTATTTATACTACCTAACTAGAAACCTATAAAAGCCAATAATAATGTCTCCATATAAAAAACTATTCCTAGACGTTATAAACAAAACATAATCACGTTCCATTAATATTGTCGATAAATGTTTTATAGGTTTAGTTTAAATTCCATAATGGACTGAAACTAAATGAAGAAAATTCATCGGTACTAGACACTTATTTCATCTTATCTCCCGACTGTCCAGCGACGCCCGACAACCAAAACAGATATAAACGAGCTCAGGACACGTATATGTTGAGGAAGATATGTTATCTTTAAAGCACAGAATGAAGATATGCTAGTAAACATTCTTAACTTCTGCTAATTCTCCTTTCTCTTGAACTTTACATGTTGAGTGTAGTCCTTTAGCTCAGCCACAGTAACACATGATTGATTATCTGTAAGATGTGGTTTTACATTGCGATGGTTAGTACACCATTATTTTACTATAACTAGAACCAAATAGCTAAATTAACATAGTAAATGATTTTTTTAATACAAGGTTAATTTCCATTTATATTAATAATGTGTTGAAGTTTTTAATCATTCAATATCTTATCTTCTTTTCATTAGTTTAGTGTAAGCAGTTCAATATCACTGAAAAGTTAGCTAACACAAACAACATATTTTTATTTCATTGATGCTCAATTGGCAGCTATCCGATGTTCTTTGTATATAACTAGTGCAAAATGTAGTAAAACTTCGTACACTTAATAAGCACAGCTTCAAAAAAACATTGAACAAATTAATTACAAGTGATCGGCAGGTAAGTAAACTCGATATTCATTTTTTCCTGCAATTAATTCAAGAAATAAATAGATGGATAAATTCAGTGGAAGTTAAACATTTTGCAACAAGGATTTATCTGTCCATTAAACTAACCTTTAAACGATGATAATACTTCATCTATTACGAAATCCAGTTCGACAATGATTCCTATTTAGTGATAGCTAAATTACAGATCTGGATTCCTAAAGTCTCAACAGTCATGGAGATTAATTATTATTTTAAATATAAATCAATTATACCCATTGACAATCAGGTTTTTTATCTAAAATTTAATTTGTTTAACAAATTTTTAACAATTCGAAGATTTTTATCATCAAGTAGAGAGTCATTTAAAACTAGATCAGTCTTATAAGTCAAGGCTCTTCGTTAGAACCTTGGAAAGTCCATCTTGATGTCAGTTAAAGCTTTTGTCTCCGACTTTATATGAAGCTGTGAATAATACTTCAGTGAAATATCACACTAGTTAAAATCAACTATTCTACATCTTTTATTATTTATTGACTGGAATCATCTTCAACTTATTCTAAGTTTGCATAAAACTACCTAACTAACACTAAATCAGTATATTTAAGTTTCAATTAAATTAGAGAGAAAAAATTTTATATCAACATAATTAAAACTATCATACCTCTCTATAAACATATAGACCATGTTGTAAATGCTTATTAGAACGAAAACATAGTGAACATAAAAACGGATTTAAATTTTCATCTTGTCCTAATTGATAGCATATTTCACAACGATAAATATTACCTAATATTGGCGAGCATAAACATGATAAACATCGTGTATTTGAATGTCTTGTTTGCATTGTTTCGATGTTCAGTTTTCTCTGTGCATCGTTTGCTTGACCAATAATGGTCATATTGTGAATATGTTTAGGTACAGTAGACTTTTTAATATCTGTTTTCACATTTTCCGTAAATTCCCGAATGAGAACATGTAAGGGTGCAAAATCCCCCCGACAAATAGGACATTTTACGTAATCCATTAATCCTGGCATAAAAATACGAAAATAAGTGAAGGTTTGTAGAATCCTTTAGACGTAAACTACTTGTCATCATGTTGATAATAATAGTATGCAATATTATTAACAAGTAGAACTTTACAATGGATACTTCATCCATTTCTGTCTAGATGCATCTTATAATTCATAGTTAACCAATTATATTCAACCGACACAAAAGAGACTCCAAGCAAACACATACTTCGTGCTCATTTTATTACATATTTCAAAGTGAATACCTGCATATTACTAAGCAAAGATTCATAAAAACTACGTTTTAGCAACACCTTTACTATCAGTGCGTTAATATGCTCTGCCAATAGTGTGTCTGCTAGACAAATTATAGGCAGGAACCTGTTTAACGACAAGTAGCTGGATAAACTTTGAAAAAAGAGTTTGTCAAGTAGCAAAATGAACCACATATGTGCGAAAAGTGCAGAGTTCTCCTTGATATAACATTAATGGTCGTTAAACTATCACTTGGTGAAACCATGAATACTATTTGCTAGCACTCTGAAATCTTGAACCGATCAACATAAAGTTCAAACACTTACTATCTATGTGCTTAAATGATATTCAGTTTACATTCGACAACTATTGAAGTGGAGACGAAGCTCTTGACTGATACGTTACTGAATAATGGTTATACATTGAAGTTCATAAACCACTAGAAGGGTTGCAGTACGACTAGACTTATGACGCTTCTGGCACCCAAAAAGCGAGTTTGCATTACGTTACCATTCAGAGACGACACAAATAGTCTCATATTGAAACGGAGACTTAAATTAACTATCAACTAGATATTTTATGCAGCCCAAATTGTTATTATCGAAAAGATAAGGTCTATGTTTCACCAAAAGCCCAAACAGCACGAAAACGATTGTGTCGCATCCCACTGAGTCTATCAATTTACATGCATGTGCGGAAACACGTAGATAGGGAGGAGCAATCGTGACCTTCAATTAAGGGTGGGTGAACACATATCAAAATGGTTGCAGAAACAAATGGATTCCGATGGTCAAATAAGATCACAGGATAAACAGACATCATCCTCCATTGTGGAACATTTGAATGAGACTGGCCATGAGGTTGACATGAAGTCAGCATTTGTGGTGTTATACAAAAGCCTTCAAGGACGTATACTAAGGTTTATTGAAGCCTTGGCTATACGGAAATTGAAACCCCCTTTATGCAATCAAAACAATTTGTCCTTACAGTTAACCTACCCTGATAGTACTGGTTTATTATCCAGAGTGGTAATTACATTTGTTTTTGTGTACTATAGATTTTTTTGTTATGGCTTACCTTTAACCTGTCTAGTTGGCCTTCTAGTTTTAATATATAAATGTTCTTAACAAGTATATGTGTGATCAGGTTGTTCGAAATGTATTGCGCAAATATATCACATAATTCTGATAAACTTCGTCTTCTCACTGCATTATCGAAATTTATCAAAGGAACTAATTGCTCTAAAAATAAATGAACATCTTTTTGGTAACAGTAGTTTTATAAACTGACATTCAAATACGTTTTGTGCTCTGTTTTTGCTGGTTGATCAGTCGCTAAGTTAGAGCTCTCATTAAACTAGTGAATACTAAAACGAAGTCTTAAAGTAAATTCAGCAGTGATTTGGGTACATAAAAGTAATCTGAGGATTGTCTACAAGTTAGTTCATCATGCTTAAGGTACATTTTGTATACCTATGGTAAACTGTATTACAATATAACGATTTTAAGTAATTCAAGTTTGCCCGAAAATCTATAAAAGAATTTTGAATTATAAAAATAAGTTCATTTGTTAAAATACTCTACATCTAACTAGTAATTGATTTCACACGCAAGCATTCCGTTTTTTTTAAGAAAGGCCTCATATGTGTTCCCAGTTAAATAAGATCGGAAGTTGTTCTTTTCAACATTAAACTAATTTTATCATACAAAAAGTCAGAATTATCAATTGTCTAGTGAATTTGATCGGACCTAAAGATTATTTGCTTAATTTTATTTCCAAATTTGATTTACACGCAATCTTTGAAGCACTCTATGCGAAATTCTACAGAGCAAGTATGAAAATTCTTCCAGACCAGAACTACTAATGATTTCATAGTTGCATACTTAGTTATTGTTATTACACCGATACTTTTTGATGACCTTGAGAATGATAGCGATTGATAAACACGAGTAATTTTTCTCCCACAAAACCTGATAATCTGATAATTAATGAATATTACAGCTTTGAAATTTCAGTCTGAATTATTTCAGAACAAAAAATTTATCTTCGAGACAATTTTCAAAATTCCGCTTACCTAAAGGGTTTTGTTTTCTTTGATAGTCTGTCCATACTTTCATACATCGTATATGTAGACTGTTACCACAATTTTTACGGCAAAATGTTACTGGAAGTCGCACTTGAGAAAAAAGTAATCCTGGCATATTGGGCAAATATCGTTTTCTCCAACTCGGCGTTGTAGGTTATATGAAGGCTAACTTAGTTAAAAATACGTAATACGCATACCCTTTCATCAAATTTATCATCATTCAGAACTTTAGGCTCAGTTAAATTTGTGACATTATTCGTTGCTGAGTGCTGTCCGTCTAAAAGAGCTGATATTTCTCGCTCAACTAATCCAGATTGCCAAGATACTAAACAAAGTCAGTAACCTATTTTTCATATACCAGGATTATTTGGGTCTACTTTGAATCGTCTAGTTAATATCCAGCATAAATGAACACATAGTTCACGATTTTTTGTAAAGTCACCACATGAGCAAGTATGAACATCACCGAGTTGTACCTAATGCGATAAGTTTAAAGCATTTTAGACCCACCTTATATTTTTGCTTTGAAACGTCTTGTAGCAAGTAAAATGTTGGTCCATACTGTTTTAAAATGTATAGTGTGGAGTTTTGTGCTTCTTCTTGATTTCTTCTCACAATATCCGGGCGTTTATTCTGATGGCTAATGTAATTTGACATGTGTTTGTTTCAGTATCACTTTGTACCGTAATTCAGTTTTCAAAATCAAATTATTTGTCAGGAATTTAACCATCTGTCCATCATTGTTAAACAGTAAGTAAATTCTAAAATGAAAATAAAACGGGCTCTATGGAATATTTCAAAAACAAAACTGTTTTTGTATAAACAAAGCAAAACTTCCATGAGTGAAACTCCTAAATAATTCATATAATCTGACCTTTATCATAAACATCAATTCAGACTTGCAACTAAAATTCCTTATGTTACCATACCTACTTAAAGAATAAAGTTTTTAGTATTAACTCGAGCTGGTAGTAAGTTAGTCGATTGAATTCAACCACCACCGATCACTAGACAAATAGAACATCCGTCAAACGTCAGTAATCAATAGTTGTGAAAATTTCAGTTTTGAAGGACATCAGTTGTTACCCGAATACTTTAATAGCAACGTCATTAGCTGTGGCACTGGATGATGTGAATCCAAATGAGACGGGGATTAATAATTTACCAGCACTTCAGACAAACCCTGTTGATGAGCTTCGAACAACACTAATCACACATTTACGGTTTCCTACTGTTTTCTCTCTCGCGTTCATTAAATCGTATCTTTTATCTTATTCATACATTTTTCTGATGTTTACGGTTATTCGAAATATTTGGACCGTTGATAACTGTAGTCATCAATTACTTATTTTGTTCGATTTGCCGTACTTTTATCGATGAAGGGAAATACTTTGACTTCAGTCAAAAAACATCAAAGGCGATGGTTTTCACAGTTTTAGCATGGTCTTACAGCAATCATGGTGAACTATGGGCCACATAATGTTTTGAACCTGCCTTCTCCACTTCGATTAAGTAATCGGAATATTTCTGAGAAATTTAGAGAAAATTAAAGACTGCTTTGAAGCAACCGTTTGCACCTACGACTATAAGATGGGCTCGAAAGGAAAATGTGAAGGTATTTAACTGGTATATAGTCTGCAATGTTTTATTACACGCTTTCTTCTGAAATCCTGATGAGAGTGGAATGAGCGGTAACTTACATTAAACCTCATAATGCATAAGCACTAAAATGAAAGTTATCGAACTTCACGCAGGAGACCCAGATATAATTTGAGCTTCTTGAAATCAAAAGTTAAAAGCACTTCTCGTATTTGCAGGGGTAAATAAATCCTCAGAATAAATAGTTCTGTAGGTTTTCAACATTGATGCTGATCAATCATGCACTCACCATAAGAACGTTTAATCTTTCTTCCTCTGTGACATAGTAGTAGCTCTCAAAGCTCTCTGACAAACAGGATTAAATACTAATTTTATCATTAATTAGCGAGGGCGAGTTCCAGGTAATTTTGAAAAGTACAAATGAACGTGGAGTTATATCAAAAGGTGAGAGATATGTTATGTTAAAATCTCTAAGTCATTCAGTCAACATATTCTTTCAACCAAATGTTTGCATTTAGAACAAAACATGGGAAGAGCTCAACAAATTAAGTTTGAGGCTAATGGTTATACATTTATAAGTAACGGTAGAAAAAATGCTTCTACGCTATGTTTTGTTTCAATTAACGTATATTAGATCCTGTGTGATCCCATAAAAATAACTTACCCCGGAAAAGGGTTTCCGACCAATCTCCCTATTTTGGGGTTTTTGTGCCATTTTCCAGAAGCTTCTGTAGCGGCCCTCCCAAAATTTCCCCAAAACGGGTAAAATTTTCCCCGAAATTGGGCGGCCAGTCAATTTACAGATAGTCAACTCTATAGAACTGACTAGGAAAACTATTATCAACAAACTTTTCCCGTAACAAATTTTAACAATATATGCTTTTAGAAATTTAAATTTGCCATCATTTTTGACTAAGACCGGTTGCCTGTAGGAACTGAAAAGTACTCGACTCACTTGAGTCAAGACCTCAGTTAGTACAAAAACGCACTACGAACGGTCACAACCAGCAATCACGTATGTGCGTAACTGAAGAAATTTTGATGGGATAACAGCTCAAGTGTGTAACTTGATCAGATGGCTGGGATCGCCGTTCGAGTAAGTCTGGCGTGACTCTAATATATGGACGAGCCAATCAGAAGGGTTTGGGGGATTTCTGGGTCACGGCGCCAATTTCAGCACCTGATACTCACGTACGATCGGTTTACAGCGGACTTTAGAGAAGACATGATTAATGTGCGGCTACAACGGATGGGACCATTAAGAAGTTCCTTTATTTGTGACTGCGGCTATTAAATGACTGCAGTCTCGTGTTTAGACCATCATGATGACATTGCCTTTTGATGTTCTTTATGTTGGAGAAAGAAGTCTGCTGGAATGGGAACTTTCTTTGCTCGATCGCGATTGAGACTAATAAGAGTCATGATAATTGTCGCAGATTGGATAATAACAGAACCAGCAACACCGGCTGCAACATTTGCGGATGTTGCTGAGACTTCAGCTGTCAAATGATATGAGTATTGCATGATTAGCTAATATTTCTCAAGATCGCTTGAGACTCGTTCAAAGGTCGACCTTTGATTTATGGGGATCCCCATAAATCAAAGTGATATACGAATAAATTAGTTGCTTTATTAGCGCCCAACTAACTTCAGTCATCGAACCAAAAGTGCTATTCCATCTAGGTGAAGAATCAATAGTTTGTAAATAGAAGATCTCTATTTGCTGTTTCTAATGTTACATCAATATTGCTATATGACCTCAGTTTAAATTTTACCCTGAGTTGGTACCATAACAACACTAATAAAAACAATCTGTTGCCACCCGCAATGTCCAATAACCTCAAGAGTGTTAAGATAAATAAGTTGATTTCAGGTTTTTTGTGAATTTCTGGTGCTTAAATACTAGTTTCGCTGAAATTTCAGGATTACAAAAGTGAAATATTTCGTTCTGGAGTACCGCCTTGTAATTGTAAATTCACAGGTTCTGAACTCTTTCGGTAACTTGTGCTTGTAACTGCTACTCTCTTGTCCCAGCACTACATTTTGCCATTTTATGCATGTTGTAATCATTTGTGCAGTGTTTTTGTTCTTTGGTCCAGTTTAGATATTTAGAGATAGTAGATTGTCCGTGTCAACAACTGGGTACAGGAACGTCGTGACCAACCAGTTTGTGCCGAAGTCACAATTAAGGACTAGTACCTAGCGCAAATTACCTTCTCACTGTAACTAAGTACCATGGCTATCTTTACGACTGTGCCACAGATGACGTTATGACAGAAATACACCACTAAGAATAGATATGGTACTGACTTTAGTCATGCTTCTTCAGTAGTTGGTTTTAGTGCACAATTTTTTCCGCCAACAGTAGAGCTTTCAAAGCATGAGGAGGTTAATGACTTCAAATGACGTTATTATTTGCTAGGTTGTGTTGAAATGAGTGAATAGGGTGCTGTAATTTATTAAGTCGAGTTTTATGGAGTTTTTCCTTGCTAAGTCTTTAAATAGCTTGTAACGGCAAGTAAATCTCCAAAATCAATGGCTCTGTAAGCCTTCAACATTTGGTGCTTACGGCATTAGTCTTAATGGACTCACCTAGCTGAAGGCGCTCGGTTACTCATACATACCAGATCAGGATTAGGTACGTCGTGCTTCCCATCTGCGACAACTAGCCAGCTTAGATTGCTTACTTCTTGATATAACGATATTCTGTCAAATACGATTTTGAAGCTCTTTGCTTCAAATGGTTCAAATGGTTGTGGACGGAATAGAAGAAGCTTTCGCTTAACAGGCTTCCGTGTCTAGTAGCAGGGGATCACCAAATCCTCCAGGCAGGAACCTAGGTATGTTAACAATAAAAGGGGAAAAGAAATTGGTAAACCATAGTGTGATACTGACCTTGGTCCTTAAGAATAGGTCAAGTTGCCTCTTGAAGGACTCTTGAGAATCGCTTGGACTAGCTCGGCTGGCAGCGAATTCCAGCTCTTGACAACTTTTAAGGAGTAGAAGTTGTGTCTAAATTCCGACTTGCTATGTTGTGTTTCCAGTTTCTCGGTGTTACCCCTTAGGTTATTCGAACTAAGCTTAAGTAGGTGTTGAAGAGGATGTCCTGTTATTTTTTTGCATAGAGCTTCGCTGTCAAAACGAAGGGTTGAGAGGATCCACTTATTCCACCTTATTTATTCAGGCAGCAAGCGATATTAATTAAGAGGTCACATACCGACAATCTTGGGTCTAGAGAAGTCGTACAACTGTGTCATGAATGCAGAGAACCGAAGGCTGGCGACCTACACGTCTTTAAACCCCTGACACAGTTGTCAATGTACCACAAAATGTTTTACATGAGCTATCAACTTATTTTGGCATTTGCAGCAGACAGGCTTTTGGGTCATCTAGAAACAGCACTTACTATGTTGAAAGATTTTTTGCTGTCAGTCTAGCTCTCACTAACTTTCTTTCTGGCTAATACCAGAAATCCAATCCCCTTTTGAATCAGTCATGTCTTACTCAAACAGCAAAGCACACTTAGCCAACGGGAGTTGAACATATTTTGAATACGGTGGGGTTTAAGGTGGTACTCTGTTATATCGTTATGAAGATTGAATTGCGAGTAACGTTTGAGACCTATTAACGGATCAATATTATCTAGATATTCGTATGGTATAACTGTTCAGTAACTAGATTGTATATATCAATATTCCCCTTATTCTAAGCTTCATTATGACCAACAGATTACTATTGTATGATTTACTGTTCCTAAGTTATACTCAGTTAATTAATTACTGCCTCCAATGTTCACAGCCACTTTTGTCTATATTTTGTACGAGTGTTATTTTCTGTTTTATGGTGCGTTGCAATCTGTTTGTTTGGTATGTAAACCCAGCATAGTGGAGGTTGTTATTGGCATTCTGGACTCAACTGGACGGGCTAGGTGAGCAACGGACTGATGGGACGCTAGGCCGATCAGACCGGTCGAACGTCATTGTTTTGGTACAGTATGAGAACGAATAAGTCGTATTTTGATTGGCGACTGAATACGTGATAACAAGCGGCTCATAAAATCACAACATACTCGTTTTGTCGGACCATTTTTCGAACTCATCATACTACATTCCATACTAAGCATGGAAGAAACGATTGATATATCACTCACTAGTATTAAAACTGAATACTTTGACACATGAAACTGTGCTCGCTGTGGAAGATAAGCTCTTATTCAGAAGGGAGCGAAATGACTAGTGTTGTGGTGAATCTACAGTTTCAGTTGTGGATTCACACATCAATGCAAAATAAACTATGGTGGAGACAAGCCTGAGCTGTGTAGAGGATGTAATTAGGAGATAAAATAAGGTAAATGAGTGACTCAGAGTCACGCTTGAAGATTACCTTTGAAACGGTTGAAGAACGAAATTTGATACTAGGAAACTCACGTAAAATGATTGGATCCGGAATGTACGTCCGTGAGGATCTCAGCCTGGTTGACCGTATTAAGAGACGAGCTGCAAAAGTAGAAATAAACGAGCTCCGCCGAAACGGTGAAAGAAACTCCGTACTTAACGGTTTTCAAATTGTAGAAGTTCAGAGCAAAACGATCCTCAAACCACTCTGGGTGGTAAGGGAAAGCTCTTCACAGAATTAAGGGTGTGCTACACAAATACTCGCAGCCTACTAAATGAAATGGCGGAGCTCAAGATGTTATTGCTATCTCAGAAACCTGATTAACGTGGCGAACAATATGGTTTCGGAAAGGGTTTATCTTGAACAACAAACCTTATAGCAAGAGAGCATTGGATAACGGCACTAGACAGCAGAAGCTCAGTGGATATTGTCTACATAGACTTCAGCAAGGCATTTGACAAGGTGCCAACAAATAGACCACTATTGAAGCTCAAAAATCTTGATATTACCGGACCGCTTTTTAAATCGCTCAAGAATTTCCTAGTAGGTTCCTAGACACAAACTAAGAGTGATTTCGAAGTGCTCCACCTGGAGACCAGTACTTAGAGGAGTGCTTCAAGGTTCTGTCCTAGATCCTTATCTTTTCATACTGTATGTAAGGGATTTCTTAAGTATCGTACAGTCTCCAATGTTTTTGTACGCTGTCGATGTAAAAATATGGTGAGTAATAAAGGGAGATGCAGATGCATAAGCACTTGAGGCAAACATAAATGTTGTGATTAACCGGTCTAAGGGGTGGCTGGTGACTATCGACACGGCGAAATTTGTGTACATGCACTTTAGGGATTAAAAGGTTAATAGGCACAGCACAGGGGAAATGCCTGTACCCGTAGTCCGGTCTTACAAAGATCTTGAGGGGATGGTCAGCCATGATCTTAAGACCATATCCCATTGCCGAGAGGTCGCACCTAAGGGGTTTAGAACCGACTGAGATTTAAGATGGACATTCACTAAGTTAGATACTACCATGTTCACCACAGTATACACAATTTTAGTGAGTACTAAGCTTGAGAACGGCGTTCAGGCTTCAAGCCCCTGTTTTAAAAGGTGACTCGGATATCTTGCAAAAAGTACGGAGGGCAACTATCCATGCGGTTTCAGAACTCCGAGGTTTACCATGCAGGGAACGGCATGAAAAGCTGGAAGTCTTTACTCTGTCCTATTTCAGACTAAGAGGTGATCTGATTTTGATGTATATAGAATGCTAAAAAAATGTTGGACGCGATATATCCCCTCTTTTTCTTCTCATTAGATAGGAACATCTCGGAGGACATAGCAGTCGAGTATAAAAGCCAATTACGAACAAAATACTCGTGGCATACAGATTTTCACATCAAGTTTTCTATTCTTGAAACCTGTTACTCAGAGTGGTGTCCGCACCTTCAATTGACTCATTCAAGAGAAGACTCAACTTTCATAGAAGCATACTAGAAAGGGAAAAACATAGGCCGTAAGCCTACTATTCTTACTACACAGGAAGGGTTACTCTTGTATAACCAACCGGGGGGAACCAAGGAAGTTTCTTTAAATTTAGTACTTAAAAGAACCAGTTCAAAAATTAGTGGTATTTTAGACGGGCCCCGGGGCTTTTTAATTTTAATTAAAACAAATTTCCCCCCCCCAAGATGACAACCCTTGAATAATTTTTTTCAATTTGAAATTTGAGTCAAAGAAATTTTTTCTTACCAAGGTCATCGGAAACTAAGTTATTACGCTACATGCCAACCTCGAAGTTTAATGAATACTAATCCGAATTCTCTTGTCACTCAATTTGTGCAAGGAATTAAATCTCGTAATGAAGATGACAGGTTTAAAACTGTGACCGAATTATGCAAAGTAGTAAGCAGTGAACTGAAAGAGGTGTCAAACCAAAACTACGTTATATGTTTGGATTTGTTATGTAATGAGTTGATTAACATATTTTCCACTGGTGATATACATGAGAAAAAGGGGGCTATAGTCGCAATGGGTAAGTCATGTACTTCTGAAACTAATGTGAAGTGGTTTTCACCAACCTAGTTATGTTTTCAACGTACATGGTACGGTTATAAATCGAACAATTTAAGTTAGCTCTCAGTAAAGATTTATTAAGTGTTTTCAATATATTCTTGTATTTAATTTCTACCAAAAAATTTCTCATTATGCTCACTTTTTAATAATTTTGTGGGCAAGATTCTGAAAAAATCAGTGTGACTTGTGTTACTGATTTTTCTACTATCCTCCTACTTTTATTTTTGCCCGTTGGGTATATGTATGTTGTGTGCACAATTGCATTAATGTGCTTCAAGTGTAGAGTTGTGTGCTTACTGCAAATATACTGACGGTTTATAATTCTCATCACCCAGCATATATTAATAACATTCAAACACCGTCATAATAGTGATGATTTGTCTAGTAATATTCTTTTTTTTTGCTGAGTGTATTTTTGTCAAAGTAAAACGATGATTCGCCCTATAGAACGCCGGTTCTTTTCAGTCCAATGGGTTTCTACAATTGAATGCTTTTACTATTTGGTTATGCAACTGTCAAAGCTGTGATCTTACAATAAATTTTGTTTTGTCAGTAGTAATTTTCTGGCATGTTTTTGTGTTTGCACTGTTTTTACTCGACTTTTCTGATTTTCCTTATCGTCTTACAGTAACTATACTCATAATCCTCTTGTAAAATCGTTTGTCTTTAGTTATTGCTTATTCAGAATACGTATTTGCGATTGTTTGCGTAGAATGTTATACGTACGCAGGACTCATTGTCCCTTAACTTTCAAAACATAAGTGAAATCCTGCCTATTGATTATCGACACAGCGAATAAGTGCTGTGTTTTTCTTGACAACACCGACTGAAATAGTGGTTGTGAGTGAATACATGTCTACACAAAATGTTACGTATAACGGCTGCAGTGGTTCATTGGTGTTTTCATCTAATCTCTAACAGTTTGGAGATGAATTTTAGTCTTACTTCAATTTGGTTTCGATGTTTGATGGCACTTTCGTTGTGGTAATTTTAGCGTGATATTCAATGAAATAACTGCGCCTAGTTTTATATCCAAATAAAACTATCAAATTGTTACAAAATTGACTGTCCGATATTTCGCTGTTTGTAGTGGTTTGCTTAGTATTTTCCACATTATACACAGTAAACTCCAAACTTTTTGAACGAAAATGCCGCGACGAATGTTTCTTAGGACCTGTGGCCACTTGATAAACCTCATGTATACACATTTCTTTCCATATATGTATCCTAATTTAACTTATCCTTTAAAGGTAGGATAACCGTAGCGTGCTTCTCTGTAGTTCACTTTAAATCCCAGAGTACGGTTTATGTACTTAGATCTGACAATAAAAGATTCTGTGGATTTTCATAACTACCTTATATTTAAGTTATCTATTTTGAAGTTTGATGCGAAAATAAACCTAAAGATAACATTCAGCAGTCCGATGGAACTAGGATAAAGTGATTATTACTGCGTGCTAGTGTGCTGTCACCAACAAAACCAAAAAGGTTTTCTTCACTTCTACATTGTGTTACTCTTACCATCCACTTTATATTGCAGATGCACTTCAGAGTTTAAACACTACTGTTTATCTATACATTTATTTGCCCCAGTTGAGGTAGTAACGGTTATAAAAATTCGACAAGCTTGCCAAAACTTTTTCGGGTATTGTACATTGTCTCCTATTGAAGGGACGACTTATACAATGTACACAACAAAATGGGCTGAGTATCAGTCAGTCACGACGTAGAACTTGGGGCTTGTATTCATCAGCTCAAGTTTTCACACCCTATTAGCACGTTGGGATTAAATTGTTTAGAGTGGTAACAATATGAGTGGTGCTAGAAAAAATTAGGCATCAAAGGTACGATTAAAGAAAATATAAATTAGTAAAATAAAAACAGTAAAAAGTTATAAGGAATTTAGAAGCTCGGGACTTGAGAGAAGATAAAGAATGGATGCACCTGCACCATCAGAAATGATTTTGAACCATACCACTCAGTCTTCAATCATTGTTCACGATAATCACGCGGATACGAACCAGGTAGTCTACACCTGTTAACACGGCACAGTCCAATTGTCACTGACTTCATGGACTGGTGCCATATTTTAGTTTACTTGCCCCTTTCGTTCTTCCAGCCTACTTTTGCACCTGGCCACCCATCGAGGCAGAAAGTGATTGGGCACAAATAACACGTAGGTATCATTACCAAGGTTTGATTTGATAATTTCGAATAAATTGAGCATAGGGTAGATTGTTATAAATAAATTGTATATTTTTAATATCCCAATGAGTAGAAAAACTAGATTTTCTGACGTTTCGTGGCTTAGTGTAAGTCACTTCTTCAGAGAATAAATAACCAAATTAAAATTAATTAACTTGAATTAATTTTAATTTGGTTATTTATTCTCTGAAGAAGTGACTTACACTAAGACACGAAACGTCAGAAAATCTAGTTTTTCTACTCATTGGGATATTACAAATATACCATTTATTTATGAATAACACGTCTTATCCACCTCAGTTGATGAAGATGGCCATTCCTAATGGCCAGGTTTCGTACTCATAAAGTAAAATGGAGCGTACTTCTGGGCGTCAAACTTGTCCTCTGGCTGGGAGACGCAAGGCAATGGGGAAGCAATAGCTCTCATCGTTGCTTAAGTTGATCAGGAGACTACATTTTATCAGCGTATTCACTAAACAAGACTATATCATGTGCATATGTTAAGTTAAGAAGTGGAAGAACAAGCTCTGAAAAGTCAGATGACAAGAGTGTTATTTCTAAAAGTATATCTGTGACGAAATTAACTGGAAATAAGAGTGGCAGACAACCCTGACTAACACCAATTGAAGTAATAAATTGTGATGGCAGTACTGTGTGATCTCTGACTCATCCAGTACTGTTTGAGTAGAGAGACTTCAAAGTAGACTTACTTCTTTGGCAAGCCTTTAAATAGTATACATTGCCGCAGAGCCTCACAGCCAACAGACTTGAACACCGCACTAAGGTCAAGAAGTAGAACTATAGTCGGGCGTCGAAAAGTATGTGTATGTTTCTGAATCTGCCTAGGGGTGAGTATTTGGTGTATATATTCACATTCAGATCTGAAACCAACTCGGTTTTCTCGGGTTTGGTCTTTGTGGGTTTTAGTTGGGCATGAAACTATTATCGTGACTAGTATTTTAGATATGATATTCATTAAACTAATGCTTCTGTGATTGTCACAAGAGGAATTTCACCCTTTCTGACAAACTCGGACGATCAGCGATCAAGACCAGTCAGATTAGATTTCGTTAAACTCCCCAATTCTAACTAAGACCTCAGTCAATCTAAGTGCTAAAACTGAATCACCACCTTTAAAAATATCACGGAATAATCCACCAGACCCTGCTTCATGCAACACCATACATAGACTCCCTATAAAGCCCCAACACTTTTTGGCCGGCATTTTCCGATCTAAATTTTAGGTCCACAAATGTTTGTTCCATTCTTTACCTTACCATGGCCATCACCTACCGCTGGACCGAATTAATAATCACTTTTTGTCTTGTTACATTGAGGAAGTATGAATGTTATTTTTGTATGCCCTTATTATTATTGTTCGTAATAGTCTTTTTATTTAGCGTGTTTTTACATTCATATTTCATCAATGATTTAATCTATTTTGTCTTTACAACAAGAATCTTCCTCTACCTTAGACACTCATTTGCTGACAGATTATAAATACTATGTGAGCATTTAAATGATTATTGTTGTGACGATTTTCACCGGTAATATGAACCACACAAATACGGGTGCTATTAGTGTAAATATTTTTAGTTGTGGTTGTAAAAGATGCAGAATTATGGAAACTAATCATTTTCGTAAATTGTGTTGTCATAGAATAGTATGATACCTGTGATGAGGTAGTGTTCTTAATAATGTTATTCGAATACTATGGTAAAAGGTGTCATATTTTCAGTGTCTTTTTTCATCTCTGTCATTTAGGATGGTAGTTAGTAGGTCCGAGGTTCCAATGACCCTCCACCTATTTCGGCTTTCGTAGGTTAGTAGTATCACTAGGCTTCCACATGAAGCATATTTCAAACCCGAATACATGGTCCTGTACGTAGTAAGTGGTTTCCATCATCATAATATATCGGCCTAGCTATCTTCACACTGAGAGAGGCTTTGCCATATCACTAATCACTTACCTCGTTTCACTTTGGTTTTGTCTTGCGTAAGTTCAACAATCAATAACTCGATATGGATAATTATTCTAAGAGTCAGAAGACACTCGTAAAACACTAAATAAATAATTGAATCTTAATTTTTATGCAACCTTCTACATTGTTCTTATTTACTACTAAAGTGATGGGGCTAATAGCACCTTCAAGAAGACTAGTTTTTTTACCCTTGCTTAAATTGCCAAATTATCTTCGTATCCTTATTTTCAGGTTGTTTAGCTGAGGTGGATTTTATGAGTGTTCACAATCATTGCCAACGTTTTGTAAAGCAGTTGCTTACTCAGCCAGTAACCACAGATCTTCAGCTAACAGCTTTAGAAGCGAGGCTCATCGGGCAATTGGGCTTGGTATTTCCATATGATTTTATTGAAGAACAAATCAAGAATGCTTGTAGTATACTATCGAAAGATATTTCTGATGCACAGAAACACTTCGCGGTAAGTTTGTCCGATTCTCTATGTTTAACAATCGTCTTAAGATTGTATTGTATAGTTTTTCAGGCATTTATAACATTGATTAGGCCATAAATAAGAAACATAAATCTTTCTCATCTCTTGTTTGGAGCTTCTCGTTTACTTTAGTCTTGGGTTTACCATTAGCCTTCTGTTTCCCACCATTTTTCGGTAGCTTCTGAAACCTGGTGGTGACTGCATCACATTAAAAATACCTCACTTGAAATGCATTTTGAAAGCGATAATAAGCCAAGTTTATATTCAAGCATATGAAACATCGGATTATTAATATAAGAACCTAGCAATGACTAATCGAACAGCTTATTATAGCTAAATAATCGTATCCCTGGTTAATTTCTTCACAACAACACGTGTGTTTCAATAAGTACATGACCAAATTGGGCATAGATAAAATGAAGAGATTTTACATAATTATTGGCTGTGGCAAAAAGATATTACTTTTTAGTTAGACAAAGGTCCATTAACAGCAACACTAATATCATCATATAACAGCTGTTTTTTTGTAACATCATAACTACGGTTATTCGTACTAAATGACTATCACTCACTATTATTGCACTGTACACCAATTAAAAGTCGACAAACTTCTTAAATGAGCAGCTCTTATACGGAAAAGTAACAGTGGTTCGATAACTGGTTAATGTGCGAAAGTATGTTGTTCGATAGAGGAACTGCAATTAATCTGTATTTTAAACAGATAATATCACCAGTGAACTACTGAAGTTAGTAGAAATTAAGGAACCAATAACAAACTGAGTAATGATGAATGGAGATTATATTATTTTTAGTACATACAAGACACCACAAATCATTTTTTAAGTGGTGACAAACGGATCGCTGGACTACCGAGATTATTAGTGCATGTCCGTTATTCACCCTTGTTTCTTGTAATAACTTATTTCCTGTATTGATTGGTAAGATTACCATATGTGTTTGACGTATTTCTATTTTGTTTTGAAACATTTCTAAAGTAATTTTTTTTACATTTTGCTGTTGATTATTTTCGGGTTTTCAGATCTTAACTTTACGTGAATTTATTTTGCATACACCAACAAGCTTTTGTCAACACATGGGTTCATTTATTACAGCTATTCTTTCTGCTCTTAGAGATAAAAACGTAAGTTACCTTGATAATTAAAATTTGTATGTTATTTCTATGTTGCATTTGACCGACCGGCTCTAATCGTATTACGTCGAAAATATCTTGGTTTTTCTCATTTATTTGACATTTCGTATGTTTATCTGTCTCTTAACACTAAGACCATAAGTTCCAAGTATGTTTTATCCCAATAATATTTGACGATACATTCGATTGTGTAGTTACAGAATAGTTTCTCCAGAAACCTAATCCTTTGCATTTATGTTTGTCTTGTTTCGAGCAGAGAAGCCAATATAGCGGTTATTTAAAATCTAAACGTTAGATTGTGATTTTTGTTTATATAAGTCTAGTAAAAAAACAAACTATATCCATGGTCTTGTACAATATTTCATCGAATTGTCTTATGTCTCATTTTCTTGAACCTTTCAAATTTACTCAATAATATATCGTTTTCAGTCTATTACAAGAGAGTTGGCTGGAGTTGCTTTGCGTTGTGCGTTCATTTTAACTGCTAAACGTGAACAGAGACGCTACAGAACATATTTAAGTGTGGACCATAGTCGTATGGGTGAAGGACCTGGGAGTTTTTCAAACCTTGAAGGTGGTGCACCATCTGTTTCTAGTCGAACATTTTTCTCTTCTAGTGGAAATTCACGTCATAAAACTAATCCAAATTCTATGAGTGCTGTCAATTTCCCTGGTCTTGGATATTCCGTGAGCGATACAAACTCTACGTCGTCACCATTTATTTGGTATCGTGATTGTTTGATCGAATCCATACGAGCCCAAAGCGAATCAGCTCCGTTAATTCTACAAGAGCAATCAAGTCACGTAAGTATCCATAACAGTCATGAGTTGTTTCGATACGAATGGTAGTTTGAATTTTATGATTATGATAATTTGCTTATATCCCATGTATCATAACTGATGAATTTTTCAAAGTCCTGAAGATTTGTACTTCTATGCATTTCATAAAAACTAATTTTTCCATGGTCCAAAATTCTCAACCAATTTGCTCATTGGTGACGTAAACTTCAGTGATTTTGGCTCCAAAGCTTACAGTACTAATGTATAAAGCAACAGTTTTGTTGAGATTTGATGACGTTTCCCGATGTAGTCATAATGGATAACACTTCTACTCTATAGATTATTATCCTGTGATTTAGTTTATCATTCAACCATAGCTGCTATGTGTTGTAGTTTTCAAATCTACTTATCATGCAGATGTGATCGAATTGTATTAGCCAGAGCATTTATTCCTTGAGGTCCTACTGTATCACACGTTGTTTAAAGAGCGATAGGACATAAGTTCGCAAAATGAAGTTGTACTGTCGACTGTACTAGGATTTCAGCATGGTTGTCAAGCAAATGGCATCGCTACAAGCATGTATTAGAAGTCAGGCCTAAGAGTTGGATACCTTACCTTGACCCCATGGGTTTCTGTGGTCGACGGTATTATCTGAATCGTATGGGACTAGTGCAAGAGAACTTTTGTGTAAATAACTTCATACAATTGTTTCTTGGGCTTTTGATTCCCCTTTTCTAGATTTATAAAGCCTTCACTATCTACCCAGTTTTCCTTTCAGGTAGTTTAGGGAAAAATATCCTTTAACTACATGAATAACTGGAAATCTTATACATAAAGTTCCTTGATCGTCTTGGAGAGAGCAAAAACAAAAAATTGAGCAGAATAACATGAATTCATCTTAGTTCGTTTGGTTCACGTCAACTGCCTACAACCTGCGATATTTAAATATCGTAATTACGAAATTGTTTAGATTACTTACCTGAAAGAGTTTTGTTGGTAGTTACCGTGAGGATACATCCGTATAGTATAGCAAGGGTGTAAATAAATTTAATTGACTGGATAAAATATTGTAAACATGTACCTTATATAAAAGAACATTCTAAAACACTAATAATAACTGTGGATAATCGATTTCCCACACATCTTTCACAGCATGAGAATTATTCTCGCTTATAATCAAACCTCTCCCTGCCTTTTAATGGTTTTTCTATTCTCATTATCACCCTTCATAAGATTATATCCTTGGTGGTAGATTCATAATCATTTACTGACTTGGTGGTCTTTACTTTCTCCATTCAGACTTCCAATTCTAGAAAACTTAATCGAGACGATTGGATACACGGAAATATATTAATACTTCAAGAATTACTCTTCTGTGTTCAACCACAGTTTTCCAAATTGCTAATGGAGTTAGACCAGATGTGCGGGTTGGTAAGAAATAAATGTATTTCATTTTTAATACCATGATCATTTTGGTGAATATTTATTATTTGTTTCATGATATTGATTTTTCTCTAAAATAACGTATCCATTATCTATACTCAAGCATAATCTTTATACACTAAACCGTTTATAAAGTGCACTGTAGTTTTAGATAATTTTGACTTCGTGAAAGTATTATTGTGTGTCTGGTCTTTTTCCACTTATTTCAAAAATCAACATACTTTTGATTTTGTTTTATTCTAAATCGCTCATGTTCTGAGAATCTCTTGTTGTAATCAAGGAAAGAAAGGTTTCTATTCTGTATAATCATAGTTTATTTTATTTATCCGAAATTCTGAATACTCATCCTATCTTCACTTCAGATTTTTAGACTACTACAACATCTACTGCTAAATATTTCAAAATAAGGACTCATAGAAATTCAAACTTTACACAAGGATAAACTATTTACTAATATATTATATATAGCATATTTTTAAACAAAGAAATAGGAAGACGTTGACGTAGTACCTTTGATCTACACGTGTATAGGTTTAATAGCATAAAAGGAGTATTAAACGTTAGGGAGTTCTAAATTATTCTTCGGAAATGTCCCTATGGGCCCAAAAAACGCTTGGGAACATTTTACCCAACCAACTTTGAATGGAAGCTTGTCAGAAGCGTCTAGAAAGTAAAAAGTCATATGCTATGTTTCCGATTGAATATTTACCTATGCTGCCACTATATTTAGTACGATTACAGAAAATTCCGGAAGCCAAGTGTTGTTTGTAACCATATAAATACCTTCGTTTTTCTGTACATAAATTAACCTTGGAGTGAAGCGTTCTTTCCGTACTTCGAGTCTTTTCTCTTGTGTCCAAGTTGCCGTGTAGATTTAGCCTTGGGTTATTAGGAGCGGTTAGGAAACTGGGTCACAAGTTCATTCAGCAGACTTTTCACTAACCTGTTACAAAAGCTTGTAGGTAGACAAGAAGCAATCAATTGACAGAAATGTATTTAAAGTATGAAAGAATCAAGAGCAAAAATCTCTGTGATCGACTTTCAAATATATTATAAAGGTTCTTCAAAAATTATCTCCTAAGATCTCGAGGACTTCAGCCAAAAAATTTCACTTTTCTATCTGCTGCATCAATAGCGAGTGATTTTATGAACCAATACAGTGTCTCGTTCTACGTGTGTACTGTTTTCATGTCATATTTTTGTACATAACATGGGACATCCTTCTAAATTCAAAATTTTGAAACCACACATCATTAACCTATTGCTTGCGTTATTTTCTTTTTTAAAAATAGCCATTATTTGAATTTCTTACTGTAAGCCACAGTGACGGAAGCTTAGCAGTACGTACTGTACTGTCTACACGATGGCCAATTGTCAATGCTTCATGTATTTCAGTAGCTATTGGAGTTCTTCCTGGCAATCCATTTTGTTCATCTGATTCAGAACAATTACCGAATTTAGCACTTGAAGTACTTGGTTTACGAGATGGTATTAAACAAGAATCTAACAACTATCAACAACATCATGAACAACAACAATATGGACGACAGAATTTCAGTAATTTATCTTCTGAGATCTGTCGATGCCTTTTATTGGAGAATACTGACAAAGTGAGTATGCTCATAGTTGTTTGTGGCTCAATCCTGATTCAAAATACTACAGATGTTTACTGTCAAATGTATGTGCTTTACAGAGAATATTTGTTAACTATATGGTTTTTGAAAAGCTCTGTAAAGTAGTAAAAATTGTAGTATACCCAGTTTATATTATGTATCGGTGTATTTAATCATAATTTAGATTGTTTTTCATTGAGACCATGAACCGGTCAGTGTTAGACGACCACCATTGAAAATCCAGAAGCACTGGATGGCCGTCTCATCTCGGTATGGGACTCATCAGTAATGTGTATCCACGACCCTGCTTCTAGGAATCGGATATAGGACCTTCGGTCTCTCACATAAACGCCTAACCTTTAAACTACTGAGTCGGCCGTCTAGTGCCTCCAGCTTTTCAGTGGTGGTCTAACTTTGATTGGCTCATGATTTCAATGAAACTCAACAATCTTCACAACCCTATTTTGATAGTGACTAATAAATATGAATTTATATTGTCTTGGAACCATTATTTAGATATGGGCTTCAGTCTTGATGTGGATTAATAGTCGCAATCATCAGATCATGTTTTTACTATACAAACTGATTCCTCGTCTTGTTGCTTTAAAACCTAGTGAATTTCAAGATACCGAGTAAGTCGTTTGTTTACTTTTCGTAGACATTACAAAACTTTTTCTTCTTTATATACTTGAAAGAAAATATAAATATTTCAAAATTTTTACTTTTTTAAATCACTACTTATATCAAATACTGGGAGCTTTGACACGCATACAGTGGAGGTAAATAATGTTGGTCTACGCAATCAACTCTATTCCCTATGGTCCAATTTGTCAACTACATGTTGTATTCAGAAGAGTAAAAAAGCATTCCAAACATTCTTATTTTGTTACTTGTGGCATTTAGTAGACTTCATTTTGCGCTAATCTTTATCAGTTGGAAATATGGTATCAGTTTACACAACATTAATAAGAAAGTCACAAAAATCAGTCGAAGGAAGTGCTATTTCTGGTAGAATATATGTAATAAAGTTAATTAATGTGTTGCGCTAAAGAAGAACGTTTGATGTGACTAATTCATGTGATAATCCAAATTCAGCTATGACTGAATCAGCAGTATTCGAGCAAAGAGCCTTCACTAGGTTGGTATATTTCTTTGGGATACCTTTTAATGACATATATCTCCAGTAAACCTGGCAATCAGAATTATACTCAGCTTTCACGTCAAGAAATATGATCATAGTCAGGTGTCAGTATGTGCGTATTATAAAATATTTGACAAATGTATCCTCTGTTTGTTATTCACCGGTTTTACTCAAGCACCTGGTATTTGTTAGTGTTTTGGGGATTATACTATACAAACTGGTTTTTTCATCGTTATCACAAGAGGATTTTTCTCATTTCCTATTAACCAACAATTGAAACTATCCAGATTAAAGTGTGTCCATCTTAAAATCTCTGGTTAATATCGCTGTTATTTTCAGTGACTGCTAGATCACTTGAAGCCTTACTACTGCGTTAGGTTAGCAATTATGGGCAGGATATGATCAGTACATCATAATTTAGTTGAATTATTTAGTGAAATTTCCTAATTAGTAATAACAATAAGTGATGATATCTTCGCGTTACCATCAAGTTTCGTATCTTGTGATGTTTCTCTGCAAAATATATTTCCTATTCCACTGTATCTTTTTTGCTTTATAGACGTCAGCGTACTGTAATGGATTGGATGCTTCAATGTTTGCGTAAGGAAAAAGAGAAACCCATGATTTTGTTAAATTTATCTTTAATTTGCTATTTTATGGGTCCTGAATTCGCTACATCAAACTATCTTACTCAAATTTTCCAATCAATTCGTTCTTATCTACCAACACAAAAGGATGTTTCGAATAAGTATGTCAATCGAAATATTAACTTTCATACTTTTTTAAATCGGATGATTTAAATTACCTTACTATCCTTTTGTCCTAGATTTATATTGGAACAGTGTGTATAATGAGTGTAGCCCAGTGTAAGAATACTTTCTCCTAATCCGAATGGTCAGTCAGTCAATTAGCTACAACGAATGGTTAGAGATGCGAAATCTAATACCACTCGATTAATTCACTTGTGCAGAGCGTTGAATTGGTTAATAAAGCTATGGACTTCAATGTGTGAAATTCAGTAGTATCGTTAGGTCACAGAGGAAACAGTATGGCACAAGGTGAAGTACAAGCTTTATGCTTGGTTACCGAGTTGCCTGAAATTAAAATAGACATTTTGAGAGTAAAATGTTCACTTATCCACCTACATAGGAAGGTATTGAAATATCCATCGTCTTAGCTACTAATTCGTAAATTCTGAAATTAGTCTTTTATGATACTTTTTTAATACTCACAGTAGCTTTTATGTCATCCGCAAAATAATTCCGACTATTTGATCACATGAATTCCATATGGCTGTCTGTTTCCTATAATATATTGGTAATCAGTTTTTTCTACACAATCGATGAACCATTGTGTGGTTTAGCACATTAAAACCTCACTAATGCAAACAACTAATGAGATAAGTATACTTTAAAATCAGTTAGAATTTTAGGGTTCACATCCTTAAAACCTCTTACTAATTTAAAATTCCGAAGATTTTTTCAAGGTATTGACAGTGTTGTATTTTTTTCCGTATCACTTATATCTTCATATAAAATATCTGTATTTAAATAATGGTTCATGTGTTCAAGGATCAAAGCACATTTCAAATACATTATCGGGCATTTCGATATAAAAATTCGTGTTTTTGCATTATTTTTATTTTAAAGAGAGCAAGAACAAAGATTGGTGCAGCAATCTTTGTTCTTGTTCTCTTTAAGATAATAAAGGGAACTATGTGTATGAAATTATTTTTATTTACTGTCTTTTGAAACGACTGCATGGAAACTATCCCATTGATTTATCTAGTATACTCCTATAGTTTTGATAGATTGATGATGTATTACAATACAGATTTGAAGGATTAGGCTAGAACCTACTGAAATGCTGGAGATAATCTGAAAATACTTAAAGTATTGAGTATTTTCGGTCTATCACAGTATTTGATAGAGAAAGCTGTTCATGAAATATTCATAGCACATAGAATAGATGGCTTGTGGTTAGCTTAGCACTGGGATTCAGGACTCGCTTTCTATCCTACTTGCAACTCGTCGGCTGGATGTATTTCGATCCCTTGTTAATATCCACACATGGACTCAAAACCAGTGTCTTTCGCTTTAAACGCGCTACACGTTATCCACTGAACAGCTGCTGAGCCTCAGTAGCCACTTGCTTGTGCAACATGCCTGGTATTTACATCATTGTTAGAAATGATTTGAATGCAATTTCTAATGACATCATTAATCTATTGCTATCCGTTTTCTAAAAAATGAATAAACGTACAAATAGTAAAAAGGTTTTGAGTCAGATGAGTGCGTTTTAACCAGACCTTTGAACTCTAGACTATAGGCATATTTTCAGAAAAGAATTATATTTGATGCAGAGGTAATATTACCAATCAGAGTCCTTATCGTATGACGCCATATTAGTTTGAAAAATAATTCTCAAAAGTTCAGCATACTGCTGCCTACAGATTATGCCTATTAATGAGACTAGGAACACCCTTCGCTACCAAAAATATCTCCAGACAAACATATGTGAAAGATAAAACAGATTGGTACACAATAGGGTATCGTTTGAAATTCCCTTCTTTATGAACTACAAAAAATAGCAGTAAGCGAGAATGTTCTGAATATTTGAACCCGTTACAAATTAACAAGAAGCCATACAAGTTGTTTCATTTCCACTCCTATCTGACTTATGGTTTGATTCATATGGTTACTCATGATTTGTTCCAGACCCTACGTATTAATATTGAGATATTGAGCATCTTAATATTTTGTTTTGCTATACCTCGTTTAGCCATCACTTTTATTTGATTTCCTATCACCGAGCTGTTCTAAATTCAGTAACATTTAGTAATCACTTAGTTACTAGATTCCAGAAAACCTAGTGTCCTAGTAAATTAGTTATCGGTGTAAAATAAGATACATTAACATTCAAAATCAGTCATAATTTTCTCTGTTAAATCTTTGCAGCTCGACAGTTAATTTTGATTAACTTTTTCTATCTGTATACCGTTTTCGTTTTTCTGTATACTAAAGGAAGCGTTCACCTGCCTTGGAAACGTCTGCTATTTTATCTGTCAGTCTTCTTACAAAATCCCTCGGTCCTGCAATTAACGAATCAGTAAACCAGATACTAGATGCAATGGTAGCATCTGGTTTGAATCAACCTTTAATTGCTTCTTTTAAAGTGATTGCTATGCATATCCCTCGATTACGTAAAGAAATTCAGGTGAGATTATTTTTGCCTCTTTATCACGGTTATTTTCTATTTCTATAATTATTAACAATGAGAAACGTTTCAGTGTATTTTTCTTTGCATTTCATGATCTGGGTTGTCCTAAATAAATAAATTTGCACGTCATTTACTTAAGCTGTACATTCGTATATATAGTTATCTGGGAAATATATGTCTATAGGAGGATAAAAAAGATTGCATCATAAATTGATGCGAGACTAAATAACAAATGAGGTTGCGTGCTAATCAAGGGGTGAGAAAGAAGACCACCTTAATTATTTATAGTTTATTATTATTATCAAAAGGGGTTTTGTGGAGATTTTAGTAATTTTATAATTGAATTCATGAGTCACGAATGCTTAAGCGTTCGCGCGAAAGACTGATAGCTCTTGGGTACGAATCTCGCGGGGCGCGATCGTGGATGCACACTGCTGAGGAGTCTCATACTAGGACGAAACGGCCGTCCAGTGCTTCCAGGTTTTCCATGGTGGTCTAACTTCAATTGACTCATGAATTCAACTATAGTTTATTAGTTTGCCTGAATACTCTACATTACAAGCGCCAAATTTACTGACTATCCACGGCATAATGAGATATATTTGACTTAATTATTCATCTAACTTCTGTTTATGACTTCATGAAGCCTTGAATACTTTTGATGTTATTACTGTTTGACCAAACCCTATACATACTACCTGCTTGGGGTCCGAGTCATTATCGTAACTAGTGGTTAGAAACTTTGGATGATATGGTTCAAAATCGTTTGCAATAGCGTGTGGAAACTTGAACCAATGAATACATGTGCTACGTTCTACATTGCGACTGACTGACCTCTACTAATATTGATGTTATTTATAATGAAATGTTTGGCAGATACTATTATTGCATAATATTTCTAATTGACTGGGCTGATAATTGAAGTACTTTTCATTGGTTGTATTAGCGGGGCGTAGATTGGATTAAAGCATGCTCGACGCACGATTGCATTGGTACACGCTGATTGACTAATTCTTATCCAGTCAGCGCTAGTCGATACTTGGAGGACACTAGGATCTCATGTAAAAACTATAAATATAACAACGTTTTTCATATTGTGCTTCTTACTTCCATCTAACCTTGTTACTTGGATAATTATCTCTTTTCTGTTCAACCGTGTTCTGATTTGGGGGCTTGTCGAGTGAATTGGTGTTTAAGAATACTAAGCAATATGAATAGTTGGGTTGTAATAAGAGAGAATTATAACCGATTGGGACGGAAACGGTGATGTACGACTGTCGTAGTCTTTCCTGAACTTATTTTGGTTTGTTACAAAGTAATTAACAAACGAAATGAGATTTAAATAAATAACTTTATCTTCGGTTTGCTCAAACTAATAATTAAACTGCAGTTGCTACACTTTGGTATAAAGATAACATTGAAGTTCTAATTTAATTATGTTATATAAATGCTAAATAACTGTATTGTTGGATGTTTGAATTTAATTGGATATTTTTAGGTTTCATAATTCTTAACACTCATCAGCAAATCGTATTCGCATCTCTGGAGAAGTCTTGTTCCTTTAGATAAATTCAACCACTCAATTTATTCTCTGAATAATTGACTTACACTGAGTTGTGAAACATGAGGAATTTAATTTTCTGTTAATTTGGATAATACAAATATATTGTTATTTTCTTGCCGTTCAGTAAGAATGACAGTAAAATACGTGATTGAATCGTTCACAATTGTGACCACATTGTATTCTTTCATCGATAAACGTTTGTATGATATCAAGCCGTTATTCATCAACAAACCTGTCTAACTAGTAACCAGAGTTAGGATTTATTAAATATATTTTATTTGACTTATTACTGGTACTACGGGATTAGAGTTGTATACCATTTAACCGCATTTTGAGTGGTTTATTATCAATCAAGAAACTCTCAGAGTGTAATTTTTCCAAGTTTTATGTATTTGTATGACATGCATGTTTTTGTCTGTGATCAAATATTACATTTGTCTGTAACTAGCAAACTTAATCCCATTTTTAATTGATGTAGGATTGTCTGCTAAACAACATCAGTTTAGTTTTAATGAATAATAGTGGAGGTAGCTTCAGTCACCTTCATTCATATATAACAAGTACTGCTAGTGGGGATAGCACTGTATCAACTCTATCTTTTTTTCCGAATCTAATAAATCTTGTCGGCGGAACTATTCATAGTGGAAGTTCTGGAACAAATGTGCCTACTTTAAGTTCAAATAATACATGTTCTTCTGCGTTGGCTGTAGGTGCTAATACAGTGAATTCCAGTACAAGTGCTTTCCCATTGTCCTCTGCAACACGTTTTGTTTTTGGACCGTCCACAAAAAGTCATGTTCAAAGCAGACTAGTTCTACAGGACTAAATGCTACTGGGTCTGATTTTGCTCATGTAGCTATTCCTGGAGGATTTTCAGCTTCTGGAGAATTATCTACAGATGTAGCAGTTGTGGCTTTGGCATTGAAAACTCTTGGGAGTTTCAATTTTGATGGTAAATGGAGTATTATCGTAACTTTTCTATTTCTTGTACCATTGTAGTTAATATTAACGTAAATCTTTTTCTGACCCATGGTAATCATTTTCCTGACCAAATTACCGACTTGAATCCTGGCGGCCTGCTTGAATATCTGGGCTACCTGTTTCTGCCATCTGATTATTTCAACAAGTTATCTGTTTTTCATTTGTTTTAATTTATAATTATGTCCATTAATCGCATAACCTATTCAGGCGCTTTTATGAAAAGCCTACGACCTTTCGCTGCACAAGTTACGAAAAAGTACTATAAAAGGCATCGTGGTGGTTGGCAATATGCGTTAAAGAGAATGAACATTAATCGTATGTCGATTCCCGAGCTACTAAATTCTAACTGCCGATCACTAATCAACAAAGTGGACTATCTGCAATTCCTGCTTAGTCAAAATACGTATCGTAATTGTGGTGTCATCACAATTCAAGAATCTTGGTTGAATGATTTACAGGATGACTGCCTTGTATCACTACGTGATTTCAAAATTTATCGTCAGGATCGATCGAACAATAAAAAGAGGTGTGGTGGCGGTGTAGCTACGTTTGTAAACATAAACTGGTGTCGATCTTCGTTTGTGTGTTTTAAGTTTTCAAATGACTTTATCGACTGTCTAACTCTAAGATGTCGTCCAAAACATCTGAATAAATACAAATATGTTTATGTTACCAATATCTACGTGACTCCAGATTGCACATCATCTGCACTATCTGTTTTTGCTGATGAATTCACTGAGTTCGCTGTTACTGCCTTCAGTGATTCACTTTCAGTTGTATGTGGTGATTTCAATTCATGTGACTGTAGCTTCCTTACGTCACTAGGTCACCAAAATGTAGTGGATTTTCCTACCCGTTTGGATGCTCATCTAGACTTCGTCTTCATTAATGATGTGGGTATATATGCGACTCGTAAACGTGCTCCATTGTCTAGCTCAGATCACTGTATAATTCGTGTTCTACCTAAAGTATATGGAAAGCATGGGAAGAGTACACTCTTACATCAAACCAAGAAAGTCAAATATAGGAATTACTCAGAAGAAAATATCCGAAATCTGAAAAACATGTTTCATACGACTAACTGGGAATTATTTACAGATGACTCACTCGAAAACACTACTGATGTTATCACTTGTTACCTTAAATTCTGTTTTGATATTTGTTGTCCCACTGAAACCATTTTTGTAAGTTTTGATCGACTTACATCTTCACAACTAAAACGACTACGGAGGATGAAAGAAAGAATGTACAAGGAGAAGAACTCAAATGAAGTTCGTAAGCTAAATGGTCTGATAAACCTAGAGATTAGACGTCTCAACTGTATGTTTACTCAAAAACTCTTATCTTGCAAAAACTCTCCAAGTATGTGGAAATTCTTTAAAGAACTTACAGGTGACAGAAAGTTTAGAAGCGATAACCAGCTGAATGTTTGTGACTTAAATAAGTCTTTTGTACGTCAGTCATCTGATGTGATGCTCCCTCTATCCACGGGTTTAAAAAATAGCTGTGTTCCTACTTTCACTGAAACTGATGTACGAGGATGTCTCCAGTCGCTTAATTCATCTCGATGTTTGGGACCTGATGGTATCCCAAACATCCTTTTTAAAAAATGTGCTGACGTTCTGTGTCATCCGTTCACAACTATATTTAACAGATCCTTCTCATCTAATCTCATACCGAAAATGTGGAGAAAGATGAAGATAATTCCTGTACCCAAGAAAGCATTTGGTGATAAGAATGTAAAATTTAGACCTATTGCAATAACTTCACCCTTCCTCAAAACCATGGAAAAATTATTAATACTTCCACTTCAGCCTGCGATAAAAGAGCATACTGACCCATACCAGTTTGCATACAGGCGCAAAAGAAGCACTTTAGATGCTGTTGCAGTTCTGCATCACAACATAGTGTTCAACTTAGAAAAGGGTAAGAAGTATGTTCGATGTGCTTTTCTGGACTATACTTCAGCTTTTGACTCTATACCAAGACAACGTTTACTTAACAAGTTAATCAGCGTCAACACTGACAGCTGGATAACCAACTGGCTATGTTCCTACCTCTCTGGAAGGGAACAGTACACTGTGTTTGGAGGAAAGAGTTCAGATTCTCTACTGTCTCAGGAAGGTGTACCACAAGGAGCTGTTCTTTCACCTCTTCTATTCTCTTTTTTTCTGCATGACCTGCCATCTTCCACAGAAAACACTTTTGTGAAGTATGCGGATGATCTCACTGTATGTATGCCTATATCTTCCTCTTTACATCCCATAGAAATGAATGAGTTTTTGTCTCGTATTGATTGTTGGTCTGTTGGTAATGGTCTCATACTTAATCCGTCTAAATGTCAAGCTGTTAACTTTAGCATGAGACATGAACGGAATATAAACACTATTTTGAGATCCCATAGTGCTTGTACCATCGGAGACTCCTTGATAAACTCAGTGTCGAAGGTCAATTATCTTGGTGTCACCTTTTCCTCTGATCTGTCTTGGTCTTCCCACGTTTTATCGTTATCGAAGAAGGTTTTCCGTCTGACCTACTACATAAAGAGATTGCATGCTCTTGGAATTACTCGTCATTTACTCTTACAATTTGTCAATTCTTGCATATTACCTATTATTCTTTACTGTTCTCCATTATTCTTTCCCGGGCTTTTGAGAAAAGACTTTGCTGTATTGCGAAGAGTGCTGAAGGCAGTTAGCAAGACGTGTGGTGAATCTTTCGAGGTCATAATTAATATGGTTGTGGATAGACATTTAAAATCATGCAAACTCCTGGCAGGTGTTATTTTATCAGATACTAGCCATCCCCTTCACTCTTATCTTTCTCCTTGTATATCTTCTGGTAGAACGAGACGTAATTACATTAAAATCCTTGCACGCAAGGAAAAGTATAAAAGTTCTATAATACCTTACCTAGCAAATATACTCTGTGACGAACAGGTTGTTAGAATTAACCTAGTCAATAACTTACATTCTTAACATGTCTTTAATTTTAAAAGTTTGTAGTTTTTTTGGTTTTTTTTATATATTTCTTTTTGTATTTGCTACTGCCTTTTTGTTCGTTGTTCAGTAAGTAACTTGTTGAAATACCCTGTGCTGAGAATTCTATATTGTACCAAAATATAATATTGAATAAAGCCATTAATAATAATAATAATAATAATGTTTTTAGACAACAGATCTACGTTGAGTATTGTTATACGAATATTTCTGTTGTGCTTGATATCTTCGGAAGCACTAATTTACACATATTTGTAGAACAATCAGTTTCGGTCGTTTGAATAAATCGAAATATGTAGTTTTCATTATTACTTTATGGGAATATGTTGAATTAATGCTCAAACTGTCAATCACTATACTAGAATCATATTAATCAGTTCGATAAAGTCAAATTGGAAAGTAAGTTTTTTGTAATACATTCACAGCATGGTTTATCAGAGCTCATTTGAAGGTCGATTAGAAACGGTCGTAATCTCTAAGATTCCCCCAAACAGGATGGTGATCGCAGTTTAAAGATAATTTAGATGGTCCTTTTCTCCAAAAAAGGCCAAAAGAATTTTCAGGAAATTCAATCAGTTAGCCTTTACCACAGTGATAAACATTTGGATAATAGTTGAACCCATAATTTGCTACTTCATAAATCGATCATTGTCTATATTCGTTGACTCTCTGTCTATTCATATTCAAAGACTACTTTTGTTTTGTTCTTATGGAAAAATGATGACACAGGTCATACTTTGGCACATTTTGTTCGACATATTTGTGAGAATTTTATATCAATTGGTACATGCGAAGTAAAAGAAATCCGTTTGGAAGCGGTTAAAACGTGTGCTCATCTAATGATTCCTTGGCTCAAGGTTAGTTAATTAGTTCATAACTAATGATTTCATATTTTGTGTACTAATAATGGTCTTTTCTAACTTGCTTTATAGATATTTAATCTTTAAACATTAGCTGATATTGTACAGTACTGATACTCTAAGAAGAAATTGATGATAAGTGGAAAAAACTGCAATTGGTCATCGATCTCAACTTGATGAGATTGTAAATGATATGCTTAGGAAATATAACTGATATAACTAAGAGTTTATTCCATGAATAATATGATATAACCCCCAGTCTTCCGCAAAGCTGAGCTAAAAACTGTTAACATCCTTCAATGGAAAATTAGAAAATGCTAATGAATGTCTAGATTTTTCCTGAATGAATTACTGTAGATATTCGATTCTTTGCTAACCTCAAGCACTATGAAAAACCAAATCAACTGTACCTTGAAAATAAAACGTCCGCTTTGTGAAAACTTGCAAAAGGTGTCAGTGTGAAAATCCTACTTAGACTCATTCGGAAAAAAGCCACAATGAACGTTGTGCCAGTGATCCGTTAGATAATGCGTACGATTTATTCTAATCTTCATTACATATCTACCTCGGCGTTACATTTTCGTTGGTGCTAAGATTAGGTAAACTAAGCGGTTAAAGATAGCCAAACTATGACGTTAGTTTATGATCTGTTTTCCTACTGATCTAAGCTCTGTAAAAAGTAGTCTGCTTTTTGGTTCAGGTCCATGTAATTACTATCCACTTTATAAGATATCTTGTGTTCGTATATTTCTACTTTAGACTATGTCTCTTTGTTTTTAGTCCACTGAAACACAACAATGGTATGCTCGACCAGCTTTGAATACGGTTGCTGATGTTTTAAATAAGTTGCTGACTGTAGGAATAAGTGATCCAGGTATGTGTATTATTTGTCGTTTTCGAATTGTTTAATATTTGATATGACTGAATTTTGGTAGTACTAGTCATCCACTATGGTACTAACATAGACTAATTGATTAATTCTAATAAATCTTGCACTGGAGAATATCAAAACTTAAGTATTGGTAAAATTCATGGAATTCAAGTTCACTTGTAATATATTATCCTATTGTCTAGTTGCCACAATCAACAATCCCAATCTACCATGAAATTAAATTTATCTACAGTCTCAAATAATGTAATATTCAATTATTTTGTCTTGCTATTCCATATCCTTGTTGATTTTAATGTCTTGCCAACTTTTTTTGATTGACCCTTTCTGAACTGTTCGGAGTATAAAAAATTAAGTCAGTTTATCTTTATCCAAGGTTGCCCCCAAATGCCCTGGTACGGCCGAAGTGAGGAGAGTCCGCTCTCCCTCTCAAAATGCTGTCACATGGCCACGCGTATATAACCTCTGCTAGGGAAGTCCTACTCATTGCCTTCTTGTGGCGGGGATGTTGTTTACGAAATCGAGAGGACGAAAAGCAAATGTCCGGCGCTTTAACAGGTTGGTGGATACTGAGAGTCCACCTAGGGGAGTTGGAAAACCGTGATTCCAAACCAATGGTGCACATGACCTCCAGTATCCTAAAGGAACAAATGGCGTCTGAACCAATCGTGGTCACCGGCTACCATGGGACTGCATCTCCTTACGATGCTCCAGTGCCTTGTGGATCAGACCTTCATGTCGAAGGCTCTGGGTGTGGCTCCCTAAGAAAACCACTTTTTCGGTTTGGGCACCCGGGCAGTGTCACAGCCCTCACACATATCGAATGAGATTTGTGTGGCCCATATGTATTTGGTGCCCCCTTGTGTCCGTATTTTTGTGTTCAAATAAATAAATATCCTAGGTTACAAGTAGTTGTAGCCATTTTTCTGTCTGAAGTAAAATAAACATATGTCCTGTTGTTTTACACTACTTTAAATAAATATCTCAAAGTTTTTGCCTTTTGTATTGCTTTTTAATATCAATAACTTTTGATAGTCTCTCCTCGTCTAAATTTCCAGTGCTTGAGCTTCTACCGGGAGGTTCACTTGTTGACTTAGAATATGCCGATGACATAGTTCGATTTAATGAAGACGCTGACAAAATGCAGTCTTCTGACCACTCTAAGCAACAATGCAAGCATGTTCGGGATGAGATTCTCCCCACCGAAATGCAAAATGTTGCTTCAGGATTGGGTTGCATCGACACCCGAACTGATGATAGGGAGTGAAGTAATTGAGCGTGTCGATCGCTTCACTTATCTTGGAAGTCTCATCAGCCCTTGTGGTCTGGTGTGTGACGAAATCTCAGCACGGATACAGAAGGCTCGACTGGCTTTTACCAACTTGCGTCATTTATGACGTAGGCGAGATATCCGTCTATCAACCAAAGGACGGGTTTACTGCGCAGCAGTTCGTTCCGTCCTACTTTATGGCAGTGAAACATGGCCGCTAAGAGTAGAGGATATTCGTAGGTTACTAGTATTTGATCATAGGTGTCTTCGAAATATTGCTCGTATATCGTGGGACCATCGAGTAAGTAATGCAGTTGTTAGGAAACGGGTACTAGGTAAGGATGGCAAATCAATTGATGACGTAGTGAAACTTCATCAGTTGAGATGGCTTGGACACGTGTTACGTATGCCCAACGACCGACTGCCTCGACGTGCTATGTTCAGTGGTATAGGAGTAGGTTGGAAGAAAGCTAGGGCGGCCAGACCAAAACATGGCACAAGTCCATGAAGTCACTGACAAGTGGACTGAGTCGTGTTGGTAGGTGTAGACTACCTGGTTGGGGACCGCGAGATGATAGCAACCGATGGTTAGATACCCTGAATGACATGGCTCAAAAGCGTTTGTAATGGAGCAGGTGCATCCACTCTTTGTGTTCTCCCAAATTTTGATCCCCTTATTCCTCCTTGTCTCTTTTTTTTCTCTTCCAAATTTATTTCACCAAATTATACTCTTTAAGTAACATCTCCAAACACTAATTTTCCCGATTACTGCTTATACTCTTATTACCTCTACCACTACGGAATTTGAATCGACCACTGCATCTCTGTGCTAATGTGGTGGGGTAACTCGAACTGATGTACGTACGTACGAAGTTCTACGTTGTTACTGACTGACTGACTCCCATCAATAAATGACCATAATTAATTTAATTAGCATGTAAAAATACCTTTTATTGTTTACTTTTTAAACTTACAATGTTGTCAATCTAACTTTCATTGAATTTCCTTATCCTTTAAATTAACCTAAATATTTCTCACTTTTTTTGCACTGCCCACATGTTTGCTCTTAATTTCAAGAGAATAATACCTTATTTTCTGAATTGGAATCCATATAACAGTTTTCATAATAAGCTGAATTTACAAGGATAGTTTATAAGTTAATGTAATTGACTCACTAAATACCAGGTCCAAACTCTTCATCTACTTCAGTTTATTAGTATCTCTAGTCTTCATGTAAATTGAGTACATAAATCTCTGCTTTGTAAATTAATTACATTACCTAGTTAAACTAATGATTAATCAATTAATACAAGTCAAACAATTGATACGTTTAACAAGTAATGTATGTTTATGTCAGTGTATATGTGATGAGTGAAACTTGTTGATTGAAATTAACATTAGTGTTTAATATGTAACTGAACTTGATGCTATATACTAAGATTGTTTGCGCTGAGTTGCATTATTCATTGTGTTTTTAGTAATTACGAACTCTCTGAGTTGGACAACAGGTATTTCTGTTGTCCAGAACGATAGTGAAAAAGCTTTACAGTTTAATTATCTAGCTCCGTGAATGCAACGCCATTGAAAACACCAACCTGAGATGCAGATTTTTATCATTTCAAAATCATTCACTGTCGGATGGTCGATGTCATTTAATGTATAGATATATATTTGATAGGTTTACGAATGAGATTATTCATTGTATTCACTTGGTCTTATATAAGTTTGTTTTGTCGGGGAGTCTAACGTTTATTAGCATACTTTTTTATTTTAGATCCTGATGTTCGGCGTTGTGTATTCCTATCATTTGATCAACGTTTCGATCTTCATTTAGCTCAATCAGATCACTTAAATTATCTTTTCTTGGCTTTGTACGATGAAGTTTTTGATATTCGCTGTTTAGTAATGCAACGTCTAGGTCGTTTATCGGATATTAATCCTGCATGCGTTCAACCTAATCTACGAAAAGTTTTGTTACATGTAAGTTACGTTTACCACATTATTCTTTCGTATTAAGTTGTTCACTGTAGGTAGACTTGAGTGCGATAGTTCATTTGTTTAAACTATGTGGGGGTAGTCTTCCTCATTGACTACTTCATTCTTTGCTGGCTGAGCATCAGTGTACACGCGGGAGTTGAGAAACTCACTTTGAAAACTCTTGAAATCCCATGCAAAGTAGCAGAGTACTTCAGCGTCAGTGTCTCATAAACAGGAGTATGTTGTCTACTTATTGTAACTGTTAAAGATAGTTTAACTAGGGAACTGTTTCTTGAAGAGACAGATAACAAACGTTTTCCCTATACCAGAATATCCATGATAATATTCAATTTGAACGGTAAAGTGAATAATTATCATTCCACTACTAGTTTTTGAGTAGATAATCACTAATTCGACGTGCATCTTTCGTACAGCAGGATTAAAAGGGAGGCTAAATAATATTTTCAATTCAATGAATACTACTTCATCAATTCATATATCTATTTCAAGTAGTGATAATAATTAAAATTTTGGTTAATGATATATTCATGACCAGATCTACAGTCTACTGGGTATTTTTTTCGGATTCGTTAGTTTCAAGTTTCAGTAAACTATTAGATATTCATGTAAGTTCGAGTCTATGCAACCACATTAATTAAATTAATTCATGTCAAACCAGAATGAAACAAAAGATTCAATATCTTCTTATCTTCATTTTCTCTAAATTATTATCACAATCTGTAATATAATATTCGTCAACTTGAAAAGAAAACGAAATCTCAATCAAACAAATTTTAGTGCAAAACAATATTCAATCTCGAATATACACATTTTGTGTGTTCCAACGTATATTTAACTAATTTACCCAACCTTTATGAATCCTTACTTCATTTATGTTTTTAGACTTTGAATGATCTATCTCATAGTGGTTCAACTAGAAACAAAGAACAATCAGCTTTATTATTAGCGTGTTTAATTGCTACAGCACCTAGATTTCTTATTCCTTACTCTGAACCATTAATTCATATTTTATTGCCACGTATTCGACAAGCTTTACCAGCATCATTACGTGCTAGTTTAACAGTGACTAGTTTTTCTAGACTTCAAAATTCCACTTTTACAAATAATAAAGGTAAGATTGTTATAAATAATAATAGTAGTATAAAATTTATTATTTTAAATAAATATTATTTTCATAATTGTTTTTAAAAAAAAATAACACTGGAAAATTTGTAGCTGAATTTATGAATACCGTGAAATTCAGTCTCTCAAATTATCACTACCAGGTTTCAAGACACAGTCATGAATGGTTAATATTTGATGACAGTATATTCGGTTTAATTTAATTAAGTTCAATGAACATAAAATAATTTTAAAACTTAGTTATTTTTGCACTAATTAAATCCGAAAGACGTTCTCACCTTATGTATATACATCAAGACAAACTTTATCCAGGAGAACAGTGGTCAGACTGATTTGATCCATGGTAGCGAAGAGAAATCACTACAAATTATTATTATCTTTATCCATCCTGTATTCTCAAAACTCAACAATGAATGTAATGTGACTTCGCAGATCACCATTGTCTCCTATATTTCATTCATATATATGTATACATTATTCTCCACAAGAACAGTTGGATGAATAGATACAGAATGAGATGACTAGTCTAGGTAATTTATCTTTCAATCTCATAAGAACCATCAGATATATGGAGAACATTCATTTTAGTTTATCTGCATTAGTGGTTCTGTGGATGGCTTATACAACTTTAATAATAACATTGCTCTGGGTGCATCAACTCTAAATCATAGCATATATACAGAAAATTTTCGCTAACAGTTAGGCCTTGCTTATTCTCTTATTTCGTAGCTAAATGTTTGTTTATAAATTATTCACTGTAAATTACTTAATTTCTGACTTGTAATTACCCTATTATCTCTTTAATTCCATGTTAACCATATATATTCTGATCATTAATCTCACAATTTCATTTAACGTATCAACTTATTCAGGTCACCACTTCATATTAGTCATCACAACATTAATGACTTCATTTTAGATTACAAACAATCCTAAATTCACATTCTATAATTTCGAACAATGTATTTAACCTTAAATCTGACCACTCTTCGGATTCTAAATTGGGATATATAATTGTAGAACGTGAAGAGAATTTATTGAAAAGAATATTCTTCGTTCATTTATTGGTGTTTTAATGTGATGAGAATTTTTTGATGATTAGAAAATTGCGAAATGACCGTGGTGTTAATGCTATAAATATATACACATACACACATTTCGTATCGTAGTTCTGTTTTTCTAGTTCTTACTTTCATATCACTTTTCTTTCTCCACACTATTTCCATAGAAATCGATTGTTCTTCATCTATTTTACCACTGAACGTTTACCTGCAAGTATTCAGTTAATTCAAAATGTAATCTTAACTACACAAATTGCTGCAAATGCTACTGCAGCTTCTGCAAATGCGATTGCTTCCGCCGTTGCAGCTTCCACTGGTCTAGCTGGTGGTCTACATTGCCCTCTTACCTCCAATGCATCACAACGTTTAACACGACGTGCTCCTACTGGTCACATTGGGGCAAATCAAATTGGCCCAGCTCTAGCTGCTGTGAATGCAGTCGCTATGGCTACGGGAGCGGCGACAGCGGCTGCAGCCGCTGCTCGTGCAGTAATGGCTGCAACTGGTCAAAGTACTACTAATACTACTAGTGGTGGCGGTGTCGGAATATTCAATGCAGATGCAAAGAATCTATTTGGAACTGGTTTGGTTCCAAATTATGGCTCTAAATCCGATGTACCTATGGTTAGTCCTATTTTTCCTGATTTTTTCAACTTGTCAATGTTACTTCTAATCTTTAAAGTATATTTTCGATGTACAGTTTATTATTTTATTCATTTGTTTTTTCTAAAAATTTAGCATGATCTAGCGGCAATTGTTGAACGCTTCGGTACTTTGAATTTTGATCACAATAGCTATAATTATTTCAATTTTGAATTTCCTCCTGGAGCATGTCCGCCATCCGCATATCTTCTAAATTCAACACCTCTGATTGATTCATATATGCTTGGAGATCAGTATTCTAGTAGAAATCAATCATGGTCGGAATACAGCATGTCTAGAATGAATGAAAATTCATCAACAGCTCATTGGACTGAACCAACACCTGTAATTGTTGCTCTATTTACAACATTAGGGCGACTAGCTGCTGTAGCGCCACGTTCTATTTATCATTATATGGATGAATTTATACCGATTCTAGCCTATATGATGCAAGATACATCATGTTTTTTAAAGCGATCAGTAAGTTGTTGCGTTTCATTTATTCATTTTACACAATTTTGTTTTATTTATAAATTACATTCATATTTATCAAATAATCAATCACAAATATTCTGTCTAGCAGAACCTTTTTATTTCTTTTCTATTCATTATCTTTAAACGCTTTACACAAAACATGTTTTGTCCTAGTGTAGGACATGGCAGTGGGCAGAAGGAACGTTTATTGTCAGAAATGACGAAGCGTGGAATAAGTATTCATAAACTTCGGTCGTCTTTTTGCATCTTGCGCTGTGGTCTGCTCACGCTATGCTTTTGATGTTCTTAAGCTCTTCTCTCCACTTGACGACTGTGACATCTTCGACACCACATTCCGCTACTTAATACTTACAAGCAATCTTGTGGGCAGCATCTTCTACTTAACATCCACCAATACCTCCAGAAGACCTTAAGCATATATATATATATATATATATATATATATATATACCCTTCGTTCCACTATTCGTTGTTAAACATGATGTTCTATTTCTCTTACTACGGTAATACTCGTTCTTATTTATTGCCGCATATTATTTAAATCTTTTTGTTTCACATTGATCAAGGCCTTAGACTGTTATGGATTCAGTTATTCTTCTGTGGATATATTTATTATTGCTAAATGAAGTTCAATTATTTCTCTAATCTGATGAATTTCTGTTCATTTAATTTTATTAGGGACATTTTCTTTTCTAGTGTTTTTTTATCGTCAAATACTTGTGGTTCATTTTTCGTTTTGTATGCATTTCTATTCAGTTGTGGGAATAATGATTTTTTAAAAGCAGTTTGCTTCATAATAAGTTGTATCTTTTGAATGGAATATTCCTTACTTCGCATTTTGATTTGTATGTTTTTTTCTTTCATTCTCTATTGTAGATTGCTGTTTGGACTCTAACTAGACTAGTTTCTCATACTGGTTATGTTGTTATTCCGTATAAACGTTATCCTCAATTGTTGAATATTCTGTTAGGTATGCTTAAACGTGAGGAAATCAAATGTATCCGTCAAGAGGTAGATTTAACATTGATGCTTTAATTTTTGTATTTATTGAATATTTATTTACTAGTTCTGTAAGCTTGAGAAAATCCCACTTTTTTTGCTTCAATAGAATCCATTCAGTTGTGTTAATTCGTATGTTGATTGTTAAACTAGTTACTGAATATTCATATTTCCTTTAAATTCTGCCTCACAGTGTTAAAACAACTTGCCACAACTTTGAAATCATAATATACTATGTGCTTGCACCAATAAAGGTAACATTATTCACTGAATAACTGCTTATAAATATTAAATGTTACAAATTTAGCATTTGATTTTTTCATCTGCTTATAATAAGAATCTTACTTAATGAGCATGACTAATCATTTTCAGTTTTCTTTAATTGACAACTAGAACGCTCATATTAAATCTGGTTTGATATAATCGTCATAAAATTCAGAATGCAAGTTTTATGTTCAATGTTAAGAACTGTATTCTTATGGTTCAATTCTCAAAATGAGTTCAATATTCAATAAATTTATACATATGTAGTCATATGTTGGTTTCATACTTGGAACTTCAGTTGATCTACCAAACTTTTTGATTGCCTCATTTAATTATCTTTAGGATGTCTTGTATTCTCCCATCATAAAATTCTTTTCTATTTCTGTCTGTTCCACTTCATCATATTTATGCTAAAGCCTATTTCTCTCTACTCTCTTTCCAATTGTGAAATCACACCCAACATGTATCGATCAACTAAGAAAATACAAAGCTCTCGTTTTAGGATTCCAATATCCTAAACTGCAAATCACTAATGAGTTACACTGAAACATTTTTTCACTGATAGTTTAGTGAGGTGCTTATTTTAAGGTATAAACTATTACATATCTTTTGTGTTACGATTTAGTAGTCCATTTTCAATCGTTGTTAGCTTTCTATGAGTTTGGATAATTTTATTCTTTTTGAATTCTATTTTTCTTAGAACTTTATACTTTATTGAAATATTTGAATTCCTGCTATTAGGTATTGAGAGCTCTTGGTGTTCTTGGTGCACTAGATCCCTTCAAGTTCAAATTGTATTCCGGTCAAGTCGATACATATGGCGATACAGGAATTGCTGTGAGTCATCATGAAGTAGTTGAACGCAAAGATGGTAAGTGGCTTGATAATTACTTAGTGTTAATTTTGTCTTCTAGTAGTTAATATCTAGGATAATCAAAATCAGATGTTTAGCAAAACATAATACAAATTAGTCGATATAATTCGACCAGGAAAATGGATTGAACAAATATGATATTGTTACTGTTGATGGGTTTTTAGAGATTTTAGAGTTCTCATAGTTCTAAATCACGAACTTTTGATCTCGCGCGTGGAAAGCCTAACCTCTAGACCGCTGAGCCTTCATTCAAGGGTGTAGATGTCTAACTCCAACCATTTCGCGATCATCTGTTGGTTGTGTTGAATAACCATCTCAGATCCGACATGGTTAAGCTCTAATATGTACACTTCTGAGGAGTCTGTTCAATGCTTTTTGTTGTTCATGTGAAAATCATTTAGTGATTTAATACTGCGAAAGCATGATATTGATTAATACTCAGAAAGGAAATAGATACCTGGATCGTACATAAAGATAGTCACTGTCTAAACAGCTCAATGGTAATTTCTTTGGGGATAATAGGTTTGTATTTTAACAATCGAAGTACATTTAGTTCCAAAGCTTTGTTGGGAGTCAATGAAAAATCCGGAGTAATAAATAAAAAAATGTTTACCCATTTCTGTGTCCTATAACTTTTTTTGGCTAAGCTATTTCTTATAAATCATCTTTCCGACTTTAGATAAGTATACATTCATTTTTATCTAACTCATTCCTTTTATAAATTGGAATAAAGTTAAATCAACACTGAAAACGAAATATTTTAACTTCGCTGTATTTTACGTGTTATTATCGTTTGCTTACAACCTGTAACAATGTAACTAAACGTGTAGATAGGATAATCAATGTACAACAACCAATACTTGTGACTATAAATAGGTAAAATGATCACGGTTATCTATTAACTTTCCTACCTAGAAAGTCGTTAGAAATGTGACGTAGAATGCACAAGAGAATTTTCTAGAACCATAACAACTCAATAATTGCAAAAAAAGGTTTACACAGGAAGTTAAATGAACAAAAATCACTCGATAAATTTAAGGTTATTTGTTTAAATGAATGAGATAACAGATAACTTAATAGAAATAAAAAGGTTTTCTTGTTAATTAAGTTAATGTAGTAAACGGAGGTTGTGATTCCACCGAAGATAATATATGTACATCATTCTTATTCGTTTGTTATTCTCGCTTACATTCTTGTAAGATTACATATGTTTTTCAGTTTTTGCAGTACTCACTTCTAGATAAAAATTTGATACTTACCACTAAATAATTTATAACATCTCTGTTATTGTAAATTAAGTAAGCTTACTAGATTTGTGACTCCTTGTAAACATGTTAACGTAAGAAATTTACTTGATAATATATTGGCGCAAAACATTAATTATTTAATATAATCAATGATTGTATTCCTTTGATTTTTTACTCGCTTTTCAACCAGTTGATATAACCCAATCAGAACTCGTTATCAATTTGTCTTGGGAAAGTCGTGATGTTTTCTTCTCAGTTTGTGCTCTATCTGCACTGATTCATTCGCTACGTGATCCTGCACTTCACAGCCAGTATGGTAGCATTGTACATACGATAGTTTATGTTTTAAAACTATTGGGTCCACGTTCAGTAATTTATCTACGTCAGCTTATACCTGATTATTTTCGATGTTTAGAAAATACACGTGATGCTAGAGTAAGCTGGGTGTACTTGTATGCATTCTTTCTTAAGAAATGTGTCTTTTGGTTTAATAAAAATAATTATAAATCAAAAATTTTCTGAGACAGTTAATTGTTGTCTGTATTTGGTCTTCCTCATATTTTATATATTGTAAGCCATCATTATTGTGTTTCGAAACTGACAGTACTGCCCAGCTATTCAAAATATATGTAGCTGTGTTAAATTTAAACCTAAATTGTGTCAATCAATTATGTAGGCTTCTGAGGAAACACAATCGTATATTTCTATCTTTGGTATACGAGTTACGATTTTTTATTTGGAAACTTTTCACGATGATTGATGCAGTTTATTAAATTTCATTCGTGTAGGAGGTAATACACTTACCACCGATGACAATGGATAGTTGCGCAACATCTCAAAAGTCGACTGAAGTTTGATTTATGAACTACTCAATAGTCTAAGGACAACAATTTCTCTGCGACATCCAAAGATCTTGATATTGATCGCGCACGTCTGAATCCTACACTAGAACGAAAAAAGTGTTAAATGCTCTGTTGTCTCATATTCTAAGGTTCATTTATTGACGTACAAAATTATTATTCACTCTACTAAAAGATTTCCATCACTAGTACTACTATAGTGAATGAGAACTCAGGTGGGGAAGAACAGTTTATTGTGTAATGCAAAGTCACACAGTGGTTTAGTAAAATTTGTAAATGATACATCATTTCCACATCTTTCAGTTGTCCTTTACGTCCTTCATGACTCTTCCAATTCTGTTTTTGTTCCAATTCTTTTATTTTCCTTTCTATCTTCTCATTTCAATCTTCCACTTTGGACTGGCGTTACATACAACTTATGTCGATAGACATAAGTAGCATATACCACACTCGTCCCTTCTTTAAACTGTCGCTCTTGCAGTTGTCTTGCTCCCCATGCCACTTTATTCTTTGTCGCACTCTGTGACACGATCTCCGTCAAATCGTCGAGTCCACCGGCGCAACAACTTCCGTAGCGATGTCGACCTCCCGAGCCACCTAATCCGATGTCTGCCCAGCAACTTGGGACGTCCAACTCCTGCTCTTCAGCGACATAAGTATCGTACATCATATTACTACCAATTTGATAATATGGAAAATAATCTTTTCTTGTGTTTATTTATTATTGCTTTGTAGAATCAATCTGTACATTGGTGGTGTGATGCTAGTCGTTTATCTGAATTATCAAGATTAAAATGAAATAAATTAGAATTTGCAACTCAGTAATTAAGCAAAGATGGATAGTGGTTAGCAGCTACTGAGTAGCTGAGTGGATAATGCGATGGCGTTTGGAGCGAATGGTACTGGGTTCGAGTCCCGGAGTGAACATCAACTCTGAGATGCAGGTACATCCAGCTGACGAGTCCCAAATAGGACGAAACGCGCATCCTGGATTCCACTGCTAACCACTATCCATCTTTGCATATAAAAGCCTGTGAATTAAAGCAATATCGAGGCCTACGCACAGTATGCACATTTCCAATAACAGACTGATCAATTGCAGTCTTAAACCTCAATGGAAAGATACAAGCAAAACAATACCAAGTGAATCAGTAATTAAGGTTTATGTCCTCAAAAGCATTCTAGTAATGTTTCTGTATAGATTTTGTTTGGCGAATTCGGAATACGTTTACTAATGAATAGTATAATGTATAGTATAGTAGTTAATTTGTTGATCTCAGATAGTTTAATAATTTTAAATCATGAAATTTTTGAGTAATTTTCTATGTTGTTCTGCAACCGCACATTCGTATTTTATATATTTATTTATTCAAGTTACAAGAGTTTCTTATTCGTCAATTGGGTAATGTAATGACCGTCGTGCAATTGAATACAAAAGAATTTGCACATGAAGTAGTTGACTTATTAATCACACATTGGTGGATTGCTCCAAATGTTCAGCGTGCATGTATTGGTTTATTAAGTCCAATGTCATCTGTATTAGGCGCTGAATTTCGTACATATTTAACACGTCTTATACCAACCATATTGAGAATGTTTCATCATGAATCAAATGAATCAAATTTAATAGCTGTAAGTGTTGACTATTCTGTATGTATTTTATATTCATTGAATATCAGTAAATAATTAATAATATGACTTACCAATATTCAATTCGTATACGTTGATTATTTGTTTTCGTGTGTCAGCTAAAACCTTTAAGTTGTATAGATTTGTGCATTAGTCTTTTGGTTATTAGGTTTGATATCGTTGTTTGATATTTTTAGACTTAATCAACTAAACATCTTGAACGTAAATTCTTATATAGTTGATTCCCAAATCAACTGAACATCTCTCAATGCTTATGCGTCTTAGTATTAAACCAATGTAGTTGGATCGACGCAGAAATTCTAAACTTCTAGTGGAAAGTCAGACTGCTCACTAATAAGTATTAAACAGTTTCTACTCTTCATATCTCACATCTTGTGTGCTCATTTGAAAATAATGAATAATTCTTTTATAGACTGACTTATCAGTGATCGAACCTCTCGCTTAGATTCGTTGTGAACCGAATGTGGAGCGTAACACAATATCCTCTGCCTTGCATTACTGTCGTAAAATATGTCAGTTAAAATTATATAGTTTGCCTGCGGTTTTTTTGGTACCAGTGCTTCTTCAAAAAGTTGCATGTGAATGTATACCTAACTAATGTTATTTCAGGGATCTTCAATAGTTGGATGCTAGATATTTCAAGGCGATCTTGTCAAACCTTTGACTCATCCATTTTATAAATTTGCAAATCTTATAAGAAATATTTTCTAGATTTTTTAACTAATATGCTAACCGTCTGATGTGTCCATACATTTATAGAATAATCATTGAAAACCTATCTTTAAGATACTAAATTTATGCAAAAATATTTCATGTGATTAATAGATCTGTTAAGGTCCTCTACAGAATTTCCTGACCCTAAATTGAAAAACCGTAAAACATATGGATATTGAATATCTATCTTTTCAAACCCTCATAAGAGCGCAAATTGAGTTTTAGGAGTTCCCACATGGTTACTGGTAAGTGTTAAGATTAGGCATTTAGGGTTAATATTATGAGTTTAGGGTTCAGAATTCAGAAATTAGGCTACAGATTAAGAATCACTGTTAGAGTCAGGATTGGTTTCTGAGTTATATACAATTTAGATAGGCATAAGTGAACATTGAACACGTTTAATACTGTCATTTTTCATTCTAAACGTTCTGAGTGCTATCCAAAGGTAACTCTGTTGGCCATTTCACGAAATTATTGAATTTTATACAAAAATGTTTAAAGTCCGTATTCTTGGTTCCGTATTGTGTTAAATTAAGCAATTATTACCATTACTATTACTGTGCAAACTTTTCACTACTGAGGTAACAGATATTATAACGCTATATGAGATATGCATTTTCTGTGATTTTGTTAGTTATTTTGTAATTAGAAATAATTTGTAATTTATTATTGAAATTGTGAACATGAAAGGAAATAAGTAAATAGCTTTTTTATTTGACTGTCATTGTTATATATATTTTCAGTCTTCACGTTGACTTATTTTTATTTTTATTTCGATATATATTTGTTTCTTGGGGATCAGCTTTTAGAAGTTCTTCCAGAATTTGGATACACACTTAAGGATTATGCTCATATTATTGTTCCTGCGATATCAAGTTTAATTGATATTACCAGTGAAGCAAGTCTTTCTGTGTTATTAAATAGTGTTTCAGAATATTCGTCATCGAATTGCATCACTACCACTACTACTACAAGTGCTACTACTTCTTCAACGTCAATTTCCCATTCAACTATACCTAACTCTAAATCACAGTTAGACACAGATACTATTGATTTGTCGAATATTTTTAGCAGCGTTCCTGAAAATAATTGTACATCAACAAATGATACAAATGTAGGTGGAATTCAGGCATCGAATACAAGAACTTCAACAAATGGTTTCAATCAACAAATATTACCTAACAAAGTGGGTAGCGTACATCTTCGCAAAGCGTGCTTAGAATGTTTAGCAAGATTTACAGATTGTGTTGATTTAGATGATTTCGCTGGACAAATAATTCATCCAGTATGCCGTTTACTTTTAACATTGGAATCATGTCATCAAAGTTATCAACAGTTATTACATCAACAACATCATTTATCATCGACAAAATCATCAGCTTCGTTGGGTAGTCAGGCATGTTTGAATGCAATTAATCAACTTCGTGTACCAGCTATGGATGTATTAACTGGATTGTTGTATCGTATGGGTCAAAAGTTCAAATTTTTCCTGCCTTTAGTACAAAAAATGCAAAGTCGTTTGCAGTTACACACACCTCGATTTAATACTGTGCTTGGACAAGTGAGTACTTTTTTATCTTTTAAATTCTATCTTTATTATCTCTTATCGACAGTGTTGTGTGTAATGAATTGCATGGCTTTTTTGTATTGTGGTCATATTTTAATACGACAAAGAATATCTGATTTTTTTGAAATTTCGTTATCTGAATTTGTTAGTTTACATATACTGTAAAAGGAGAGTCACTTATTAAAGTTCAACTGGAGGTAATTAGAAATTTATTTTCGTGATAAAACACTGCACTGTACCATATCCTGTTGAGCTACAAATTTTCACCATCTCAAAACGTCATGATATGCCTGTTGTCGATATAATGTTGAATTTTCTACAAAAGTATTAGCGAATTTACTGTAGTTATGATAACCAGCATACTATCTGAATACCGTTTATTGTTAAGAAAATTGAGCAATATGATGTTTAAATATGTAATGAAGTGGAGTTTTTAAGTGGCCGATTAACTGTTAACTGAATATCGATCAAAACAACTGGTTTCTATCTGATTCGTTTCGAAAACGCTTAGTTACATAATAATTGTGATATAAAGTCTACATATGATTTAAAGTTTACAGGTCGTTAACAAATCCAAATTTTAAATCATGAATGTTAGACCAGACGTTTGACCTCTGAGACATCATTCATAAGGAAATAGTGCAAAAGTATGGCTCTCGTTTGGGGGTCAAAAAATGACAGTATAATGGATCTAATTACCTAGGGTTTTCATATATTACATATATAAGCTCTGCCTATTGGCTAGCTTCTATATTCTACTGTTGTAGACACAATAACAAGTATTTATGTGGCGATTTTTGAATATGTATTTATTAGGTTGAAAAAGGCGCTTATCTGCCGACAACTAATGATCGTGTGCACGTTAAATTTACCAGCATTTCTACACGTAATCGTGCACAAAAATTGAATGTTGATGATTCAGAAACACCTGGAACTGTTAAACTTTTGAAAATTAACAAGTTAGTTTGTTTTCTGTATTGCTTAAAATCCTAATTTGATGAACACAAGTACTTGTAAATTTATCCCTAGTTTCGTAAAGATTTCATACTGAAGAAAACCTTTGTGCGTCACAAAATTGCATCAAATAGAAGACCACTAAAGAACAAACAGCACACTGAACAGCTATTTTTTTCAAACCATGTCCAGTCATTACTTTCAGGAGAGTTTTAACTTAAGATCTACAAGTTTTGTGACGAACAAAACGTTACTCATTAAGAGTTAGCAATAATCATTTAATTTTTCGTGACCAGTGATTTTCACTCATCGGCATATGGAGATGGATAAGCTTTTGTCTCGTAACTTCATCATCACTATATGCAACGTAGAACCTGATATATATGTGCATTGGTTGCCATAACGCAATCACAGCTAGAAAATTATTGAAAAGCGAGTCGCAGAGTTGTAGAAGTAGGGGCAGTATCGGTAGTAGCAAAAAAGATTAGATATCGAAGAGGCAAGAGGATATGGGGAGATTTTGGAACTCAGGTTCTAGGGGAACACAATGATTGAATCCACCTGCACCATTGTGAACAATCCTAAGCCATGTTATCCAAAGTTTCTTACCATTAATTACAATAATCATGTGAACCCTAACCAGGTAGTCTACACCTCTTAACATAGTCCGATTATCGACGATTTCATGGACTTGTGTGACATCTCGGTTTGACCACTCCAGGTTCACCATCCCACCATCACCTCTTTCAAACCTATATTAATTTCTCTGTTTTCATCCATTCAAGAATGATCAGTATGATATTTGTGTACCATCATGTTAATTATTCAATAATGACCATTTTATAGTAGAATTGTTATCTATTTTAATGTTTAATTTGATAATTTTATCGAGTTTATTGCTCAGAGTGATATTGGTACAGTAAAACTTGTTCAAGCTCTTTCTTTCATTCTATATAATACTTTGTTCTAATCGACACTCCATACTGATTTGTTATTTATATAGTTTATCCAAATTAATTATAACTTTTGATGATCCCTCTATGTCTTTTGTTAAATTTAACATATTTTCCCATAGTTTGATCATGTATTTCTTTTACTTCACAAAGACCTCTCTCTACTGAATAACAATGATCACAAACGAAAGTCTCAAGACTTTTTGTCAATGGCCTCATATTGTTTGTTGCTATTTTCTCATTTAAAAAACTTGTGTAACTGTACTTTCATGTTATAAATTGTTTTCCATGGTGTATATCAATTTCTCTTCTAGCTTGACTTTCCTTCCTTTTAAACAGTACTAATTTGGAACGTGCTTGGCATTCTTCTCGTATGGTTAGTCATGATGATTGGAGTCAGTGGTTGAAAACATTAAATATGGCACTTTTACGTGAATCACCAAGTCCTGCTATTCGTGCGTGTAGCCAGTTGACAGCTATTACACCTGGCATAGGTCGTACTTTGTTCAATGCTGCGTTTCTTAGTTGTTGGCCTGAATTAAATTATCATCAACAAGATGATTTAATTAATACTTTAGAACGTGTACTACGTGTACCAGATCAGTCACCGGAAGTTAGTCAAACTATATTAAATCTTGAAGAGTTCATGGCTCATATGGATAAAGTAAGTCTCCTTATTTTCTGTTTTTACATCAATCTTCAATTTTCCATTTCTTCAGAATTCCATTTTATGTAACTGTCCAAATCATCGTTGATTACCTTGTCCATAGTCCACATAAATTCATTCAGAGATCTGCTGCTTTATTTTTAGGGTCCAAAGATAGCAAGAACAATTTAAATAGTCTTATTTGATTACATTACAGCATTATTGATTATTTTAACAATGTTGTACGTAACTCTTTGATAAATCACATTCTCTTTTGTCGGGGACGTTCGATCCCCAGAACTCACTTGGGAAAGGACCTAATTTTGTAATTTTGTTTAGAAAATTTGAATTTCTTTGTTTTCACGCCAAAAGCGCTCTTGTCACCGTCATGTCGTATTTCTCACTGGGAAATATCTTAAATGCTATTGGTCCGTTGCGTCTTTTAGTATGCTATTTGGTAACTCTCCCCAAGGACGGTTTTGTACTGTATATGTACGTTTTGATTCGTGTTTGTTGTTATCGCTCGTTTCTGGCTGTTTGCAGAATATACTTCCCCATTCCAAGCTTGGACTTCTCCCTCTAGTTAGCGGGGCTGTGACGCATCAATAGCTTGCTTACTGGTTTTTGGTCACCGAGTCTTGTTTCTCGTTTTCAGATTAAGTGAACTCGTGATAGCTTCAAACCTAGCATCTTTATACAATATTTTAATGACAGTACGTTATATTTTCAAAAGCTTATGTAGTTAGCCATCACTTATCAGTTATAATATGTCGGGTTCTTTATACTCAATAGTATTATTTACGGTAACAGAACATGACTCTGTCAGGATTGTTTACTTAGAAAGAACTTGTACTAAAAAATTATGTTCTCAAATTAACAGTTTACGTAAAGCAAAAATCAACTAAACTCTCTATTACTTTCATTTTACAAAATTTTCCTGTTGACCACTTTCAATACCACATAAGTTTTCAACAACACATAATTAAAATTTGTATCAAATAAAATGTCCTAATAATCTATTTTTCTTTCTATTTTTCTCTCTTTTTAAAAATTTTAATTTCTGTAATTTAGTATTCAAGTTCATCGCATCGAGTTCACTTACCATTACCTTTGGGTGTTTTAGCTGATCGAGCATTAAAAAATCGTGCGTATGCTAAAGCATTATATTATAAAGAACAAGAATTTCTCATGGAATCTGAAAAACGTTCTTGTCCTAGTCCGGCAACTCTATCATCTTTACTTACTATATATAGTAAATTGAATTTAGAAGAAGCAGCCAATGGAGTATTGTTATATGCAACACGTAGCACTCAGGATAAACTAGTAAGTTTTTTATTCTGGGTTGTAAAGTAATAATTTTTTAAGTCATTATTTCAAATTACCAGTTTAGATTGATATCATGAATGGATCAATGTTAAGCCACCATTGGAAACATTGAAGCACTAGACGGCTGTTTCGTTCTAGTATGGGGCTCCTCAGAAGTGCGCCTGCACGATCCCGCACACAGGACCTTCAGTCTCGTGCGTGAACACTTAACTTCTAGACTACTGGGCCGGCATCCACCAGTGGTAATATTTAGCTTCCTCCAATACACAATATCTATTTATTGTCTTTTATATATCAATAGGCTAATGAAGAAGTTTGGAGAGAAAAATTACATGATTGGAAATCTGCTTTAAATTTATATGAACGTAAATTAGAAGATGATCGAATAAAAGATAAAAGTTCTCTTATTCTCGGTCGAATGCGATGCCTTCGAGCTTTAGGCCAATGGTCAGTTGTATTATTTGTTTTATTTAAATTAATATTATCCCATTTTATATCTTTTGTTTTAAGTTATTTTCCAGTGAATTTCTCATTCTTAAATAACGTAATTAGGATAAAATTTCCGCTCAATTAAAATCACATACGATGATGGTTAACTTGATTGTGTAAATCTGGTAACGAATAAAAGTTGGTATCAACAATTTGTTAGCGTAAATTATTCTGTTTAAACATAACATTTACACATAATTTTATGCAAATACCATTATTTCCTAATTCTGCGTGGAATTTTTCTTTGAGGAAATCGATTTCCAAAGAATCTACTTCCTTTAAAGAAGTATGTAGCATAAACTAGTGTCTTGATGTGTAAAAGTGGTTAACTTTTAGGCATTGTACTACCGGTTCAAAATGTACCATAACATTTTACTTTCGATAGCTAGTTAATATCACCAATTCTGAAACGCTATCAATATGACTTAGATATGAATACATCAAGTTTTATTTTATTAGTGAGTTTCGCAGTATTTGTGGTTGTTATAAATAAGTCGATGAATTTAAAATATTTGGTGTATTAATATAAGTTAACCTGAAATTATTTTGTTTTAACTATGGGTTTGAAACATTCTGATATTTTTTATGAGTTAAATATAAGAAGCATAAATTGCTTTAAAAAGAGTAGTAGTCAATGCTATGATGGATGGATTAAAACTAACTGTCTATAACCACCAATTAATTGACTACCTTGAATCGCTCATGACATTTTATTATGCTGTATTTGACGATGTCATTTTATTAACTTGAAAATATATTCTACTGTCTAGTTGTCTTATCTTTGATCCCAAATTATTCGGGGGCTTATGTCTATAATTCGTCTAGTGAGCAGCTATTACTTGACGGCCATATCTTATCTTTCCTTTTTACTAATCAGTTAAGATCTTACTCTTTCACTTTAACAATCAAATAAGTTCGTTTTATCAAATCATATAACGCTACTTCATAACAGCGATTCCAAAAATGGGATAACAGATAAGGTTTATAATTAACTGCAACCAGCATAAATGATATTTTTAATTATTCGATCCTACTGCTTTAAAACGAGGCAACTGGTGGAAGAAATTTATATCACAATGTGCTTTTGTAGTGTGTATACATAGCCTTTGATCACCCATTTACATCTTTCGATTTGTTCTGTAATCCGAACAGTTCTTGTCGACTGACCAAGTATTCTACCCAAGCTGTGCTTGTGAAGTACTGAAACTCTCCTCTCCGTCTTACGACTGTGACAGTTTCTGCGCTACGTTCCGTCACATGCTACTTATGAGCAATTTTGTGAGTAGCGTTCACCATACTGGTATCTATCAGTAGTATAATATATTAAATATAACTGGCGTGGTTGTAACACACTTATTCTCTATCTTAGATAAAGATTGATGTTAGTAGCTTAATTATGTAACTGTACGTATGAAATCGTAACTCTATGATAATTGATTTACACAATGTTTCTGCAACTGACATTAATTTATGTTAAAAATTTTTATTTTTAAATAAAAGTTTAAACAATTTCATATAATGTTGTGGACTCGTTGAAACTAGACATTAACACCGTTGGATCCCGTCTCAGTGGTTTATAGGTTAACCGTCCGCGCCAGATTGACGGTCCTGAATTCAGGTCTATTTCAGAGTCATGGGTGCGCACTAATAGGGAGTTTCACACTAGGATGAAGCGGCCGTTCAATTATTCCGGGCTTTCAATGGTGGTTCATGATTTTAATGAAGCTCAACAATCTCCGCAACCCCATGCTGAAAATTCCAGAGAATCATTCTCATTTTAGTGATATTAAAAATCAATGAAATTCAACATTAACTCTACTAATTTCAAAAAAGCTATTTGATATCTTTTCATTGTAATGCATCTGAATATCATAGAAAAACTAGTGATTGATTACAAATTAGTAGAAAGCAGTTATTAAAGTTCGGACAGATGAAGCATCATTATATCCCAACATATGGTATTCGTTCAGTTTTTTTAAATATTTAGAATCTCAAGAGTAAAGGAACCAGTTGAGATATCAGTGTCTTAAGAGTTCAATATACCGGTTTTATCTTTTAACCATCCATTTAAAATAAATAAACACAAACGAAGATATCACTTAACTAACAATTGCTTAAATTTGTGATGATTAGTATCATGACATTTTAAAATAATCTGTAGCGTATTGTTTAATTCGGAAAACTTGTTAAAACATTCGGTCTGAGGGTAAAATCTCAGTTTGCCCTCTTTCTTCTAAGCAGCCTGATGGTGTCACTAACCATTATATCAGACCTATCAGTTTTCTTAAAACTATATGATTATCATAATTGTTATTGTTATTATATGTTTTTAATCTAGGGCTCCATTAAACAATATGGCGTGGGAACGTTGGAATGATGTAAACGATCAAATGCGTGCATTAATGGCACCGTTAGCATGTAGTGCAGCATGGGCTCTGAATTCATGGGATCGTGTCGAACGCTATACTGAAGCTTTATCAGCTGATAACAGTTTTGATGGTGCATTCTATAGAGCTGTTTTAAACATACATTCTGAACAGTATGCTAAAGCTTGTGATTTTATAATGAAAGCACGTGATGTCCTAGATTCTAACTTAACAGCTATGGCTGAAGAAAGTTACAATCGTGCATATGCTGTAAGAAATACCGTATATGTATATATTTGTAATTATTCACTGTTGTTATAAGTATATACTGTTATATGTAAATTCTTGGTTTGTAAAATGATAAATAACATTTTACTTAAGGTTCCGTCATCGATAAAATCGCAATATCTACATTTTGAAGCTAAGAATATTCATTTATTCACTTATTTCAAAATCATTCTCTATTTAAAATACTCAGGATTTAGTGGGCACTCAACTGTTATCTGAAGCTGAAGAAGTTATACAATATAAACTTATGCCGGAAAGGCGTCCAATTCTTCGTGAAGCATGGCAATCTCGGTTACTTGGCTGCAATTCTGTAGTGGAAGATTGGAGTCAAATCATCCAACTACGTAGTTTAGTCTTGGAACCATATGAAGATCGTAAATCTTGGTTACGTTTTGCTGGACTGTGTCGTAGAAGTGGTCGTTTTGTAAGTGGATTACAGTAAATTATGTCTGATGTTCACGATAGTTCTTTATCACAAATGATGTGAATTTAATGTTGTTTATTTGTTTTGTTTACATCGTTGATGTAGATTCTATCACGTCAAGTATTAGAAAATCTATTGGGTTTAGATCCAGCTGGTATTCCACCGTGTGATCCTATTCCAAGTTCTGATCCAGCAATTGTATTCGCATATACTAAACTATTATGGGCAGTTGGAGCACATGAAGAAGCGGTTAGTCGTTTATGTGTTTTAAAAACACATGTGTTAGAACCATTACTTCGAGCTGAAACAGGGATAAACAGTGCTCAGCAATCTTCATCAGTTTTTCAACTTTTATCTCCGAATTTATTGAATACCAATGAGACATTAGATAGTTTAGATTCAAGACAACTAGAAATTCAAATAGTTAACGAACGAAAGGAATTAAGAAGACTGTTAGCGAAGTACGCTTTATTTTTTCTTTGTATAATTCTTGCAACTTTTTATAGGCTTCGCTTTTTTTCACTGATTACAATTTAATTGAAATTCTTTTAAAAGTGGTTATGCCACGGGTTAGGCTAGAAAACCACTAAAAAGCAGGAGATCTTGATAGTTGTTTCTTCATAATACGTAAATTTTCAAAACTTAAAACCTGCTGTCTAGCTAGGGATCGGACCCTACAACCATCAAGCCCCTCTGCCAGAGTGTCAGCTCTAGACAAATGAATCTAAGCCCTATTATCTACGTTTCAAGCTTCCGTCTTTTCATGATACATTGCAACAAAATTTTACCCACGTATGCTATTGGTGAATCTTGGACCAGAATCTTACAGAAATATCCAAAACATTTCATCAAATGTGTTTACGTACAATTGTCAAAAATTATTAAAAACGATTCATGCATTGATACTACTTTCCGTTAAATTATAAGTAACTAATCGAACATTCGTATTCATGTAGTTATTAACAGTTATAATTTGATTGAGTAATAAGCAGTCAACTTCAAACGTTCTGCTGTAACTGTACATTTTGATTAATCCCACAACTTATTCAAGCCATTCTCGTAACTGAGATTCTTCAATTCAAAGGTTAGTCAACAAATGCTTCTAAGTTATTCTGGCCCCAACTGTCATCCTGTAGATCTGAGTTGATATCTTTACTTATTGGTCATTGTTGAAACGAATATCACATCATTCTAATCTTTATTACTAATCAGATTCTACCAATCATGTTACTACTTATGGGTATTAACTAACATGAAGCTAGTAGTTAGAGCTTCTCGTATTTTGCTTGCAACCATCTAGCATCAAAGTATAGTGAACTGGAGTGTCAAGCCATTTAGAATAGTGACCATGTTGCAGTGTTTTCTATTGACTCCTATCTAGTAATCAGTCACGGAGATCGATCTAGCATTTTTCGTTTATTTACATTTAATTATTTTCAAACTTTCCTTTATTGCTAGATGTTGTTTGAAATTGGGATCATGGTGTTCAGAATTGTATACACGTTCACCACCTGGTAGTCACCAAACAGACAATCATTCATTAGCTTATACACCTAATTCCGTCTTTACGGCTCCCAGTGGAAATGGACTACAGTTCTCCGTAGCTGCTGCAGCGCGCACTTTATCAAAAGTGAATTCTAATAATGATGTGATAGAAAATATACATCCATCTCAAATGTCACGTGTAGCTGTAATGCGTTTATCAAATAATTATAGCGGAATAGTAGGTGGTGGACGTGAATCAAGTAATCGTAATGGTTCACGGATTCGTCGAGCTGCTTCTGCTGCTGGAGCGACATCAATAGTAAATGAAAATCTGGCCACATCCAATATAACTCAGACATGGGAAGAAAGTCAGGCGTTTGTTATTCAGTGTTATCAAACTGCAACATTACACGCACCAGATTGTCGTAATACATGGCAGTCATGGGCTATGGCTAATTATGCTGTATTCAACCATTTGGATACATTGAAAGCTTGTTTAGAAAGAGCGGAGTTAGAATTAAATAAAGCAAGTATTAATTTAGGTTGCATATTTTCCATTTTAACAGATTTGTGTACTACTTTTGGGGTTAGATATTGTTTTGTATATAGAGTAACTCTTCGATTGCCTAAAGCTAGGTATAATAGAATCCGAACCTGTTGTCCAGTAGATGAAAGCTAGGTGCACCAACTCTGTCGAAAGCACATTAATCAATAATTATTTTTGTTCGATTTGGGTAATTTAAAACTTTATTAATTCTTGAAGTTATTAGCTGCTCTTTCGAGCGTTGTAGGTGTTGTGAACTGCTGACGTGTAGAATTCCTCACGGTCCAGATTTGAATTGTGTCAACGTAGATCGATAACAATTTATCCTAGCCACAATTTTACTAGTTTTAGACATGATACTAACTATTTTACGCTTCGAATAGATGTTGGTAATTTTTTTTATCATTCCTCTATTTTAGGTTGGCGGTATTGATAACCATAGTTTATGGTCGTCCCGGCGTAATTTCTCGTCTTCCGCTGGAATTCATGGATCTGGAGTTAATCAAATGCAGTCTTCAAATTTACCTGTTGGCAATATCTCATCTAATTTTTCTCCATTACCACCACCTATAGCAGAACTTGTCCGTGCGAAAACTGATCTACAGAGATGTATGGAATTACATGCTGCTCCATCTGTTAAAGGTTTCGTCAATTCAATAAGTTTGTCACCAACTGCTAACTTACAGGCAAGTTAAATTCATTTTCCTCGTTTGCGAAATCAAAGTTGTTGTTAATGTCCATTTATTTAGATTCTTTTTCACCAAAACAAATACACTGATGGTAACTTGGAGTTTTAGCTTCATTGAAACATAAGTTATTGATGCGTGTATGATAGAAATAGGAGACTGTACTTCAGATAACATGAGCTACCCTATTAGTTAATATTATGTATAGTTTTATTGGTATATTTACCCCGAGAACATTCTTTCAAGTATTTCAATAAACAACTGATACTTTCATGAACCGAGGTCCTATAGTCAGTATTAATAAATCAATTTATTTCGTGATTCCCGTTAATTTACTTTTTCTTAGTCTGTACTAAATTTATTATTATCATCTTATTAATATTATTCATTCGCACAATTGTCACTAATTGATAATCTCTTAGTTTTAGTACTTATTATTCATTGACAAGCACTATAAAGCCTGAAACCAGTGCACATTAACCCTATTCGACATACAACATTAGCGCAACGAGATGAAATCATCAAGATAGTGGGGTAAGGGGTCAGAATACTGTATTAACATTGATAAGAAATAATTAAACATTGAGAATATAGTTCGAGATGAAATAATAAGAGGGTCATTAAGGAAATAGTGGGACTCAAGCCTTAGATTGAGGTTGAAAAAGAATACATCTGCCTTACTTTCGATCCTCCCCTCAGTTCAAATTATGACTGAAAAGGCTAGTCGGTTATTATGTCTTTTATACATAAATACGATATCATTCTATATGCTATTGAGTTGATCTAAGCAAAGGAAGAGAATTCACGAAATAAAAATATGCCATGATCTTTATTCTTGTTTCACTCACCTAAAGATACTTTCGTTACGTATTTTTTTAGTTTTTCTCTGTATACTTACTTACGCCTGTTCCCCCTCGTTAAGAGCATAGGCCACCCACGATCATTCTTCATCCAACTCTGTCCTGGGCAATCCTTTCCAGTTCTTTTTATCCTTTTCATGTCTGTTTCCGATTCCCGACACAGTGTATTCTCCAACCTTCCTCTTTTCCGTTTCCCTTCAGGATCCCAGGTAAGCACGTGCTTCGTGATGCAGTTTGATTATTTCCTCATTGTATGTCCTATCCACTCCCAACGTCTTTTCCTTATTTCCTCCTCAGCTGAAACCAGGTTTATTCTCTTCCACAGTAGGTTGTTGCTGATGGTAGCCGGCCAACGGACATTGAGTATCTTGCATAGACAACAGTTTATAAATACTAGTACCTTTTTGATGATGATTGTAGTAGTTCTCTACATTTCAGCTCCGTACAGTAAGGCTGTCTTGAAGTTCGTATTGAAGATTGTGATTTTGATATTGGTTGACAGATGGTTGTTTTGAGTTCCATATGTTTTTCAATTGTAGGAATGCTGTCCCTGTTTTGCCAATCCTTGCCCATATATATATATATATATATATATATATATATATATATCACAGAATGATTAGTTTGCTATATTTCTTAGTTTTACTCAGTTTGTTGTTTTTTCGCTGCAGTTTAAATGATCGTTTCATTATTTTATTTACTTTATTTAGGATAGTTTACGTTTAATCAATTTATTATTTAAATTTGGTCATTTAACTGAAATTCGTGAAGTGATACGTGAAGGTTTGACTAAAATACGTTTGGATAATTGGTTACTTGTTATACAACAATTATTAGCTCGTATTGATACACCTAGAGAATATGTTGCTACTATTATAATTGATTTGTTAATATCTGTTGGACAACGTTATCCACAATCTATGGTTTATCCATTAGTATTAGCATTTAAATCTGGTGGCTCTGATCGTCGCCGTTATAACGCTAATCGTATTCTGTACAGTATGGAAGAACAAAATTCACGCTTAATATCAGAAGCATTTTTAGTAAGTGTTCATCACTAAACTTTCTTTAGTGAACAATAAGTTTATTGGTCTATGTATGATATTATAAATAACATTTTTAAAAGATGTAGTTCAACTAACTGTGGTTGAGTGATTCAACAATTCTATTTTCGACTGATTATTCGTACAGTATTGTTGAAAGGCTATTATGCATTAAGTTTGACTTAAAACCAAGTACATAAGTTAATTACAAACCTTGCAGATGAGTTACATTAACTGTTAAGTAAAAAAAGAAGATAAATTAAACTCCACTTAACCAAAATCTTTTAATGTTGATTCAATGCACTCACATTATTTCACTTTCTAATTATTTTGATTTTATCATTATAATTCTATGGAAAAAATATATACGATTTAGTATGTAGTGATGTGAACTTAATTCTGTTAACTAAATTTCAAACTTCCTGAGAAAATTTGATCAGCTATTGAGAGGTATATGATATTTACTACTTACTGTTCAATAACCAGATAATTGTTTTTAAATGTTAGGAATGATTTTTTTTCTCATTAATAAATGCCGTAACTATTCATCGTGTGATAATAGTGTTAGAACATACTCTTTATGATGCACCCGTTTTTATCTAATTTTCTACAATAGGCACTTTATTTGATGTTTTTTCAACTAATTTATATAATATATAACTAAAAATCTTATCAAAATACCTTTAAAAAAAACTTATTTTTCAATAGACCTGCGTTCATTGATTCTTTCTACTTACCATCATGTAACATTCAAGCTCGATTGAAATAGTATTATACACACTTCGTGTTGTAACGCGAGTGTGAGACTGCAGGGTTTGATAAGCAGCGTATTTATCGATCGGAGTACAGTGGACACGGAAAACACGTATGAACGACCTAGTGCCCTGATTGGTCCCGCTCCGCTGTCTGTCCCAGCCAGTTGAGTGAAGAACGCAAGTCACAGCCTCTGAGTTATGAATCATTGTATTTCAAACATACTCTATTTATATACCAAGCAAACAACCCACATCGTACCATAAAATAGGAAACAACATTTGTACAATATTTAACAAGTGAAATAAACATCGACCAATAAGAAATGTACATTTAAGGTCCAAGGACACCATAGACTTAACACGATAATTATTGGTATATTTTTCCGACTATCCTAACACCTCCCCTTTTTTGAAAGATCCGGAGTTAATATCTGGACTTTAAAATTTTCTGCGTCCGTCCTCCCCCGCGAAATAACGTTGGGTCCTCATATACCCAAGCAACAATCAGTCTGATTCTATTTAAAGCATATTTCGCGCATTGAGTAGAGGGTTCACTAAAACTGACTAGATGATAAGGATTAGCGACACCAGACATGACGTCATTAAGGTTTGATTTTTGTGCAACATATTCTTCAGACCTCTTCAAAATGCGATCACTGGATAATAGGTCACTAAAACAAACAGCATCTTTGAAATTCATATTAGATTTCTGACCATCATTTGATGCACGGGAAACATTTTCTGGCACGAGAGGTTCTTCTTGTAAGCTGGATACCTCACATGTTTCAGGCACAGTGGGATTTGAACCCACAACAGGGCATGTTTCTGAATTGGACAATTCTGGATCTCTGGACGGATCATGCGCGACTGCCACGTTTGCATTACTGATCATAAGGGATTCATAGAGGCTTTTGTTTTCATCTTCATATGTCCTGCAGTCATTCTCGAGTTCAGTATGCAGGTGAGAAATTAATTCGTCAACCTCTTTCACATCTCCGAAACACGGGAGATTTAGCAGTCGCGTGCGCATATAGTCCAAAACTTTCAACTGGCTCTCTTTGAAACGATCTAGTAGTATCTGCAATTGATCGGAGGGGATAGTCATTTTCTGAATCAGCAGAGTAATGAGAAATACTGTAATCAACTAACAACCAATGACTCCCAAGGACGCCGACGAAAAATCTGGATACTGATTGGTCAGAACAATTATACTGAATCTCGTCCAATTACAGGGTTCAAAATTCTCTCTACCCCGTCGCCAATTGTTGTAACGCGTGTGGGACTGCAGGTTATGCTAGACAGCGTTTATATCGATCGATTACAGTAGACACGGAAAACACGTATGAACGACCTAGTGCCCTGATTGGTCCCGCTTCGCTGTCTGTCCCAGCCAGTTGAGTGAAGAACGCAAGTCACAGCCTCTGAGTTATGAATCATTGTATTTCAAACATACTCTATTTATATACCAAGCAAACAACCCACATCGTACCATAAAATAGGAAACAACATTTGTACAATATTTAACAAGTGAAATAAACATCGACCAATAAGAAATGTACATTTAAGGTCCAAGGACACCATAGACTTAACACGATAATTATTGGTATATTTTTCCGACTATCCTAACACTTCGCTGTTGCCGTAGCTAAGTTACTTAGTATAAGATTGTTTAAACCTCAGCATCATTTCAAATTTAAATATTAACTGTTAGTTATGTTTCACACTGCTTTGCACTTCACGTGAACTAGGTTCTATTGAATTTTCATGAAGGTATCAGTATCTAGTTTTTTTTTTATATTTTGCGATTTGGTTGTCAATATTTTCACATCTTCAGATGTATGGTCATAATTCTATTTTTGTCCAGATAACATTGTTTGAATCTAAATTTTTTAATACGAGGTATTCTGAAGTAATCAATGAGGATACTCTCATTAGAAAATCTATTTATGTTACTTCATGTACTTCGATTGGTCAGTTCTACATATGAACTGTTTAGTACATTTCTAATCAGTCAATTTGTTTTTCGTAATCTTGGTAGGATTTTATGGATATTTAGTGTTTGGTGGTTCCTGTTAGTCAACAAGGTTTGAACCTCACAAAGATCACCAGTTGTTTTAAAATTGAAGGTAACAGAATTCACTGTTAACTATATTTAATCGCCTAAAATCTCATTATAGTATACATGATATTAAGTCTCCTAGATTAATGACCATACTGCAACTGGGTTAACAGAATCCGATTAACACCACAGGACTAGACAAGCATCATGATATTAACCAGTCACTACTACTCACTGACCAATCGATTGTGTATACGATAAGCGTTTCACTCAAATTAATTATGTGTATATTAAGATTAATATTAGTGAATAATATCATTTCGTTTTTTTTCTTTATCCTAGCTAAATGAAGAATTAATTCGTCTATCGATAACATGGGTTGAAATGTGGTCAGAAGCATTGGAAGATGCAAGTCGTGTTTATTTCGGTGAAAAAGATATTGCGAAAATGTTTCGATTATTACATCCATTACATCAAATGATGGATCGTGGTCATGAAACAATTCATGAAGCAACATTTTTACAAGAGAATGGTAATGATCTTGCTGAATCTCGATTATGCTGTGAAAGGTATGAGTTAACTCAAGTTAGAATTGACTTACAGAAAGCATGGGAAGGTTATTATACTTTGTATAGACGTGTAAGTCTTATTTGAAAATTCTTGTCATCATAATTAGTTATTAACATATGTCTGTCATATTTTATAACATCTTTAGCTTAGGTTTATAAAACGAATAATCTTAAAGATATTTATTCAAAGTTAGTGTTATAGTTGACCATTTTACTGCATTTGTTGGTTAATCAATGGTGTTACATTTTGTATCCTAGAAAATTCTATGCCCTGCAAAAGAATATTTAAATAGAAACCAAATTTCACATACATATCTTGTATAAATGTACATCGTAGAATTTAAAGAACATATATTTATGTATAAGTAATGATCATCAAACCTATTTTTTAAACTTATCTCAGAGTTGAAAACCTGTTTTCAGTTTTATCATACTTTTTTTCCTTTTCGTTCATCATGGGGTTCAACTTTTTTTTATCGTTTTCAACAGTTTGCCAAGCAAGTAAACAACATGACAACTTTAGAGCTTACAGTGTCCTCACCTCGTTTACATGAATATGGACAAGATTGGCAGCTAGCGGTACCTGGAAGTTACGAGCCTCACCGACCACTTGTAAGAATAGCATCTATTAAGAACTGTTTAAATTTTATCACCTCAAAACAACGTCCACGCAAATTAACTATCACAGGTATGTTGTTGTTTCATATATTTGGTCATTTGTAGATCTATAATCTATTCAAGTGTCCTCGTATGATTAAGTGGTGTTGGCAATATAGATATACTTATGGCCTAAAAATACTTTAATTGATCTAGCATTTTGTTTATGGATGTTGTTTCTTTCCTGCAAAGATAACCACGATAATGTTTTACCAAGTCATATTTCTTCACTGGCCTGTGCTGTTATTGATTGGTTGTTCTCACTTTTAGTTTATTAACCTTATTACGTCTCAAAAACATGCTTGTAGCTATATTTACAGAATTGTTCTACTTCAAATTCGCTTACTTTAATACCAAGCTTTTCTTAACGTTTTGGCTTATCTTTGTGTTCTGTCGTGTTTGAGTTTGTTATCGAAGTGTTGTGTATCGGTGGCTCAGTTTGTTGAGATCACCTTTATTAATTAGAAATCAACGTGATCGTCAATAGAAAACTTTACGATACATAATAATATCCTTAGATAATCTCTTATGCTCTCTTTAATCTATATTTCCCGTATTTACCATTCCATTACACCAGACAATTTTCTTCTCCATTCTGTTTCTCAACATGTTAATTTCCTCCTCTGTGCTCTGAAGTATGATCATTTCAAACGATACACATTCTGCGTCACATAGAACTAACTGTCTAAGTGTATTATTTGTACACCATCCTTGTGTTGTGTTTTTCTCATACTGAATGTTTTCTGCTATTCACACGTTTAATCTAAGTTGTATATGTCTTTTAAAAAAGACTGCATTTGTAAAATTTAATAACATGCTACTAGTTAATTTCTTATAATTGTCCAAGTTGGATTCCCACTTTTGATGTCTTCTGATGTTCCAGTGGATGAAACCATCATTAAATCATTGATTGCATAGATCACGAATTCTCATTAAAACTACGGAATTCATGATCGATCTAATGTTGATTTCTCCAGCTATTTTATAGTTTTACATTTTTTGATAAACCTTAAACATAAATTACTCTTGAACTAAAGGGTACACGTGGGTCTATCTAGTAATCAACATTATAATCAGATGTGTTATTTACAATATGTTTGGATCGCCGCTAGTTCTCTACGAATTAAGTGTGTTAAATATTTTGGTATAAATATTATACTGGTTTGTAGGTTAATCTCTAATTTGATAAAATGAATTCTATCAACGTGTGTATCCAAAGTATAACTTTAAATAGTTCGATAATTAAAACGACCTCTGATATATTTGAGATCAATTATTTTCTAGTTTTCTCATAAAAGAGAACCTACAACTTTTTTAAGTTATTGACAAACGGGCTCAAGTATAGCTTACTAAAGTTGCTTTATGAATATTTCTTTACTAACTTTCAAGTTTCATCAGTGTAGTGACACATTTTTTTGTTGTATGGTGTCTTATTTACTCTAGGTAACATTAACCACATACCATGTTGTATATCTGTAATATGTTTTTACATAGGCTTCATGTGCTATTTATCGTTTAACTGAAAACTTATTTTCATCTGATTGTTTATATATATATATATATATATATATATATATATATATATATATATACATAGGAAGCGTAGTCACACCATAATAATTGACAAAGATAGAACATGTGTTAAAATGACCTTAGTGTCAGCATCACAAGACTTGTCTAAAATGTTTACACACTAAGTTGCTGATTACTAACGAGACTACTTCCTATCCTCTTCTGCTTCGCTCACTAACTAGAGACATTTCAAGATCTATTTCACCAGTGAGTAATAAGTTTACCTACCCTACAGTTCTTACGATAAATGTATTTACAGTGTATTTGAGAACAGAATAACCAAATATCGTACTAATGCATCTTTTCATTATATGAAATTTATGAGGTGGACCATAATTTTTATTAAAAAAAAGTTTTTTTAAATAAACAGTATTATAGGATTCTCGGATTAATCATTAGGCCTTTTCTCTTTACCAGTGAACTTTGATAATCTTGTTAAATATATTATAATTAGGTGATAAACAAGAGTAACTTGAATGTTTTTTTTCAAAATGTTATAACTTTTGACTTGTGTTCCTGTTAATGTATAACGTAACGATACCGCCAATTAGAGGGCAGTGAAATATCGATCGGACCAATCACGCGTAAAACCCGTACGAGCAGTCTAGGGTACTTATCTTTGCTGCTTCCTGCCTAGCCCACCCAGTTAAGTTCAGAACACAAACCACAGCCTCTGCGATATGAATCATTTATTTCAAGCATACTGGGTTTATATACCAGACAGACAGACCGCATCGTACCATAAATAGGAAACAACATTTGTACAAGTTTTGGCCAAATGTGGCTGTGAATGTGTGAGGTAGTGATTAACAGACAGGGCACAATTCAAGAATGATAAATCGTAAAATAATATTTTATAGGTCAAAATAAAGCTCATAATAAGAGGGATATGAATATGTATAGTTTAATTATTTAACAATTATACGATAAAAATATACACATAGTATTGGTCCATAAATGGATCCCAAAAGTTACCATTCATTATGCTTACCGGGACATAACACAAAACTAATGGAATGAAATTTTTCGATTATGATGGGTTTCTTTCCTATGTGAATTTGTGTTTCTTTAATTCAGCTTGCTAATTATGCAAAAATATTATGTGACACGACAATATTTTTGCTTAAAATATCTTAGAATTACGATAGAGACTGTTTCCCGTTAATAAAGCTGTCATAAATTTATTGAGTAATTTTAACTCTAAGATTTTATTTTGATGTTTTCTCTATCTATGAGTATTTTACATCAAAATTCCACTTTTTGTTATTCAGGTTCAAATGGTCACCAATATGTGTTTTTGTTAAAAGGACATGAAGATACTCGTCAAGATGAACGTATTATGCAATTTTTTGGACTTGTAAACACATTGTTGATTAATAATCCGGAAACGTTACGTCGTAATTTAACGTAAGATGAATGCTCACTCTTTAATTACATACTTATATATTTTCGTTTTCAGTTTCAATATGTTATGAGTCATTTTAATTTCTTAGTAGACTCATTGGAATTACTAGAATGAAGTAAACGACTTGACCGACACTTTACTCGTCACGGCATCGTCTATCAAACTTAAATCGAAATGATTTAAACGACAAAACTATGTATAGAAATATCCACTGGGAAATTTAGAATGGATAGCCGTAACAAATTTATTTCACGATTAAGAAACTCTTGAACGTACTCTTAGTAGCAACTAATTCATCAGCACATGAAGACTGGGAAAGATCATAAACACACTTGAATTTGTCAGATTGTTAATAAAGTGCATAATTATGGATGAAGGAACTATGATTCCGAATAAAAATTACAGAATTTTTTTAAAGCAGATGGGTCAATCAACTTATTATAAGTTACTTGTCGATTCACAAATGAAAATGATCAAGGACAAAAAAATAGAATAATACAAAATGACTAGTGATTATTCACTTCTGTCTATCGAAACGAAGAGAAAACAACTTTCTTTGTGGTTGGATAACGAGTAAACAGTGTAGCTTTAGATGTGAAAGTTGGTAACAGTCAGTAGTCTCCAAGTATTAATTCGAACGCAAACGAAGTAATACATGAACTATTAGAATCTGCGAAGGCCGGTTTACATGAAACCTGGCTTCGTGATTAGCGAATGTTATACTGAGGTTGACATTAGTATAATGATACCTTATGTAAATCATCGATGAGTGTATCATAAAAAGTCTTTAAACTAGCTTGAACTCAAAGAATGGACAATCACTAAACCTACATGTTTATTTTGTGAACAATATTTTACTGACTTTTCGAATTCTTTTTTATCACAAAGGATACAACGGATGTCTGTTATTCCATTATCTACATACACTGGATTGATTGGTTGGGTTCCAAACAGTGACACATTCCATAATTTAATACGTGATTATCGGGAGAAAGCTGATGTTGTGCTAAATAAAGAGAATCGTGAAATGCTTCGTTTGGCACCAGATTTCGATCGTCTAAATGTTATACAAAAAACTGAAATATTTGAAGCTGGGTTAAGAGAGTCATCTGGGAGAGATCTAGCTAACATATTATGGTTAAAAAGTCATAGTTCTGAAGTGAGTAGACTTCGGCGTTGGTGCATTTTTTCGTATTTTTTCATATTTTACTCGCGTTATTTTACGCTTTTAATTTTATTTTTGGTAATAATCTTGAACATTGCCAATGTTTTCTTCATAAACTAATAATTCTGCTTAAAATGGTTTTGTTATAGCTTTTTAAATCCCATTGTAGTGAACGAGAACACAAGTGGGGACAATCGAATGAAGTTTGTGCTGATGATTTCGTTCAGAAGAACGATGAAGGCTCCACGACCAAACCATCCAGCTCAGACAACAAAACTCCACCTAAATCATCCACCTGAGCTACAAATCTCCACAAAATTACAGAACATCAAAGTAAAATCTGAGAACCATATAGTAAACACTTCATTTGCAAAATGTCAGTCAATCATTTCAGTCTGCACTATTCCTTCATTTCCACAGCAATCATTCACTGTTCTCGTTCTCTTTTCTTCGATCTTCTTAACCTTGTGCTGCTAGGTATTTCACTTTCGATTAATGATACCTACTACTTATATCTGTCGACATCAGTAGCACACACCATACAACAACAGTACATATTCATGTGCATGATAAAATTGATAATATGTTAAACAGTGCTGTTCAAAGCATCCAGCAAGCTCACTGAAGATTTTCCATTGACATTTTTTAATGGTGATGTGTGGTATTGAAAATAAATGTGATTGGCCACTGAGCACGGACAAATAGGGACTCAACTTACTATTAAACATGTGGTTTCCTTTCCGTTTATTGATTTCTCTGTAATCACTGCGAATGACTGCTTTTAAGTGTGTGAAATAGGGTTTTGTTTAGTATATACTCTGGTTCTCTTCTTGGTCGTGAATCTGATATATGTTATATAAAATTATCTAGTCTGTGTTTACCCTATCAATCTAGTATCCACTCTAGCGGTAGTATAATGGTAATATCTCATGCAGACATAAAAATGTTTTAATCCATTTGTTATATCACGTATATAATTTGAATTTTTAACGTTTTGTAGTTTTTTCAAGAGATGATATTTTTCGTGTTTTAGGCATGGTTTGAGCGTAGAACCAATTTTACACGATCTATGGCTACCATGTCTATGGTTGGTTATATTTTGGGTTAGGAGATAGGTAGGTTACTTTATTTAATCACCCGACTACACTGATTTGTATTTTTTTTTAATAATAATGATTGTGAAAATAACAATACTCACCCTAATCAAGACCGTATGATTCAATGCAAATAAATAAATATCAACATAAAATATTCAGTAATCTTTTTTAACTTGTATTACACCTTTCGCATTCTGATCTACAAATTAGGAGTAGAGATATTTTCCTTAATTGCCTCAACACTCGTTACTGAGTTTTGTAATAAACTAGATATAAATTTAAAGACTCATTCAATGAAAGCATGCTGTAGCTACCTTAAGTTTACTACAACTACAAAATTGAATAATTTCAAAATGTTACATTTTTATTTATTTATTTAATTATATAAATATTAGTACAAGGAGGCACTAAATACCTATGGGCCACACAAATCATTTGATTTTTCTAAGGGCTCGGGTACTGCCCGGGCGCCCAAACTGAAGCAAGTGGTTTGCTTAGAGGTTTACTCCTCGAGCGTTTGACCTAAAGGTGTAATCCACAATGCAGCGGAGCAACGTTAGGGGATGCAGCTCATGGTAACCAGTGGCCAACAATTGGTTCATACTCCACTTGTTCTCTCAGGATCCTGGAGCTCTACTACTAGTTCGAAATCACGATTTTCCAACTCCCCCAGGTCGATCCACCAACTCAGTTTAAGTGCCAGACAATTTGAGAAAGAGAGCTGACTCTCCCTACTCTCGGCTGTTCCAGGACATTTTAAATAAGCACTGCATAAATCAAACATAATTTCAGTTGTAATAGTATTTTGCACCATCAAATTGTAATGAATGAAATTCAGGTGAAGACCAATTTGTTGTTTAATGCAAAATTACGGAGTGCTTTCATAAAATATGAATACATCAGTTGTCGTTTACGTGCTTCCTGATTCTTTAAATCATATGGTTATGAAATTTATTTCCTATTTCCCTTTCTGTTCTTGTCAATTGAATCTTCTCAATCTTCTGCTGGTTTACATTCCATTTCCAATTAGTGTTAGATAATAATTATATCTGTCAACATTAGTAGCATACACCACAATATCTATTACATTGGTGGTGGTAAACAGTGCATTGCATTCGGAAAAGATTCAATATAAAAAGTTTGTAATTTTTTTCTTTTTGGACTTATCGTAATATCTTTATGTAAACAATGTTGCCATGTACATTTTTGCAGGCGCATATATCTCCGATTTGTATCTAGTCTGTCTTCAATCCCGATTCTATCTGGTTACCTGTACCTCATTATATGTTTTCAAATGCCTGATGCATTGTTTGAAAATCAACTTTGCTATGTATGAATATGTATGTCACTTTACATTTTCAACATAAATGATCAATAGTATCTGTCCTTTTAACTACATGTCTCACTTCATTCTGTTGTGATTTGTAGGCATCCATCAAACATAATGTTATCGCGAGTGACAGGAAAAGTGGTTCATATTGACTTTGGCGATTGTTTCGAAGTAGCTACAATGAGAGAAAAATTCCCGGAGAAGGTACCATTTCGGTTAACACGCATGATTATTTCTGCTATGGAGGTAATTATAAATATTATATTTTAATATAAACTATTTTTTTTTATTAGCCAATAGTAATTTTTAAGGTTTATTTAACCGATTTCCAAGTTGAATTATCTTGTTATCTATCCTTTGATTTCATGATAAGTCTTGCGAATTGAACGCTATATTCGTCCCCTAAACTATTCTGTAACCCCAGGCTAGAACTATACAGCGACCTGAACACAAGAAAGAAGACGCAAAGTATGCGAGAAAATACTTTAGTCCAAGGTTCTTTATTGTACAGAAAACACGGGTATTTATAGATGTTAACATTTGTTAAATCAACATCATATTTTAGCCAATCCGCTAAAACACATATTACGCTACTGACCAATAGTAGCACGCCATGTTGACATTCTAGAAAGCTCCATCATGCTCTGATTGGCTAGGACTCTTCGGCTCCTCTAGGGCCTCTGGAGGCTCCGTTACAGTTCTCGCAAAGCCGACTCAACATTTTAGTAACAGTGTTAGTATCCAAATTTTTGAAATGAGACCTATTTCTATATTTGATACGTATAGGTTCGATTAACGAAGATTCTATAATTCTGGTCTGACACTTTTACATGGTGATCTTTAAAATCTACTTTTCGTTCATCCTACTGCTTATTAGTTGAGATGTTCTATGGTTTACATGTTTTCAATAAAGCCTATCACTCAATATTTAGCTAAATATTCCGAGTAATTCCTATCGACTATTTTAACCTATATACTTGACCCCACAACCATAACAAAGTGAATTCGATTGTTTCCCTCATTTGTATCAATCAATTTTCAATAGTCCATATAATTTATCTTTAAGTGCACAATCCACCTTCATGTAACAAAACTGCACAGTATTTTAATGCCTTTGTTTTATGACAAACATTGTTTATACTACGAGCCAAGTATAGGAAATTTATTTGGTGCAAAGCACTTATCAAGTAGTGATTTGTGTAATCATCTCTGAACTACATTTTATGTGTGCAAGCTAGCAATACTACCCGACTCTCTAAAGCAAAGTAGACGGTATTGGGCTCCAACCTACTCCTTAGTGACTGGAAGTCGAACTAGTAAAGTAATAAATAAGATTATCCAACATGTTTGCTTAATAACTTCAATAACTTAACTACCAAACCCAAGAGCATATTATTTCTCTATATTTCATATTATTATTATATAACACTTGATCATTTATCATTATCACGTGTACAAATAAATTTTTGAGTAGAATCGTTCCCAAATGACCAGGTTCAAGAAATAAGTTTATGCTTTCTGATATTGAATATTGCGGTTTAAATTCAGAACTCAAATTCTGCTAGTTGATCCCAAAAAAAATTTAAATAGATCCTGATTTTATCTCCCCACAAGTTTCTTCCATTTAATTCAATAATTCTGTCCACCCCCTCTGATCCTTACGAAATAATTTGGTAACTAAATTCACTTACATACGTATTTTAGGTGACAGGAATAGATGGTGTTTATCGTCATACCTGTGAAATGGTTATGTCTCTTTTACGATCCAATCGTGAAAGTCTTCTTGCAGTCTTAGAAGCATTTATTCATGATCCATTGTTACAGTGGGTACTCCATGAAAACCGTAAAGATTTTAATCACTTAGAGAATAAACTAGACGACGGAGGCGGTGGCGGTGTAGCTCCAGCAATTGGAACAAACTGTTTGACAAATGCAAATACCAATGGTACTGGTGGCGGTGTTCATGGTGTAACAACTGGTAATAATCAGTCAGTACAGTTGAAACCTGGTGCACGCAATTCAGATTATCCACATAGACAAGTGTATGCTCATCAACAGGTAAGTTTATGGATTGATTTATGTATAGTGCACTGTATATCTATGTACACTAACAGGTATATTTATTAACTTGTATTTTCATCAGCTTTCATAAACAAGCTCTTAATACAAGGTTTTGAAGGAATTTATTTCCGCAATGAAATATGTCTATGTAATATAACCAGTTCAACTAATTCTAAGAAATCTTTTATTTATTTAATACAAATCTTTGGGCTTTTATGTTTGATACTTATTAACATTTAATGAGTTGTTCATTTAGTTAGTGACTGTTTCCTAAAACAAATCAATGTCTTGATTTCAATGAGTTTTGAATTGTACACCAATGGAACGTTATTATTATCAGATAAGTAAATATTGGAACAGAGGGAAGAAATATCTCTTCTTTTCACTTAATGTACTTCCTAGTAGATTTCTGTAAAGGGTAATTTGCCCTTTATTCTCAGACAAGTAAATATTGAATTGTAATACAAATGAAGATAAAAGTTAATACTGAGTGCATTTTCATTTCATTTTCACCAGATAGTTTTAAAATTTATGTATTATTAGATACAGTTCGTACTTGACTAATCACCACATCAACAACATCCTTTTTCATAGATATCATAAATTGATCTAAGTTAGACCATCATTAAGAACCTGGAAGCGCCAGAAGGCCTTTCCGTCTTCATATGACTCCTAAGTAGTGCACATCTATGGTCCCCGCACGCGGGATCCGAACCCATGACCTTCGGTCTGGCGTGCAACCCCTCAACCTCTAGATCACTGAGCCGTCATTCAATGGTGTTAATGTCTAACCTCAACCATTCCAACACATTGAGCGACAATTTTCCATTGTCTTCAGTAGCTAACTGCATCACACTCGACATGGATTAGCTCCACTGGTCAGAGCTTCCTTTTCTATGTAGTCTTTATAATTATGTCTAATCATATAGCTTTTATTTAAAAATATATACAGGATTGTCTATGGAATAAAGATGTAAGAATTAGATTTATTGTTATTTTTAGAAATATCGAAAATGGATCTAATTGTCGTTGGAAAATGTAACTTCCGTTTGGGAAGTAAGACAGATATTTACTAACATCATAATCCAGTTTTGTGACACCTAATCGTCAATTATCTCAGGCTTTGTTTCATAAAACATATTGATGGTTCACTTGTAGATTACAAATTGTACATAAAAAGGCAGAAACGAATAGTTAATTAATAACATATGTTTGGAACTCATTTTTCGCAAAGTCAACTTAAAGTGTATCATGAATTTAGGGAAAGATTTGTTTTTTTATGCCGGCTATTCGATGGCATTAGATAATTATATTTGTTTTATTCACAAGTGATTGAAAACTTTAAATTATGTGGTTCAAAGGCTGTCAGTGTTCCAAATATATTTAATCTTCTGACCCATTCTCTGGGTCAGATAGTTTAATTGCAGTTTTTACCGTCATTCTGGATAATATTGTCAGTGCTTACTTAGTATAGAAGTGAAATTTTGAGTTATTTTACTAGCCTTAACTCAGTTTTTTCTGTTGTCCTTACTTGTAATTCTTATCTTTCATAAGTTTCATTTTCTGCATTTGTCTTTGTATTCAAATAGACTATTTTGTTTTGTTAACCTTTAAATTATACTGTTGATTGACCGTTCATGAATATTTTGACGGGTGAAATACGACTCATTGTCTTTCTTTTTCAACTATATCCTCTTATCTAACCTTTCTTATTACCATTCATAATGTAATTTTTTGCTCCTTTTCTATTCATCTTATTGTGTTGGTGTAATATTGCAGCTCCACATGATCCATAAGGTGGTCGTTATTAGATGTAGTGGACAAGAAACCCTGAACCTAGGTTTTGTGCTAGTTGATACTCGCCAACAAGCCGTACCTGTGTTCTATGTGCCTAAATCATGTTTTTAGATTTTGACTATTAGTGATGTGATAACTATCATGAAATAGTGTTAAGTACATTTAAATTATTATATTTGTGAGATATGCATGCGAAAACTGTTGTGTCTTTATGGCCCGCTTTTTGTCACGTGGTTTATCCGCCAATCAAAATACGACTTATACAATCTTAGCACTGTGTCAAACCAATGACGTACGATCGGTATGAGCAACCTAGCGTCCTTATTGGTCCTATGTCCGCCTAGCCCATCCACTTAAGTTCAGAACACCAATACCAGCTTCCACTATGCGAATCGAATCATTTATTTCAAACATACACTGGATTTATATATCAACCAAACAGACCGCAACGCACCATAAAATAGGAAATAACATTTGTACGCAATAAAGCCAGAAAGTGGCTGTGAACGTGGGAGGCAGTAGTCAATAAACTGAACATAGCTTAAGAACAGTAAATCGTGAAATGATAAATTATAGGTCAAAATGAAGCTTATAATAAGAGGAATATAAATATACATAATCTAATTATTGAATAGTTATACCATAATAATATATAGATAATATTAGTCAACTAATACGTCTCAGGAGTTACTCGTGATTTAATCTTCGCTCGGATGTAACAAAAACAAGTCAATTGCTTATTTTTATAACTTTACTGTGGATAAACCTCCACATCTTATGTAGTCCGGTCTGATACTAAAATTTATGGCAAATCCTCCCCAGTTATATTTACAGTTTAGTGATGTTTTAACCTATCTAGTTTCTCAGCCAATAGTAAATTGGTTTTTTAGGTAACAGGAAACCCAGGTCTATATTTTGTGTTAGTCGGTTTGGATAGTTAGGTTTATTCATAATCTTAGAGGAATCGATGCCCTGTGCTTTGTAGAACCCACTCAGCTTCATAATCAAACGTTATTACCAAGCCTTCCTGGCCGCAACTGATCTTTGCATCGCAGATACTCACATTGTCTGTGCGCCATTCTATTTCTTAGTACTAATCAAGTATCTTAATAACTAGCACGATATGCGGGCTTGTGGTTGCCTGTGACCGTTCAGCATCAGAATATAGTGTGCTCGACGTTCAGTCACTTTATCTAGTTGTCATATGGCTATTTGATCTGTGAAACTGAGCAAATAGTACAAACTAAACAATCATGATACTAGTTACTGGTTAGTGTTAGTAGTTTATTCTACCTGTTCTGAGTCGTGTTATAGTTGGAAGTCGATTTATTTGATCATTGAACTGTTTCTCTAGTAAACTAAAACAACTCAGATTTTAGTCAATTAATATAGGTAGTAAAAATTGAAATTTAATTCATGCAAAGTAAACACTTATTTAATGTTTATTGTTAACCACTTTGCTGCTTTCATTTTATTGAAAACATTTTCGATATCTTTGAACTTATCAGTAACTTGAAATTCAATGTAATTTTTTTTTGTATATTAGCATCATGCTGTTCAAAATACACTTCGACGTCCAACAGATAAAAGTAATAATCTAACTTCAGGTCAACAGAATTCACAAGGACATTATCAACAGCAAAATTTGAATAGAAAAACTAATTCACCGAACAAGGTGTTTACTAACCCAAATCATCCAGATAGTGCTTCATTGCGTGATCCACAAAAGGTGAATCAATGGCGTCATCATTTGTGTAATGGACCTTGGTTTGGTTGTTATGAAACTGGTAGGTGTTGTAAATTATATTTCTTAATTTATTTATTTGGTAAGTATGAAAACTCTACCTCTTCCCTATTAAAGTAAAGGCTAATGCGTTCCGAGTATTAAGAACTCAAATCAGATGTTTGAATAAACAGTTTACAGAGTTCTAGTCATCTAACTTTTAACTGGTGAAAATATCACGTGAAAATTTACGCAGTGTATTATGCAAAACATGCATGAAGATTTACGTTTAAAAAATACCCTTATTAAAACGTTAATTTATGTAGAAAGATACATTTCCTCAGATATTTTGGTAGACAGCTATTCCATTTATTTGTTATTTTAATCTTTACTTAGCTAAACGTTTAAGAAAGCAAATGGAATCCGGTCACATAGTAGTTGAACGTCATGGTAAGTTCTGTTTGAGTTCATTTGTACTTATGTAAACAGCATTATATACATATTCTTTCGCTTTCTTTAAATTAATGTATTCTGATAGCTGTGACAGGATTTGTGGTTTTGATCTTCGCCTTCTAAAACTTGATGGAGTGGTGACTTAGTTGTTAAGTCCCTAGGTTGAACCCCACTTTGCTTTAGGTAACCAGGTTGTAGTATTATTAGCCCACATTTAAAGTGTGGCTCATACTCGAGTACCTGCTGAATGAATTAATTTAATTTTTACTCAAAACTATAGGTACAGCTCTTAGTTTCATTTTTATTTTGTGTCATTTTAGTCAAATTGTATCTTTAACACGCGCATCCTTATATGTAAACAATACGTTTTATTTATTCTTCTAGTTTGTTATCCATGTTTGTTAATAATTTGACGTCTAAATTTGTAGCTTACGAGAATGATTTCGGCGGATTTGCGTTCTTTGAGTTAAATTGCTTAGTCGTAAAGCTTTTATTCTGTTTTGTTAGATAACACTATTATCATAATGAGTTTTGTGGAGATTTTAGGAATTTCAAAGGTTGAAGCTAGACCACCATTGAAAACCTGGAAGCACTGGACGTCCGTTTCGTCCTAGTATGGGACTCCTCACTAGTGACTGACTTCAGGAGAACCTCCTGGAGTTCTAGTGAGAAGCCGTCACCAGTAGAGTTCAACCAGGTCTGTTGTGAGATATCAACTCACTGAAGACAATGGTGTTCGGTGGCGCAACTTCGTGGATTGGTTGAAGTTAGACATTAACACCATTGGATATCGGCCGGCTCAGTGGTCTAGTGGTTAAGTGCTCGCGCGCGAAGCCAGCAGGTCCTCGGTTCGAATCCCGCGGGGGGCGGGTTCGTGTATGCGCACTGCTGAGGAGTCCCACGCTAGGACGCGACGGCTGTCCAGTGCTTCCAGGTTTTCCATGGTGGTCTAACTTCAACTGACTCACGATTTCAACCTGTGAGATAACACCATGTCAATAAAACAAGCTGTTATTTGTTTGTGAAGATGTTCTAACAGCTCATTTCTATGTGAAGTTTGTAGTGATGATTCTGTCTATAAAGGCAATACAAGTTTAACGGCTAAATCACCCTGCTCACGGAACTCAACTCCACCAACATCATTCTTAAGTTGTAACAGGTTGAATTCAATTTGACAGTTATGTTCAGTAGTGTTGAACCTAAACTAACTAAATAAAATTATCCCAAAAATGGAATAACTAATTTTCAAGCAGGGAATATAAAACGTATCATAACTTTGAGATCGATAAAAATGATTTTCATATTTTTTATGAACAGGTAACCAATATGGTTATATTTTAGACTTTAATTCTAATAGTTTTCTCCCAAAATATTCTTTTTACATTTCGGAGTTTTATTAAATAGATTAGAAAATATATTCTAAAACTGCCTTATCTTCTGATACCCGTTTAGTTGGAGGCTCATATCAATAATTCGATCTCATGAACAGTCATAACTTGGTCACATTATATATTATCAGTATTCAAACATTTTTTCATTATAAATAATCAAAATCTAACTCAGAATGAACAGAATTATATCAACAAAAAAGAAGTAGTAATACTGTGTATAGAATTTGTAGGAGAGCTTATTGATAAACAAATTTATTTACTGAATGTTTTGCTCTATATTAACAGGCGGATCGTAAATACAATGATCACTACTTTACATCAAATAATACCTGATGCTTATTGTATCTGTCTGCTAGTTATAGTATAAACCTCATCATATTAAAGTTTATTGTCAAATATGATTTATACAATAATGTCGATATGATTGATTTTTTTTAGGACTACAAGGGTTTATATTTTCTGCAAAACCTCCAAGCACTGAAGACTCATGTATTGATTCAGAATGTAAGTTTACTTCATACCTCAGATATCAGTAATTTTTTTTCATCGAGATCATCATTAGTATGTCTTGAAATTGCTCATATGATAAGTTTTTAAAAGAGCTAATTTTTCACCAAAAGTCAATACTGATTAAATTTATCTAAAATGTCAGTTTTTTTGCAAAAAGGAAAAAATAATGATCGAATTATCAGTTTAGTCATTCGGCTTTTAGCTAATAAGCGAACCATTAAAGAAAAATCAAGATTCAGACAGATAGTTCATATCATTACCGTCTTCATACAGCAATTGTACATCAGAACCTTGAATACCTAGAACGCGTATTTTGTTTTTATTATTTCTTTTAACAGAATCTAAAAGTAAAATGGAACTATTTTTAAACAGTATTTTCTCTATTTTTTTTCAGCTCAGCCTGTTACTTTAGGAAATGTACGTGCACGTTCTGTAATGGAAAGAATTAGGCAAAACTGACTGGCACTGAAAGAGATCAAATGATGAGTGTTTCTGCTCAAGTAGACTTCCTTATACGTGAAGCAACTTCAAATCAAAATTTATGCCAAATGTATATAGGCTGGTAGGTAGTTAGTCATGTTTTATTTTGTTTTTAAATGCAGTACTGGTGACACTATAAAAGTGTTCTATCCGTCCTTGAGCGACTGTATAGTTCACCAATTAGAATGACAGTTGTTTGTTTTGGCAATAACTAGCATTATTTTAACAACTGGTAGGAGTTTTCATTATTGACATTTCAGTCACTGGTACAATCGTATCAATGTATTAGTAATATTTACTGGGGTGTTGTACTCCTACTCACTGTGAGGGTGTTGTTTACGAAATTAAGAGGAAGAAAAACGAATGTCTGGAGCTTAAACTGGGTTGGTAGGATTGGAAAACCCTGGTCCCAAACTAGTAGTACAAATGAGCTCCATGAACCCGATGAGACAAATGGCGTATGGACTTATTTTTGGTTACCCGCTAGCATAGGACTGCATTTCCTAACACTGCTCCACTACATTATTTGTAACGCATCTTGTTGAAAGGCTTGGGGAGTGACCCCTTCAGAAAACTACCTGAATCGGTTTAGACACCTGGACAGTATTTCCGCACAAAAATAAATCCAATGATTTGTGTGGCACATACACGTTTTGGTTTCCCTTTGTACTAATGTTTGCGTGTTTAAATCAATAAATAATATATAAGTATACACATGATTATATTCCCGTTGCTTGTTCACGCTCAAGTTATCATTCACTTTCCCTTACGTTACTGACATATCGAAATTTCGATATTATTATTATTACTGCTTTCCAAACATGAAATCCATCCCTACCATGGTTTTAATGCTGCTACAGAAATCTTGTAAAGGAGTAGGGATATAAGCTAATTGTTATAACTATCAGTGTTTAAGAAGATTGTTTGGACATTAGTGGGAATGTAACTATAAACGAATTTCCATTCATGCGAATGATAGATGTAAAAGACATGAAAATGAAATTATTTTTTGTTTGAAAAGAAAAGCATTCAGAGATGAGTGTTGTTGCAATACTCAACTTCTCATTATGGTGTTTCTCCCACTAAATGACACTCAGTGTTTTCGAACAATTCACGCAGTAAAGGAATCCTTTTCGATCAGTTCATTATTTAACTTATGATTTTTCATAACTAACATGGATGAACAATACTCGAATGTCAATCACAATAAAAACTAAGTGTAATTGATCATATTGTCTATTTCGAAAATATTCCTAAGGATCTAGTGATAAACGATACAGAATAAGTATCGATCTGCCAAGTAAACGCATGAAGAGTTGTCAAGTAGCTTTTCATTTCAATTAACATTATAACTGGTATCTGTCAATAATTAATCCATACAATATACATAGTCTAAAGTAGTTCCATACTGTGCATAATCATAGTAGTATATTTACGAAAATTTCATTGTTATGTTTGTTATACAGGTGTGCTTTCTGGTGATATATTAATTTTATTCAATGATCAATTAATCAATCAGCTATTGTATTTTTCTTATTACGTTACCATTGAATTATTTATGAAAGTGTAAATTTACTTTATCAGTTAACAAATTGGTTTTCATCTAAAATATTGTACAGTTGTGTTGATTAAAAATGCCTTCTTATTTAAAAGAAAAGACAGGTTTTCTGGTTTTTGCGTTCTTCCTTATTCAGTGAAGACGAATCATTTCCATTCAATTTTGTTAGTGATATTAGATACTTTCCAACAGTAGTAGCAGTAGAAGGCATTAAGAGACTAAATCTAGAGTAGTCAAGTTTCGTCCATCATAAGCTTGTGAAACGAATTTAATTATACCATCGTGAAATAATCCTTACTTATCCTAGTTCTGTGGAGCAGGCTTAACATAAATCTATGCTGAAAAAATACATATTACTTTATATAACAATCTCATACTTAAAGTATAGTCATTGGAAAATTAGAGATTATCATAGGAGTGAAAAAGATTTATCTTTTTTTAATTATCACAAAAATGTTCTGTACAACACATTGGGTCTTCTGCTTTTGATGTTAACATTTCCTTTTCGCTCGTTTCAATCTTCTTTTTCGATCAATAATACTACGTGTATGACGATTGTAGAACCATACTTTTATAATTTTTTTCTCAACATTTAATTCTTTAGCCAATTCTATCAATTCATGTGCAGATAGTTTTTTATTCTGTCAAAAGAAAAACCAGCAACATAATTTTGTAAGTTACAGCATGATTCTCTATCGGGACTGAAAAATAACACGTTGCTGACTGATCGTAACAATAATGGTTACAAAGTTAAATAAACTGTGGTAAGATTTTCAGTCTCGATATTTGAAGTTCAGTAAGGGCCTACAGTACTTTCAGGATTAGGAACGATCGATCTACTCTAGTAACGCCGGTTCTATTGTATAAATCGATAACAAAAAACTGGCACATAACACTTCATCACTTGTCCGCTAACACAGGAAGATAAATTGTGGAGAGACTCTATACTCGAAATAGAAGACGCAGAACAAAACAAAATTATGTAGTAACGGAAATATGCATACACAGCTTTAGCAAACTACAAGCGACGGAAGTCAACCACAAAAAGGCAAAAGTCGTGCAAAAAAGTAAATTACAAAAAAAGAAACTTGCGGTTATCGTTTCTAGCAAGGTTTTACCATTGTTAACAAACTTTGAGTAATCTTGTGATCGCCTTGATAGGTATCAATTAACGAGTCGGAAATTTCACTCAGTTATTCATACCAAGTGTGATTTGACCTAGGTTGCTTCATCACACATTAGCACGGCATTCTCAAAATAAAAGAAGTTAGCAGAGGTTGATCCAGAGATATATTTAACAATAGTAAGTGGTGGTTTTCTTTCTGAAAATAGGACTAGGATATAATTATTTATGCCCATAACTTCACCCGAATAATACAATTTAGTGATCATCTTATAATGTCAGTAAAGCTTGCCAAGATTTTATCTTATTTGATCAAACAAGTCGACGTCTTAGGAAATTGAGACGTCCAAACTAAACAAATATACTGTGGAGCAGTAAATTACCATCCGGTTGCGGGGATTATAAGAATTATGAGAAACGAATTAACGACTAAGTACAAACACTAACTTGTCTATAGATCCGCTCCAACTCCCTTCTTGTAGAATCAGGTAGTATTGTTCTCGGTCGTCGTCTTGGGAATTTCGAAAAAACGGGACTTTCAGCCTAAAACACAGATAACTAAAAATATTTGACATAGAAAATGGTAGCGAGAAAAACGACTCACGAACTTGGAATTGATTTTTACTATACTTAAAATTAACCTATCTTTCAACAAGTAAAAGGAAACAATAAACTAGTTTTGACATATTTGTCTACTGCTAGACAACTAATAAATTAATAGGTGGTTATTTGCCTTATGTCACTACAATTTACGGAAAATTTACGATCGCAGTTGTTTGTGGAATTTATACATTTCTGTAGAAAAAACCAATAGACGTAATGTCCGTTGATGTATTATTCCATACTTTCCGTTTCTCATTTTTAGTCTTTTATCAAATTTGATACTTCACGGTTAGCTTAGCATTGAGTGTGGTATTAATTTCCATCATTTACTTATCATTTTACTGATGTTCTCTGACTGTGCCGGTGTGAGTGGCAATGTGTTGCAATATGCATTAATGCTAGGTCGTATGTTGTTTATAACTGAGTGAGATAAAATCTTATTACTTTTTAGTAATGACCTTTGACAAAGTGCTGAGCAAGCACGCTTGTGAAGTGAATAGGACTAGTAAATTATAAAAATACACTGGTCTGTTCTGTACCGAATATATGTGATCTTGTAGTTTGTTTGCTAAGTACAAGTTTATGTTTTTGGTTTTAACTCACATTTTTCATGTGGGGACTAGTAACACTACCTAATTCTCCGAACCGAAGGAAATGTAGTGGGGTTTGAATCTGATGTTTGGAAGTCGAGTGTTTCATTTACTAGATCACTGCTCTACATATTTTCGTACGACTAGGATTGGTTTTCTGGTGAAACAAACTTAGGAAAACGTCCAAATGTGATAATCAGCCAACAGCAAATTATTTTCAGAAAAAATTGTCGCAGTATACCCCAATCCCTCAATAAACAGCGTATTCGTCATATCAAGCACTTCATTTAGAACTGTCTCTTAGGTAAAAGAGTCTGAGTATTTAAAATCTGAAGTAATTAGATCTTGAAAATATCATTAAAATTATGTTTGAGTTTATATTAAATGGTGCGTCAGTTGTAAACTTCTGGTTAGCAAGGGTAAGGATTACTTAACATAGTTAATGACCAAAAACATTATTTTACACTAAGAACATGTAGTCAGCATTATGATTTCAAAGGAACATGTAGTGAAACTAAATGATAATCATATTTGTGAAATAGGACTTTGATAATCACTAGCGAGATTTTTCGTCGTGAATGCTCATTTTCAGTAATGATGGATACTATTAAAAGGTTTTTTTAGTTCGTATTCGTACTAACCTGGTAAAAACAGTGCAAAATATAGGGGTATGAACAATTTAAATTAAATACCTCATCTACACTTTGTTTATAAATGTTTTGAATACTAACAAGAGCAAATCATTTAGGACTAGAACACTAATCACGTTAAACAAGTAGAAAGTACGAACTAATTAACAAGCCAGCTATATTTCTAAGGAAAAATATTCAGTTACCTGAGGACTTTCTTTGACTGGTGATTTCGTATCATTATTATTATTACTATTATTATTATTCTGAAAATCAACAACAGCTCGAATAATTTTATCGCGACCATCAGCAGTTTCACTATCCTTCAACATCTTAGAATAATCGGATAAACTTTCAAGTAATTGCTTAAACTAAGATCCATTCTTTCGAAGCGTGAAATCATGGATACACTACGATGTACTCCGTAAAGTTTTCCAAGTGAATTTGCAACATCAGTTTGCGAAAGATCTAAAAAAATGGATATACCTGTGTAATTTAACCATATTAACAGAGTTAAACCTAGTGTTAAACGAAAAGGAAACATGATTCGCTCCCAGACGCCATTCGAACTTCTTAGTTTGAAGGTAATGTAATCCTCCGAGTATTGTTTATCATTAATGATTATAATGTATGGAAAGTAAAACTAATGCGCTTAGCAAGATGATGCGATCAGTAGTCTGCATGTATCCGAATGGACCTCAGAGGTAAGATAAACCCGGAAAAACCAGAATGCAATGACTGGGTATTGAGCAATCAAATTTTTACCCCTTGTCAGGTCCCAAAGGAGAAAGGACACTTATCAGTACTTCACTTTTTTCATATTTTCCGATGTAATATAGTAACGGACTCCATCGATCGAAAAGTTTGTATTAATGGCTGTCCAGGACAAAGCACTCATAGAAAGCTACTATAAAGAGCGGCTACAACAAGTAACAACGCTCAGAGATAGACATATCTTTACACAGCACAGGTCTATTTGTAGACTTTACACTTAAGGCTCCCAGATGCCCTTATACGGCCGAGAGTGAGGACAGTTCGCTCTCCCTCTCGAAACGCTCTCACATGGCCTCAGGTATGCAGCCACTGCCAGAAAAGTCCTACTCACTGCCTTCTTGCGGCGGATGTGTTGCTCACTAAATTAAGGTGACAACCGAATGTCCGGCTCCCTCATTGGGTTGGTGGATATGAAGGATCCACCTAGGGCATTTGGTGAACCCTGGTTCCAAACCAATGGTGTACATGGGCCCGACCGTTGTTGCTACCTTGACGTGGTGGTCGGGCTTGCCTATCGTGATGAAGCAACCGAGCTATACTGGCTGGAACAACCGTTCCTCAAGGTCCTACCATGTCAGACAGGTCGGTTGAAGAGCGGTAAGACTAAAAGCAACAAACCCAAGGTCCGAAGGCGAAGTCGTACTGCTGACTGTACAGAGGTGTGACAGCAGTAAGGTGTTTCCTTCAGACAACCAGCATGACAGCGATGCTGCCTTCCCACAAGGAGGGGTGGGGTTAGAAAAGGTCGACCCTAAAAATGCACACCTCACCTTACCTCACGGATTTCCGTCTCCGGCGGTAAGGCCCTTTGAAGAACGGAGCTAACACGTCACAAACCTCTCACGAAAAGGCCGTGCGCGACCGGCCTCAAGCAGTTGTCCCTTGGGCACTGCGGTCACGCTCTCAGGTCACTGAGACCACCTCTAATCCAATTTCCTTTTCAGGTACCTCCAGAAGAACCCTTCCACGGTGTGGGCAACCGGGAAGTGATAACCGCCCTCATACCTCTAACAGCACTCAAGACCACTGTATTCATAATCAACCTTCCTCTTCAATTCCTATTATTCCTCCTACATCGACTTTCAACCCTAAACTTCCTCCTTCGGCTTCCTCCTCAAGTGTCACCATAGCCAACGATTCTAGTGCTCAAAACCTGTCCCAGGTCTACTGAAACCTCGCTCCAAACTACACATTGGAGCCTTCAACGTACGCACCCTATGTCAAATCGGTCAGCAGGCTTCCTTGGCTAAAACCCTAGAGTCTCTTTCCATTGATGTATGCTGTGTCTCCGAAACACGCATACAGGATTCCAGTGTGGTCATTCACTTGACCTCACCTCGGCAAAACGGAGAGCCAACGAGATACACCCTCGTGTATCTGGTGACCCGATGGCCAGTTCTCGTGGACTGGCAGGTGTAGGCATAGCACTAAGCATGAGGGCGGAACAAGCACTGCTAGAGTGGATCCCCGTCAACAGTCGTCTATGTGCTGTTCGGCTAAACGGCTCCGTAAGAACTCGGAAGGATAGGGACACACGTCGTTGCCTTTTCGTCGTTTCTGCCTACGCTCCCACTGACTGCAGCTCAGATGAAGTGAAAGATGAATTTTACAGAAAGCTGTCCGAACTTCTTCAGAAAGCTAAACGCTCAGACATAGTACTCGTAGGGTGACTTTAATGCTCAGATAGGTAGTTTAAACCAAACAGAAAGGCATTTAGGTGGATATTTTAGTATTCCGGCACAGCGAACAGATAATGGTGATCGTCTGCTGCAACTGTGCTCAGACAATCGTTTATTTTTAGCAAACACAAATTTTAAGCATAAGGAGAGACATCGTCTAACATGGCGACCCCCTACACCAAACCAACGATGGACTCAAATAGACCATATTGCCATCAGTCATCGTTGGAGAGGGTCGGTAGAAGATTGTCGCTCATTCTGGAGTACCTGCTTGGACTCCGACCATGCCCTAATACGGGCACGCATCTGCTTGCGCCTCACTGGACGCAAAAAAGCCACATTAAAAAGACCCATTAGAACTGAGTTGAGTAACGAGAAAACCAAAAGTAGGTTCCAAGAACAACTGAGGTCACACTTAGGTAGTTCTGAAGACGAGGCTGACCCAGATGTTGCTTGGAAAGACATACAAGCAGCTGTGGAAGCAGCAGTGACATCTATTAGCGACTATTTCGGAAAAAGACAACACTCATCTTCTCCCAGTCTAGACGTTTAGAACGATGGGCGGAACATTTCAGAGAACAGTTCAGCTGGTCTCCAGCTACTCTACAGCTACCCACCATTCCCAAACACCCTGAATGGGACATCGAAATAGGTCCCCCGACCATAGCTGAAGTTCAAAAGGCTATAGCTAATCTGAAACGAGGAAGACCAGCTGGTCCGAATGGATTGGCTCCAGAGCTCTTTGAGGATGGTGGTCCAATTTTAGCTATTAGTTTGACTAATATTTTAGCTAAGATCTGGGAGTTAGACGTTATTCCATCTGACTGGTCACAATCACTTATCGTCCCAATACATAAGAGAGGGTTAAAATCATCCTGTGACAACCACAGAGGGATTAGTTTAACTAATATAGTATCTAAAATACTAGCCTCGATAATTATCAGACGCCTAACCAAGACTCGTGAACTGTAAACACGAGAGAATCAAGCTGGCTTCAGACCTGGTCGTGACTGCATCGACCACATATTCACCATTCGTCAGGTTCTAGAACATAGGCATACTTATCGGCGTCCGACAATGGTGGTCTTTCTTGACTTAAAAGCAGCATTTGACTCGGTAGACCGCGAGATTCTGTGGCAGTGTCTGTCATTGAAAGGCGTACCCAGAAGTACATAAACCTTATAAAGGCTCTTTACTCGAACACTACTAGTCGAGTCAGAGCTTATGGCGAACTGTCATCTACCTTTGCAACCTCAAGTGGTGTCCGTCAAGGCTGTCCACTTTCCCCATTTTTGTTTAACTTCATCATAGATCTACTGATGGAAATAACACTCTCGTCGACTGAGTTCTCGGGTATTGATCTCCATCCAGGAGGTCCACTTATCGACTTAGAATACGCAGATGACATAGTCCTGTTTGGTGAAGACGCTGACAAAATGCAGAGTCTTCTGGTAGCACTAAGCAACAATGCCAGAATGTTTGGAATGCGCTTCTCTCCCTCTAAATGCAAGTTGTTGCTTCAGGACTGGTCTGCGTTAACACCTGAACTAAGGATAGGGAGTGAAGTAGTCGAACGCGTTGACAACTTCACTTATCTTGGAAGTCTGATCAGCCCTAATGGGTTTGCGTCTGACGAAATCTCAGCACGGATTCGAAAAGCTCGTTTGGCTTTTGCCAACTTACGTCACCTGTGGCGAAGGCGAGATATCCGTCTATCAATAAAAGGACGAGTATACTGCGCGGCAGTCCGTTCTGTTTTAATTTACGGCAGCGAAACATGGCCCTTAAGAGTAGAAGACACTCGTAAGCTATTAGTATTTGACCACAGATGCCTTAGAAATATTGCTGGCGTCTGCTGGGATCACCGGGTAAGTAATAGTGAGGTTAGACGCAGGGTATTAGGGAATGATGGTAAATCAGTTGATGAGGTTATGAATCTTCATCGACTGAGATGGTTGGGCCACGTGTTACGTATGCCTGAACACCGATTACCACGACGTGCAATGCTATCCGGTATTGGAGATGGTTGGAAGAAAGTTAGGGGCGGCCAAACCAAAACGTGGCATCAGTGCTTGAAGTCACTAACTTCTAGTCTGAGCCATGTTGGTAGATGCAGACTACTTGGTTGGGGTCCGCGTGACTTTCGTAACCAATGGTTGGAGACTCTTGGTGACATGGCTCAGAATCGATCACAATGGCGTCGGTGTATACACTCCCTGTCTTCCCTTAAACTAAGAGATTAAAATCGCTTCATATCTTTCTTTCTACGAACCAATTCTTTCTTCTTGTATCATATCTCTATATGCAATCTTTCTCTTATATATTACCACCTTTGACATAACCACTGCTATGAATCCGGTGTTCATCTTGTTGTGCTGATGCGGTATGGCAACCTGGACCGATGCACATATGTGCCTGGTCCTACGTTGTAGCTGACTGACTGATGGGCTCCAGGATCCTGAAGGAACAAATGGAGTATGAACCTGTCGTTGGTCACCGATTACCATGGGACTACGTCTCTGACGTTGCTCCACTGCATTGTGGACTAGACTTTTAGGTTAAAGGCTCCGAGTATGGCCTCCTAAAGAAACCATGTGCTCCGGTTCGAGCACCCGGGCAGTACTACAGGCCTCACACAAATCAATGATAACTACTACTGACCTCACTGTTATTGTGTGGCGCATATGTATTTGGTGCCCCTTGTACCAATGTTTATGTGTCCAAGTAAATAAATAATACTATTCAGAGGAAGAAAAACTGTTTCATTTCCAAAACAATTATAATTGGGGTTCGATTATATTTATTAGTATCCAGAGTGATAATATTGGGCACAAATCGGCGATGACAATCAGATTGATGAACAATCAACTTGACCACTACAACTTGCCAGTGCTACCAACTTGCTAATCTAAATATCTCATATATGTATTGTAACTAGGTAGGCTGCATCTTATGTCCTCCTTGAACCAATAACTTACATCACGCATAAAACAACTGAGATATCCCGAAGCACTGAGCAATGGTAGCTAGACCAAGATATAATTTTAAACAAGTGAAACACTCATCCATGTGAAGGATTGTGGATGTCATGGTTCACGTTTTAACTCAATTTCAGGACAAACAAACTACTCCAAATATGTTAATTGTTTATCCTGGTGTAAATAACTAGTTATAGCTTTTTTCTGCATCATGACTTGTTTTATTTAACTTTCATTTTGAGTCTCAGTACAACTATATATTACTTCTTTTGCGGCCCTGGACGCGCTGATTTTCAGTGTTCTACGACCCAAAGTTCTACTACGCTTCTTTATTTCTATGGGATAATTAGTTTCCTGTAGATCACAATAAGTCGAAGGCAGTGGTTGACAAACACCGAAAATAAGTCCAGTTTACGGACAATCACCTTCATATTTTAAAACCAAATTAAATGACATTGGTGTTTTCCCTGCGGTGTACCGTCCTTGTATTGGATGATTTAAATAATAGAATTTTACTGTTACCCTAAGTTGACATTTAGTGACCGATACATTTATTTAAAAAATACTTCAAAAATTTAATTGTGTTTTAGATATTTTTATTCTAATGGAACTTACTCATTCCAATCCTCCTATCAGTAAATGTAGAAGAGAGTTTTTCTAATTCAACTAAGTCATTCAGTCCACCATTTGAAATGACAGTATTTTCAGTTGTGTGGAGATTTTCTCCATAATTTCCTCTTTGACCATAACTAATTTCATAGGATTCATGATACAAATTGACTTTCCTACGAGGCTAAATAAAGTAGTAAACAAATTTCTACGAATATGATCATGCTATGATTCTCAATAAACGTAGAGGAACATTTAAAATATACATTGTGACATATTTTACTTCTTTTTACATACCTTCAAGCCAATACAACATTGAAAAATTAATATTGCCTCAGGTGGACAAACTATAAATATTTTGCTGATTAATTATATATACATATGACTAGATACACGATACAAAGTCATACATTCGTCTGGCAAACCAGTGGTATTAGTTCTGTTTACAACACACCACTAAACGAAATTCTTCGTGTCTTTTAAGTTTGATTCAATTCTCCTGATTTACTGGTTATGCATTAGAACTTATTAATACAAGATGTAGCAATAAAATGATCCATTTAACAAGTAAAGGTTCAAACCTTTAATCCATATGTTGAAAGCTATTTTTCAGCCATTAAGCCACCACTTCTGGAATTTACTAGAGACAATGGCTTCAAATAACAACCGCGCATAATCTATACTTAACAAATACGGTCATTAGAGTTCCAATCGTACATATACTCAAAGACAAATCTACTACGTGAATTTTTGAATTTTTCTATCACTACAAATAAAATACGGCTTAGCAAAGGAAAGAAATCCATTCTCCGTTTACTACAAAAAATTCTAGTCATGCCATCCTCTAACAAAATAGACAGAATAATTGAAGTTATAAACTAACTATTGATAGTAAAGTGACCATATCACTACAGTTATAAGTTGGAGGCTGAAGATTAGCGAAAGTTATATTTTAATAACCAGATTACATTAGTCCCTCTTTTTCTCCATTTTTATTTCTTCCCATTACGTTTCATTCTGCATATTATAGTATACTACTTACTGCTATTCAGTAACTTACGTTACTGTTAATCATTTTATGTAATAAGGTCTAGGATGTCAGCTTGTTGTTGTATGTGAAATTTATAAGTATTTACACGTATTCGTAACAAACTACCGACTCCATCATTAAAATCGTGCTTTTCTCAATAGCTTGTCTTCACATTAAATGTGCTCACTACGCATGTGTGTTTGTGGGAACTTATATATTTGGTGTAACATAGTTCTCGCCTTGATTGTCTGACTGCAATTATTGACTTTGACACATATGAGGTTACGTTTGTTGATGAAATTCCCTTATGGCAACGAAAAAATAAACAATACGGTTTGTAAACCTTAATTTGTGAGGTGTTTGAAGCATGTAACGCTCCGAAGAACGACCCATGAGAGAGTGGATTGACAAACTGAGTGATAGGATATACATGCCGAAATCAGTGATCGCACGGAGCAAACTAAAATAAGAACTATATAAGGCCAGACACGAAAGTTGTTGCGAATCAACTAAAGTCGAATGAAACCACATAAAATAAAAATAAACTCTTAGGAACGTTACGGAAATACGATTACAGTTTCATTATTGAAGTCATATGTAAAATGAAAACAACTACTTCTACGAAAGTCCCTAGTACAACTACACCTAATTAGACAAGTAAGTTAACAGTATGAAACAATTACAATAAAACTCACACGAGGATTACTGCCTACATAAAATATTGACCCCGGAAGCAATAAAGGGCCATATTCCTGAGCTGGGAAAATTTAGAAAATAGATGAGACAATACCTTTGCTCACAAGTCTTGCATCCATTTGTTTATTCAGTTCAGACAAAATAACTGAATCTGAGCTGCTCCTCAAGCTATTAACATTCGATGTTGCGATAGGTACATGAACCTTGAGAAATAACTTTACTCAACGATAATAAACATACAATACAGTCGTCAGAGTTCCGGAAAGTTAAAAACAAGTCGTTCGGTTGCTCTGTGTGATCCCACGGTAACAATATGTCACTTAAAGATGTCATTTCACTACAAAAACCAAAAGGGTCAACAAGCTAGAGGCAACATTAAAAGGTTACACTAAGTGCATGCAAAACCTGATAAAATTAGTAAGCAATAAAATACAACTGGTCAAGAAGGGAATGATTAAAAATACAGCTGTTTTGTGATCCATTTTATACTTATTTTCAATAGCTAGTTCATAATCAACCACAGAGTACTAGGAGGCCCATTAGTTTCATACCGAACTTAATCAGTGGTACTAATAAAACAGTTTCAACGAGCTGGAAAAAGGCATTTTGCGTTAACCGTGGAGCAATATGGTTCTGAAATACGGGAATGTTCACCGTAAAATACTACCAGGCATCAGGTAGGAACTACGATCCAGATCACAACTGAACATATCTATACACCGTACATGAATCACAGTATATTTCCACAGAAGGATTACTAAGATGCATACACAAACTACAGTTTCAAAACCAAACTCCGATAGCTTAAGAAATCACATCACAACATCCCATATATCAGATAAAAAGTAACAACGATTACAGGGAAACGGGATAAAATATTTAAGCATGAATGAGAGTAATTAAAACACAGCTTCAATACGGTCAGTGAATGAAGGATTTAGCCAAATGAGATACCATTATATATGAAAAACCCTGATTTATTTATTTATTTATTTGAACACATAAATATTGGTACAGCAGTGCGTCAATATATATGCGCCACACAAAACAATGAGAATTTAAAGAAAAGGAAAAAAGCTAATGAGCGTTAAAAAAAAAGAGAGAACAATAACGAAGAGATTGGTGTGCACAGTTGCAGTAGACGGTCCCCGTTATCTGTCCTGCTACCAACAAGTCCCCATCGACCACCTAAACGACTCTCTTCTGTGCCCAGACGCCTGACCGGAGCATTCAAGACTCCCGCCAGTACAAAACAAAAGCCTAAACACAAAATCAGAACAGTCACCTAAATCATGTATGAGTGTTTGGCCGGTATGTATTTTTTAGTGTTAAGTACTGAAGGAATTAGTGAGGATTAGTAGTGAAGCGCAGAGACAGGTCATAGTTGCAGTCAAAATCGACGACACCGTGAATTCCAGACGACGCTCTTCAGCAACAGCCGAATTCCACCATCAGAAAAATATTAGGTGAATCCATATTGTACACATTAATGTATCTAGACATCCACATACATCGAAGGGCCTAAGAATTATGGATAATAAGAGGCTGAATCTGATCTGTTACTCATAAATACCTTCAAAAGAGGATGGCTGACAAACCTAGAGGAGCATTATTGACGTTCGAGAGTAATATAACATACAAATGAGTAAAACTATATCCGGGCAATATTTAAGCTGCAACTTTACAGCTGATGTAGGACAAAATGAGATTCATTGCAATCGAAAGAACCAAATAACAAACAGAAATGGAGCCAAAAGCATACGAAAAATTAATAAAATTGAGACAAGAGCTTAAAAATTAGGATGAACATAGTAACTCAGTCCACATACATAAAATACTTCATCATTTAAAGCCTATTAGATATTTTCGAAATCCCTTGTTAACCATAGTAGCATGTTAATTTGCACCACTATCCTACTCTACCGCACAACAAACAAATTAATGTTAAGGGAAAGAGAAAAACGAAGTGTCAAGTGACAGAAAGTACACTTGAAATGTAGGGTCTGAAAGACACTGTATACTTGGCCGACATATTCTTAACCTAAACTTATACCTGACCAGTTTTATAGAGCGTGTCGTTTCGAAGTCCTATTTGGATGTTTACGAATCACCAATTCCGGGTTGCATAGTAAACAAGTTAAGTTCTTCATTTTCGCCACACTCAAAGCATAACTCTTTCCAATAAACAAGTAGTGATTGACGAGTCACACGGAACTATATTTGACTACTCTAAAAATTGGGTGAGCACAGTGGACGGAGTAAGGTTGGGTGGTTAGCATTGGTCATATAACATTCTCATCATACACAAGTAGTGCCCTTAGAATACCATATGTACCGAAGCACTTGGGACCCAAGCATTTCCTCTTGCTTCATCAATCATGTTTCATGTTTGTAGAGTGATGAAGAGCAGAATTCTATGTAGTAGATCCTTTTTTAATCTAATAAAACTGCATATACAATAATGAGTAAGGTTAACGCACTGTTGCTTAGCCCTAGAAACCCAACACGTTTATTTCGTCTAGCAAGCCATATAAACATATAATTTCCAATACATCGCGTAGATAGATAACATCAAATATGATCTCTTCTCTGAAAACAGAACGAAGACAGTGCACCTGCTAGAAGTGTACTGTTCAGCCTTGTGTAGGCTTACGTTTAGCCTGAAGGTTTCTTGTGTTGGATGAGTGTTATAAACACCAGCTAGAATGCCAAAATGCTGTCTAGCTAAATGAATAAGTGAGTTTCGCGCCAAAATCCAACTCCTGTTACTTAGAATATGATTGGTTCGTCTATAAGTTATAGTCTCACCGAGAAAATAACAGGAAAAAATTGAGCTGACGACTCATTACGTACAGAGAATGCACTTACATTTAATAAGGAAATCAATTGACAACAATCATAAATAACGCGAGCGTGCGATTAAGACAATCTGATAATGGGGACAACAAGTTGATAGTGCGAGGTTAGAAGTTGTAAGTAACGTCGAACTTGTATGTGTGCATTCTGCGTTCAATGCTCTATAGGCTCCACAACCTTCAGTCTTCAGTATTTTGAAGAGAAGGTAAATCAACTGTGTTAACCCTTGCACCTTGCAATAACGCAGAGACCTAATCTCGCCTTGAATTTGCCAACAGAAAATGGTGACACTACATGTTGTGGCAGAGAATTTCATTAATGCATTACTCAGTGAGAGAAAATAGAATTCCAGAAGTAAACGATTTAATCTCGGTGTTTGAACGTTTTGAGAATGTCCATCTGGGTGATCAGCCCTAGGCTAGTGGAAAAGACAGGACATCTTAGTTCCAAACTCGTCGTTCAGTATATGGTAGACCAGTATTAAAATTTTAGTGGCTCCGGTATCTGACTTCAGTTTGGTTGTATGTTGATTGTCACTGAAATATGCATGTCGGCCATCTCCATATGTAATTACTGACATAATCTGCGTTAGAGGGTGACGGAATTGAATGATTCAAATACGAGAATGAAGTTTAAATACGTATATCTCATACACTTATTGATCCAAGTAGATATCGAGAGAAGCGAATTGAAGAGAGCAGAGCGAAACGATACAAAGTGATGCGCAGCAGACAAGGAGGGTGAGACAATTCGATTGACGTTTATTGCAAAAAAGAGTTACAGACATCATATTTAGGGTAAGTGGTTAACACACTTGTAATCATATAAAAAGCAGTCAGGGTTAATCAGCCAATGAGTGATAAGGTCAAAATGTGGTTTGTAAAGAATGAATCAATTAGTTGAGAAGCAGAGCAGACAATGTTCATGAAGGAATAGTTGATGTATGACTACTCAATCTAATTCTCTTTTATTAAGGTATTTATTTAGCACAAGCACTCTGATAAGTTAAAAAAAATAAGTTTGAACGAGGCATAAGGGGATAAACAACTGACAAATACAGGAGGTTCAGAAAGAAGCTGAAAGTATGCGATTATGTGTAGTCATAAAATATAGTGCTGAAAACGATATTCTGATACACAAATGGCTGTCTCCTTTTTTGTCGAAGCTATTTGAGCCCTTTTTTTGTAGACTTTATAGGGTCTTGCGCAGGCTTCATTTTCAGCGAATTGTCTAGTTTGCTTGTAATAGGATTACTCGGTAGGAAGTGAAAATTATTCAGCGTTCTAAACGCGATTTAATGAGGTGTTTTGCTTAATAAATCAGCATCAATACGATTGGTTCGTGACATTCAACTAAAGCATAAGGAGCTGTAATTAAACAAAATGTTCTGCCCTACAGACATGGGTGGATTGAAGTTATCTGGTCAGTAACGCCACCGTCCCTCTTTTTGTGATATTAGGCTCTCTCACGTTTGCTTTAATCAAAGTTCATAGTTGGAATACACTGTTTCTACTAGTTCCATGTAACAAGTAAATCAGACGGTTAAAGCGTTTGTATTATGGGTTAGATATCCATTTCGTATATCACACTGCCATGAAGATAACTAATGGTATAACTATAAAAGACTGGTCAGATTATATGTAGTCAGCACTAATAGCAAACTAAAGGATATTTAAGAGTCTAAGATTGTAAAATTTTCAGGGTGAGGAAAATAAAACACTGAGCAACTTGCAAGAATTTAGGACATTTTTTGAGCTTCTTATGATCAGCCTTAGTTGATCAGCACCCATAGGATAAGTGAGTTATCTGTCTGCTAGTAATAGAAAAAAAACTACATGATACTTAGGAAGAATAATGTATCTTTAACCATAAGAGATTTGGAACCTGAAAATGACGATTAAGAGCATAAGTCTTTGATAAATAATCAATGAATAATAGGAGAGGATAAACCATGTGTTCTGTAATTTAGTTAGTTATAATAAAGTGCTTCATTAGTAGGCTGGGGTTCAATGAATAGTTGAAGCTCGTTAGAGTCTAGTAATGGGGTTATTAGCCTTTTGAATTAGGTAAACGTGTCACAGTTATGGAGAGGTATTGGCAACCTGTTCCGCAATAAACTATACCGCACTGTAAAGAACTTGCAACGCATTTGTTTTTGGTGTTTTACAGTGAGTGGTGTATATGCACTGTTTCTTAGCCTACAGGTTGGGTCATGGATCATAGTTAGGTAGGAGGTTAGATATGATAGTCCGCACACTTCTTTATAAAGGAATATTAGATTGTTCCATAGCCTACGGTGCCATGAAGGTTTTAAAGAAAGGTGCTTACATCTATCTGTTTAATCGAGAGTAAAGTTACTTCCTAGCAGTTAGCGTGTGAAGCGTCTTCGGACGTCTTCTACTCTTATCTTGTCTGCGGTATTCATATTAGAAAAGATAAAAGAGCATTATTCAAGAGCAGGTCGTGACGGAATTTTGTAGAGAGTAAGTTTAGTCTCTGTTGTGAAGAAATTTCTCGTTATCAAACCAGTTAGCCGTCTACATTTAAAATAATAGAAGAGACATGTTCTTCAAAGTTCAGGCTTTTTGTGTAATTCATTCCTGGAAATTGTACTGATTTGAGTGTCTGGACTCTACTTTTATTTAAGCAAAGTTGCGTGATCATGAGTACACTCTACGGTCTCTGAAGTTGGATTGCATTCATCCATGTTCTGCAAGATTCATAGCATTTTATTCATTGATTATAGGATGATTACCCACCGAAAGCACTAAGTATTGTCTAACTTGTAGGTTTGCCAGCGTCCAATAAGTTAAATAAATGAGGAAGCTTCTGATTGAAGGGCTTCAATATCCAGTGGCAGACTATCATCGACGTCTTCATGTAGGAACTAGGCATATTAAACAAGCAAAAGAAAAATCTTACTAAATTCTGGTTAAACTCAGCCCTGATTCCTTAAGAATATGTGAATTTTCCTTTTGAAGAACTTGCAGCGGTAAATAAATTCCCAAAATCAGTAGCTCTGTAAGTCTTCGACATTTGATGCTGACCGCATTAGTTTTAGTGGGTTCACCTAGCTGAAGGCGCTCAGACATGAATCCAACTAGATCACGAGTGAGTACGTCGTGCTTCGCTTCTCCGACGACCGCT